GTACTTTATTAATATTGATAGTATATATAACATTGTAATTACATGACTTCTACTCCTCTAAGCATTTTCAAAAATAGAAATTGATAAAAACATCGAGCTTTACTCCCTAAATATCTTAAACGCAAAATAAAATACGTATTCAAATTTACCTATGAAGGCAAATTTATTTTAAAATTACTATAAGTAATTACAAATTTTATATTGAAAGTAATTAGCGTATATTCTAAAATTAATGACTTATTGCCAATTTGCGATTTTATCATATTTTATTATTCATAAACACCGGAAGCAGCAGAATATTGCAGAAATAAAAATTGTCTACGATACCGATAACGGAGCGATCAAATAACTTTTTTACGGAATAAAAAAAACTACTCGTGTTATCAATATTTGTCGTGGCCATGAAAATCTAAGCAAAAACACAGACATTGGATATATTACAAAAAATGTTTTAGATTGTTCAAATTCCACATATCGATCACGTGCCTTGTGGACTAGGCATAGAATAACTGCCCCCCTTCTTTCTCGTGGGTGTCGTAAGAAGCGACTTAGGGAACCTAATAGAGATGAGCAGCAGTGCTTCTCTTAAAATATCTAGGGCCTAACTGCGGTTACCAACCCGCCTGCCAAACGTGGCAACTACTAGCAGAACCCCCCAATAAAGAGAGGTCCCATTACTAGCAATATACCATATCAAGTCGACCTCCCCATGATCCTCTTTTCAAACCATCGTACTGAATTCCTTGTGACTAACTGATCTGTCTTTTCATTCTCACCTACTATCCCTCACTGGTGTCCAGCAGCGCAGACGAAGTTACCTTTAACCTTATACTACAATCGTTTTAAAGCTCAACTTAACGTCAATAAACCGATGTGGTTTGCCTGGGAGCTGTGCAATCACTATTACTTACATTTAAAAGTCGCAGTTACACTAAAGTTACACTTCTTACAGAACTAAGTTTGAAATAATGTTAAAAGAAGTCAACGTTTTTCATCAGTGTACTATGAGCTGCAACGAATATTATGCTTATGTATTATTTTAAATTTTGCACGGATTCCATGAACAAGCAATCTATTTAAGACTGGGTTTTTAAAAATCTTCATAAGAACGAAAAGCAACAGTTTCGAAAAACAAGACTTTCTTTAATCTATAAATAAATGCTTAAATGTAAATTACAACGAAAAGTTTTATTGAATTAAAAAAAAAAATGTTTCACAATAAGCATACATCGATATATAATATATAAATCGGGCAAGCGGCGACTTTAGTCTCTGCCTATGGTAGGACATATATTGTCTAATACATATAATAGTTTTAAGAGAGCATGTTGCAATATACGATCAATTATGAAAGTGTGTCAAGGCATAGACAATAAAGGAACAACAAAGTGAACGATTGAAATTAACCAATTAGATGTCAAGGGCAGTTTTGACTGCTCCAACTCTCTTTGACTCTCCTGCTTTGAATTTGTGTACCCATAGAAAGTGGTGTTTTCTTAGTAAATGAAATAAAACAGCCAACCTGCCTACGCTATTGGTTTACACTACCACTCTTACTACTCGTGTAAGGATTTTTTTACGGTAATGGAATGGTAAACCCACCTGCGCTATCAATATACGCTGGCGAGACAATAGAGTAGGGTAGTAGATAAGGATAGAAGCAGGTCAGCCCATCGTAACGAATTCAATAATAATCAAGCACGATGGTTTCAAGGGGGAACCGCGTGGAGATCTACCTGGTAGGGTGTATTGATAACAATAGAATTACTAGTTCTCAATACTAACAATCACTTCTCCTTATACTCAATGTGAGAGTGGTGCCCTCGGGTGTCGAGAGTTTGTAAATCGTCTCCGTTGTACACGAAAGTCTCTGACGTGGTTTATTGGACGACACTAGCTGAGTAAAAGTGGAAGATGATTTGTGATGATGAAATAAAGTCTGTTATAGTAACGACTTCACAAAGAATTAAACATGATGAAGGGAGAGACTATATGGAGGTTAATTTGGCAGGATATATTATTACTTGTTAGAACTGAAACCACTAAACCTCGTTTTTAACATTCTTCCCGGGAATTGAGTAAAGTCTACATATATATATCGAATTTTATAAGTTAATCTAGTTAGTTAATCTAAACAACCACTTTTGCTTATGAAAAGACAGCTCAAAATAACTTTAAAGCATTTAACGGTCGTCGACGCTATTTTGAAAATAACGAAGTATCTGATAAAACCATTTTCGTATAAAATCTTGCATTTGACAACCAACGTTTGATCAAGTTCACCAACCGTGCAGTATCGTTATCATATTTATATTATTATCATTTGCTATGTAAATAAATTCTTTGCACACTCGATTATCGTTCTTAAAGCGTTGCGATATGATTTTTTTAATAAATAGGTGCTGCAAATAATATCTGCAGTATAGTGCCGGAGTCGCGGCAATTGCGACGTGACGCGTGACAGACTGTGATGGAATTTATATTAATTATCGAAAATATTAAATTTAATTTGATTAATTGAAGCTCAAATTATATAGTTTGAAATTAATTTAATAAATAATGTGTCTTAAATTGTATTACATTTTAAAATTTGAAGAAATGTTTCGAAATGTTTCATTTACTTAGTTAAAGCAATTATTTTGAATTGTTAACTAAATATGCCTATTACTGTGTTAGCAAACTATTCCTCGTAGATTTATTTATAGAAATTGAGCTAAACTAAATTATATCCAACAAAATAATTCAAACACCAGCGGAACTCCAAAGGAAAAGCTAACAGATGATTTTATAATACAAATTAAATTAAATTAAATGGTGAATTGTTTTTTTTTCTAATGTTTGTTGTGTAAATTATCATATAATATTTTTTAATGTATCTCAGTAATTTTTATTCGTGCCGCATACTGAACACGTGCTTGCATCGTATTAATCTGCAATACGAAGTTGATTATCGAGCGAATGGCATACATACATATACCATGCAGAGCGTTATTGCAATATATTGTATATTGACTTATCGTATATATATATATATATATATATATATATATATATATATATATATATATATATGTTATATTATAAATTATAATAAACTATTGAATTTAAAAAATGTACATGAAAATTCTATCTTATCTAAATCAAAATGAAGACCTTATTTTCCTACTCTTTTTAGCCTAATTTTTCCGCCTTTAATTAAATTACTGATCTCAAACATAGAATAAAGTATACAAAAGTTTTACGTTAATAATATATTTGGAATCCTTACCAGTATTATAAATTTGGTAGCAAGTTGTTAGTTTCATTCCTCTTGGCGTTATAATGCCTCGACTCATCTTCATGAAATTTGGTTAACACAGACTATGAGATGGAGAAGAACATAGGCTACTTTTTATTATTGTAAATCAATATATCCCGGTCACACATATGAAGTCGCAAGTAAAAACTAGTTTAATAACTCACAAATAACACTTTCAGTTGTTTTAAATCAGCAATATTAATTTTTTAAACGAGTCTTCCATATATTACTACATAATAATAAAGTGTTTATATAATGTAGTGATAGTGTAGTATTATATAGTAAAAGCCGTTATTGAAAACTGACAATATGGAGATGTTACGTTTAATACTGCTACCAATTGGGCTGACCATCAGTTTGACGTACCTGAACGTAAAAAAGTAAGTCCAATTGCTTATTATTATTTTTATGCAATTTAAATGTTTCTATGGAAGTTGGTAAACATGAACAGTATCAAGGATATATCCAGTACAGAAATACACTATAACGCCCATGATACCCTTCATTTCTTACCATTATACTCAGTCGTTACTGCCATATCTCGCCCTTATCGATGTAAACAATTTTTGTATAAGGTCTCCCTCTGTTTGTATAATAATTTATCAACTTTTTTATTCTTAAATTTTTAACGGTACTAAAACAATATAATCATAAATGAATGAATGAGTATATTTTATCTTTTACAACAATGAGAATACATGTAGATATTGTCAACAATGAATCAGTGATCAGAAACCTCGTTTATTTGTATAGATATTTTATCCTTCCTTGTACCTATAAACTCGGACGTTTTAAATGCTTACTTAGATTACAAATTCAACAAAGCGTTACGGGAAAGTTGTGTTGTGACATTGAAGGGAACTAATTTATTTGCCTTTACAACATTGGAAATTTCCGTCAAATCTACTATATCCGACATTGAACAAATTTATTTCCGGTCGTCATTTTTCCAGTTTGCAAGATAATATGATGATGGTGTTAAAAAATATATGGTATTATATAGAATATAGTTATACGATTTAATATGAATACAATAATGCGATTTATATGCCCATTCGGAAAAAAATATTAAGTTTTGTATATCAAAATACTTAAATATCTTTCATTATAAAAAGTTATCATAGCCTTCTGATCACATCGTTTTCTCGAACAATCATTCTGGGAATCACTATAGTTATCGGAGACTGTAATATTTTATGTCATTTCCGAAAACTCTAAGTATATGCAATATTGCACTGCATTTATGTATTTTTTGTTCTTTCAACCGATTAGGTACTCATATATTTTATTTGTTCTTAAAAATCTCCATGCCTATAACAAGCGGCATGTGCTGTCATATTAAGAGCACTTATCGAAGTCACCTGTGCATTTTCGAAAATACGTATTTATTTAAATATTATTGATTATTTAAAAAGCACTTTCATAACGAAATAGAACGTTAATAAAAAAAATTATATAAATTTTCCTCAAAAGTTTTGAAACTACTCTATAATATTCAAATTTTCAACATTTGTTTAAATTTTGTCAAACTTTATTCTAAATGCTCTTTAGAGCTTGCGCAAATAAAAAAATGTTGCCTATTGTTTTAAATGTCCATCTACGATAATAGAATATGCACACCGAGGATAAACTGCGATGTCAGGCCCCAATTAATTAATTACAGACAAGACTCTATTTAATGTATATATTTCATTGTCAACAGGAACTCTTACAGTAGAAGAGGTGTACAAGGACAGAGATCAATTCGCTGGACTAGTCCGCGAGGTGGCGGCACCGGACGTCGGCCGAATGGGCATCGAGATCCTGTCGTTCACGATCAAAGACGTGTACGATGACGTCCAGTATTTAGCTAGCTTGGGGAAGGCGCAGACGGCGGTGGTAAAACGGGACGCAGACATCGGAGTCGCGCAAGCTAACAGGGACGCAGGAATCAGAGTGAGTATTTTCTTTTTAATGGATGTTGGTTGAATTTTAACTCCACCTGCGTTATTAGTATATACTAACGGGACACCAGTTAAAGATGATAGGTGAGGATGAAGTCAGGTCTGTGGACCCTCTATAACGAATTAACCAGGAATTAACCACAATGGTTTCCAGGGAAATTGCGTGGAGAACATTTGATAAGATGTATTGCTAGTAATTAGGATTTCATTAATAAAAATCTCCCTCCTCACAGAGCATGTACTTGACACTATTCTTTAACTAATTATATAAGGGTAGCGTCCGGTGGCATTAAGATTTTATAGGCCATGAAAGTCTCTGATGTCGGCCTACCTGAGCCCTTTTCGGAGAGCAAGGAGACCCGTCGTAGTCACCTTTGGCGTGACCTAACGGATAACGGCTTTACATGCCCCAGATGGCGATGAGCTTCGGAAAGCTCTGAGACTTAATGCTAGTAATACTAAAAAAATAGATAAAGATTGATAATACTAGTAGCAGACTGTATTACTACTAAGCTTTATCATGTTTACTCTCTTATAAAATTATTATCGAATGCAGCAAGCCTTTTTATTACCACCCTTTCGAAAATATTTCTTAGGATGCTATTATTATCGATTATTTAAACTATTCGACATAAATGTCACCTAGAATTCATACCAGAGTTCAACAATTACATGTTTTGCTATCTAAATGTGTAAGATAAAAACAACCAGGAATTATATCGAATGAATAAACGGACTCAAAAGTATAACATTTTTCGAATTGTTAGAATTGTCAAGATTTACTTATGGGCAGCAAGCCTTTAAAGACCTTAGAAGGTGCCTTTTTATTATAAAACCTATCTCACTCACCTTATTTCTCTACCTTTACCGGAGTTCTCGTATCAACTAGAATATTATATTCGCTTCCAATTTTCCAAATTCCCTTTGGAATTCTATTACGGAAAGACTCAATATATGTGCCTCTACTATATAAGACTTCGATTTGAAACGAACTACACCATCTGAATTCATATGTTTAGATAGAATGTTTACATGAAAAATTACCATCCGATGGCAGTAACAATAATGTAGATGAGATTTTCAGTTGTTCAAAATAGTTTTGCGTTTTTTTAAATCATAACCAAATATTTATATATTTACTCATATAAATAAGGAAAATACTTGTACTAGTTTGTCAAAGTAGGATCAATGGTAGAAAATCTCTTATCGACATCCAAAAGCTGCAGCTTTCACGTACTTTACAAATACATATAAAACATCTCTAAGTATATATAGGTGACAAACTTTTTGCACCGCTGGAATAGATACGACCCTCTTACCTATTTCTCTTCTGTTAAAAAACAAACACGTGTTATTTCGCTTCAGTTCGAAGAATACTATGGCTAGTAGAGTGTATATATATATCATTAGTCTTTTCATCGTTGCTCTCATAGTTTCAGTATATAGGAGTTGAGATAGTATCTAATTTAATGATTAAATTTTTGATGACCACGATATTGTCCATGTACAATTAGTAAAAAGGTGAAAAATAGTAAAACTTTATACTAAGGCTTTATAGTTCGTTAAATATTTAATCTGCTTATCCTATGAAAAAAAAATTACGAAATAGTTCTTCCTATAATTGTATGTAATTAAATTTCGCAATTATAGAACTTAGATAAAGTTATTAATGACGATATTAAAAGATATCGGGCACTGATGACCTTTCCTAGTTATACTATTATGGAAAACTACCTTTATTCTGGACGACATATTATACTCATATCATACATGATCACAGATTTATCTGCGAATATATATCATATTACATTTTAAATGCAATAATAATAATTATTAAAAATAATTGAATCTATCACCTCGTCCTGTATTATAGTATATACTTGCATAGCTGTACTTTGGCTATTGGGATGGGCAGTGGCATATAGTAGTGAAATTACAGGATACGAAAGTATTACATCCACGTTCATAGGAAAGGCAATATATGAGAGGTGCCAAGGCATCACAGTTAGGTCCATGGTGCTATTAATTAATGTCTATAGGCAAGGATAATCACTTTTCATAAGGTGGGACATTATCATGTTTGTGGTTCTAACTATAATAAACAAAATCTAACTTAATAAGAAACTCATTTTATGATCATCACGTAATGTGAAGAGTTTTCAATGTCAATCAATAATTATAAAACAACAGCGCTGAGTATAATTTTAAACAATCTAAGAGTACAATTTTTAAATACAAGCACTAGCACGCTGTAGGAGCAAAATGTCTACTCACCTACTCATAAAATACTGGTTTATTTATTTTCAGGAAGCGGAGTGTGAGAAAAGTGCAATGGATGTTAAATACGCGATGGACACTAAGATTGAGGACAATACGAGACTGTTCAAACTACAAAAGGCTCAGTTCGATCAAGAAGTCAACACTGCTGTGAGTACAAATGCTGATATTAATTTTTGGTTCGCCATCTTAAAAAATGATTTTTTTATTTTTGGATCACGATACCAAAAAGTGAAAAATATCTTCTGAGAGAACTATCATTAATATAAATTGGTATAAAATAAAATATAATAAAATTATTAAAAAAGACTTAACAAGATTTTTTTGTCTCTTGTTATCTGCAATCGGCTCTTCCAAAGCAGCCATAACCAGAGGGAGACTTTGTACAAAAGTCGATTGCTTGGGTACCTCTGTCCCATTCGTGTTTCTACCGTGAAACAGTTGTGTTTGCATGGCTGTGTTTCGATTTGAAGAGTGGGATATGGCGTGAATTTACAGGGTACAGAGGAATAACATCTGAGTCCTCAGGAGTGGCAAAGCATGGGGGTATCATGGGCGAAACAGTGTACTCTGTTATGTCCATGGTACTGCTCATGTCTATAGGCGACGGTTACCACTTTCCATCAGGTGGGCCGTCAGCTTGTTTGCCATTCTAAGTTGTATAAAATAAAAAAGTATCTTGTGTGAAAATTTGTATTTTGAAGAGCAGTCCACTGACAGCTCCCTCAGAATGATTTTGTAAAGACCTTCAAGCTCTAGTGTTAATGTTAACAGGATTAAATAGATCATTATTCTTTACCAGTGCACTTTACGGATATAATAATACGATTTGTCCCGTGAAACCGTATTAATGCTATAACATTACGCCCTCACCGCGAGATACCGTAGGCTGGGTATACGAAATGAATCATTATTATTGTGATAATGGCGAAGGCCTAGAGTAATTGACTATTAACGCTTGAAATGATAACAATAATAAATAAATATAAGCCCCCTGATGGGCAAGAATTAAGGTCCCAGATCAAAAATTTATGTACCTATCTCATAATAGTAATTTTAAATACCTATTATGGATTTAAAAAATTAGCAGACATATTTTTATCTGAGTTGACTTACTATACTCATATTTATCTAATATTTCTGGTTTTTTTATAGCGACATACTATTTTTTTTTTAATTGTGATGTTCAATTGTTTATATTTTTTATTTGCAGAAAGCAGAAGCCGCTCTAGCGTACGAACTACAAGCAGCCAAGATAAAACAGAAAATAAGAAACGAAGAAATACAAATAGAGGTTGTGGAACGTCGTAAACAAATTGAGGTACTTAAAAAGATATAAGTAATATAGAAACACCTCCATAATGTATCTCTCCACTTTATTCGCAGAAATATTGTATTATTCAGTGTTTATGAACATTATTTAACAGTTTTCAACAGTTTAAAAATATTAAAAAATATCATATGAAATACTGAAGAAATGGTGAAGTTATGAAAGTTTTGTGAGTCATAGTGTATTAATAGTTGTTGGCTTTAATTGTGTATTAAAATAAATAAAAATACTTTTGATAAGGAAGTCCTAATCGCAATTACAATAATAATTGCTTTATTTTACTCAATATTCTCTGTCTGGGTATATAGGTAGACGTTATGGGGTCGTAACGGACTTATTATGAATATAGAATAAATTACTCCATTTCGTCGTCACCATAAAAGTACTTTTATCATCAGGTGGAACAGCAAGAGATCTTACGCCGTGAGGAGGAGTTGATATCAACAGTACGACTGCCAGCTGAGGCCGAAGCTTATCGACTGCAGACCATTGCTGAGGGAAAACGGTAAATTTGCCTCTCCTGCTTAAATAACAACCTTACTTTTACGTCCCACGCCCTAGTTTCACGAAAAGAAAATAAACACTAAAAGAAGTAGATATTTCGACTCTTATGGCTTTTTTGTAGTATAAATTCGTCTATTAAAATGACTAATCTAATCTGTATTAACATTACAGCACCCAAACAGTAGAAGCTGCGAAAGCCGACGCGGAGCGCATCAAGGTAGTCGGCTTAGCGGAGGCAACCGCTATCGGCGACGTTGGCAAAGCTGATGCTGAGAGAATGCTCGCCAAAGCGAAGGTTTACAAACAGTACGGCGACGCCGCTATCATGGCGCTAGTGCTGGAAGCTCTGCCTAAGGTAATGTATTACTGCAACCCAATATTTCACTGCTAGACTCCAAACTTAAATCGCTTCCTATAAAAAAAGGGTATTTTTTATTTTGATGGCTGAAAATGGTATGGTAACCCCGCCTGCGCTAACGGGATACACCGGCGGAGCACCAGTAAAGGATGATAGATGAGAATGAAAACAGGCCAGTTAGCACACCATGATGAATTCATCAGGAATTAATCATGATAGTTTCCAGGGGGAACCGCGAGGAGGTCGACTTGGTTGGGTATATTGCTAGTAATGGGATTCTCAGTCTCCATTGCTAACAATCCCTCCCCCCCCCCCTCCAAAAAAAAAAGGGTATTAACCTATTCAGTATCATCAATAAATTAACCTACATTAGCATACATCATATGGTATGTTTCAGTTTTATCGAAATTCCCATAGAAACACTCAGTAAATGAAATTCTTAAGTAATGGAAATATTCAAGCATTCGTTTCATTGTTTCTGCATACTCTAACGAGAGAGATTTATGTATGAAAACATTTAAGCAATTAATCGTTTTTAAATTTATACTATTATTAAACGTAAGCAGACTGCAATTTGGTTAAATCCATTACTCATTCGTTTACATTTCCATTACATTAAAACAGGCTATAATTAATCTCTATTCAAGTGCCTCTGATCTGACTAAACCAAAAAGTCAGAGACATTTTATTATTGGAATTATAGATGTGAGCATATTTACTTTTTAATTTTATTTAACAATCTTTATAACTACACTAATGGAAAAAATTAAGGGGTCAAAGAAAATTCAAATTTTAGGTCATTTCCAATAGGCTGGAAATTTGGAGAAAATCATCGTAGACATATAAAAAAAAAAGAAAATTGTAGCTCTAAGTGTCTAGTTTTTGGTTCTAAACTCAAAAAAATCGAGTTTTTTTTATCTCTTAATTTTTTTATTAGTGTATAATAACATTAATATTACTTATCATTTAATATCACTATGTCATTTCCATCGTCGAAGTATACTCACAATTAATAATAAGTATAAAATAATAAATGCCATTAGACATAACACAGTAGCATCTAGTCCTAAATTAAGCAAAGCTCGTGGTTATGGGTTTTTTGTAACAATTTCATTTAGAAAACACCCAAACGATCAAACCGACATAGCCATGAATACTAACATTTCTATTAAATTATCAATTGTCCACAGATCGCAGCAGAAGTGTCGGCGCCGTTGGCTCGCACCGACGAGATCGTCCTAGTTGGCGACAGTGGCGCCACCGGGGAGGTGGCGCGGCTCGCCGGCGGCCTGCCGCCCGCCATCAAGACGCTCACCGGGCTTGATATCAACCAGGTCCTGAAGCGGCTACATCCTAACGGTACTGCAGGTAAACTTACTACTTGTTATTATTTCAACCATTAACTGTTCACTGCTGAACATAAGGGGAGTTTTGCCAGTAGTTGCCACGCTTGGTAGGCGGATTGACAACGACAGTCAGGCTTCCAGAGGCGTTTTAAGAGAAACGCTGCTGCCCATCCCTCGCCCTCCCTTAGTTAAATCCTCTTACGACTCCCACGGTAAAGGAAGGGTGGCCCGTTCTATGCCGGGGCACACACGGCGTACTTACTACTCACATGACCAATAAACATAAGAATATACAGATCGAACCAGACTATCCAAGTACTCCGGTAACAACTTCTGACAGTATAACCACAAACAAGCTGACGGCCCACCTGATGGAAAGTGGTAATCGTCGCCTATAGACATGAGCAGTACTATGGACATAACACAGTATACTGTTTCGCCCATGATACTCCCCATGCGTTGCCATTCCTAAGGACTAAGGTATTATGCCTGTATACCCTAAAAATTCACTGCCTTCAAACCGAAACACAGCCATGCAAATACAACAACTTCACGGTAGAAACACGAATAAGACAGAGGTACTCAAGCAAACAACTTTTGTACAATATTTTTATTCGAATAAACTTAAATGTAAGCATTTATTTTTTTATTACCATTCGGAATGCAATTTCAGCCAGGAAGAACAAGCAAGATACCTAGCTGTTACTTTATAGACATAAATAACACCATGGACATCACAAAATATAATATGGCGCCCATCGTACCTCTCATATTTTCCCATATCATCAAACTGTCATTCCACTTTCTTAATTATTTGCAAGATAATTAACATACTCCATTGTTCCAGAAGAATCCAACCTCGCAGCAGCCACAAGCAAGAAGGTAGCAGCATGCTAAACTCATTAGGAAAAACCCCATCAACTTGAATTGTTCTTAATAGTATATTTACATTCTATGATGGGTCAAACCAATGTTGCCATATTTTTTCGATCAAACAGAACAGTCGAAAATTCACATACCTAGTATTTATGTTTCCTTGTTTTTTTTCTTATAAAAGAGCAATGGAGCACCGATTTAAGTTACCATTATGATACTGCGAGTTAGGAGTTCAGACGTATTGCTTATACTCTTCGTATACTTTGCATGAATATTTTTGAAAATAATCTCGGTAATAACACCCAAATACTTTGAGAAAAAATTCGATAAAGTTGCGCCTCAAAACAGACACTAACAAAAATTGTATTATCAGTGTATTGTATTACCATTTATAAAAAAAAAAAAAATTAGACTAAAGATTTCCAAAGAAAACACCCTGTGGTATTATTGAGCATGTAGACTAAATTTAATTGAGCTTAGAATTTAATTAAACCGAAAAGGGAGGCGTGTAATTGGCTTACCCAGATCTCAATATCTGATAATTCAAGTTATGTTTTTTTTTGAACAAAATTCTTAGTAAAAAGTCTCAAAGTAACTAGAATTTTGATATTTATTTAAACAATCACTTAAAATTATGAAATAAATATTATATCTATTTTTCATTGTAATAATATACAATGACACAATTCATATATTAGATTGTGTAAGATAGATTTTATACTATTTTAGAATTGTCATGTTAGTATGACAACGTGATCTTTCAAGGCACTGCCTTTTTTGGAATATATTTATTTGTGGATTGGTCTTATTGATGTGTAGTTCAATCGTCACTGCAAGTGTCTCCTTTAGAAAAATCGTTTATTTATAATAAAAAATATATGCTCACGGCTATAATCACAAGAGAGGTAGTCAGAGACATTAGTCAAGTGTTGACATTGCGTTTTTTGTATTGGTAACTGAATTAGGTATATTACATTTGTGGATTCGATTGAACTTTGTGTGATGTGTGTTTATTTATAATTGGAGAATTTGCCAAAAATTATTAAACCATTTGTTACTATTCAATAATGAATATGATTTTGTTGGATTTTTCTTTTCGTTTCTTATTTGTAATAAAATGTAATTAAGCAACAGAAAGTAATATATTTTCTTTTAGAATATGTTTTGTTATAATTTTTCTTACTGTCAACATTGATATAGTGTGTGTATTGAAATAAAAAAAAATATTTTCTATTGATGTCTATTTATTTATTAATTAAATTATAATCACAAGCTTTTTTAATAATTGTTAATTATTAAAAAAGCTCATAGTTAATGCAACGGGTTGTACAATTCTCCTCGTATATTTGTCTTCATTAACTGAAATAAAGTAAAAAAAATTGTTGATAAATATCCATCTATCTCACTCATTATAACTTAATTTTTATCATTCGATAAGTTACACACAATCAAACAGTGATAGAGGGTTTTAGTTATTTAATTTTATTAGGAGCACCAAATTATCTTTGTGGGCAAACAATCAATACCCTATACCAGTGATTCTCAACCTTTTTTTTTACATATAATAACACACGCTCACATATTTAACGATTTCAAAATTTGGCGGCATACAAAGAAAAAGATAAAAATTATTTACTTACTACAACACACTGCATAAATAGTTTATGACAAAAATTTTAAATATTTGCAAAATTTGGCGGCATACTTTTAAAATTTGGCGGCACACAAAAGTGTCGCGGCACAGTGGTTGAGAATCACTGCCCTATACCATACCATATCAACAGTTAACTGTCTGCTACTAAACATAGGCCTTCCTTTATTGGGGGTTTTGCCAGTAGTTGCCACGCTGGCAAAAAAGTCAAAAATCTAAGGACTAACTGCGGGTACCCGCAGTTAGACCTTAGAGATGTTTTAAGAAGGACGCTGCTACTCATCCCTCGACCCTTTACATGGTTCCCTTACATCTTACGACACTCACGGGAAAGGAAGGGATGGCGGAATTCTATGCCTGGACCACACAATAACCGAAATGGTATGATACTGATATCTGTCTACTATGTGATATCTCGTAAATTTTCGAAACTTTTTAATGAAATGTTGTCATTAAAATGTTGAAAAATTAATTATTAATAAATATTTTTATCATTAAATTAAATTAATTAAGACTTTCTGGATATAAATGCAAGATTATTAATAATTTTCTTAGAAATGACTCACCTCAACCTTTTGTTGATAGCTAAGCTCTGTTTTAGTCAATACATATGAAAGCTTCGCGAAAGCCGCCTCTGAGGTCATATCGAATGCTGGAACTACCCCGCACTCGACCAGCAACTGACAAATTTATTTAATTCAATAAAAATAAGATTAATATATTTTAACGTAGAAGACGAACGAACGTGGTGTTTAAAAGTAATGAATTACTTTTATAATATTTCTAATATAATAAAGAAAGATAAGACAATAACTTTTGGGTTTTTTTTTACAATCAATGACTTGTTTATTGTTAAAAAATTCGAAAGTACACATTATATTTTAATTTAATCACTGCCTGTTTAACTTACGTGTAATTTGGTCGAGAAAGCTTGACTAGTTTCGGGGTCATTAAGGACCCTTAGTCTTAAGCGGCTAAGACGCAAGGTTTCTCTACCAAATTACACGTAAGTGAAACCAGTAGTTGTTACATTGAAATATATTTTTTTTGATGCTATAAGACTGATATATAAAAAGATAATGTGAAGACCGTCTATGTCTTTTACAATTTTCGTGACAGGTAAAACATAATAACATTAACGTATAAGTGGGTAATATAATTTGAAAACCACTTTACAGGGTTAAGTAATATACAGCAATATCTATATATCATAGTTACAATACACATATATGTATATTAGCTCAATAAATAATATATAAAATTCGGAGCGGTACCGGTATTTCCCATCCCTACCACTTCATCTGTAACAATTATCTAAAACGAATTAAGGTTAATATTTAAAGTTTGTATAAAAAATCATAATAAATATAACTAATACCTATTGTAATCTTATGGAGGAAACAATAAAGAGTATCTATCTATATATTTACCTATATCTCCACCTATTCGTTTACAAACCTGGAGATAGATAACTTAGTTTACTTATATGTTTACCCATCCCTTAATAAATCCAAGGTAAAGTCAATTTTTTTTTATACAACTTAGAATGGCAAACAACCTGACGGCCCACCTGATGGAAAGTGGTAACCGTCGCCTATAGACATGAGCAGTACCATGGACATAACAGAGTGTACTGTTTCGCCCATGATACCCCCATGCGTTGCCATTCCTGAGGACTCGGGTGTTATACCTCTGTACCCTGTAAATTCACGCCATATCCCACCCTTCAAACCGAAACACAGCCATGCAAACACAACTGCTTCACGGTTGAAACACGAATGGGACAAATGTACCCAAGCAAACGACTTTTGTACAAAGTCTCCCTCTGGTGAATATATAAAAATATATTAAAATCCTTACCAGTCCAGTCTCATAAATAGCCTTCCCTAATACAGTGCCGTTGATGCATTGAGTCACGTTGACCACCAACACTCCATTCTTCACCGCGCGCTCTATTTCCTTGTATACGTCCTTACGTTTGATTGGCATGTTACCATTGCCATAGGTTTCTAATACTACACCTGAAATTACAAAAATAAATCTAAATAAAAGAAAATAAAATTAGAATATTATTAGCTAAATATTGCGAGCTAAAGAATCGTTATGTCAGAGAATGTATGAGGAACGATTTAAAGAAGAAGTGATTAATTTTTTTTTTAATGTTTGTTACCTCACAACTCTGTCACTTAATCAATTTATAAAAACTTTTTTTTTTTTTTGTAGGAACGGATATATTTATAAATGAGTCTCGTAGAAATTTTATCAAAATCATTCCTTCGGTTTTTTTTTTTGTGGAAACCAATTTAATTATTTTCTTCCTTCTTGTAAGTATCTAAATCTTATAGGATATCTTCAAGCCTAACCCTTGCCCTTAAAACACCAGACTTACCGTCCATTTCAGAGAAAACCGCCCTAATAAGTTCAGGAGTAATCGTTGGTACCACTTTAAGCAAGTACACCTTCGTTGACAGCCGGTCATGTAGTCTGCACTCATTGGGGACCGAACCTTGAGAGTGAATTAGCATCTTGAGATCCACATCCAAAGTGGTTTTGGCTTCCAATAGAGGAGGGAAGTTCGGAGAGTCGAACGCGTAAATACGAGTATTTGATACTTTTTTTACCCTGAAAAAAATGTAATTAAAAATCAATTTTATATACCGTAAGTATCTATTATGGAACAGTTTACCACTAGTTTTTAAACCTTTTAAAATTATTAATATAAAAGAAAATAAATTTTGCATTCTAAATACGAGTAACTTTGCATTTTCAATTTAACTCACGAGTTTGGGCACATTTACTGGATAGGTATTTTCCAAGGCATATATCTAGAAAATAATATGGTTTAGCATTTCTCTTTCTTAGTCCTCAGAAATGGCCACGCCTGATGCTGATACCATGGACGTCACGAGATATGAACTGATATCCATAGTACTGTTCATGTCTATAAGCAATGGTTATTTGATTTAAACTATTTTGTTTAATTCCGCTACCATTAGTATGTGTGTGACTGTCAACGAAGATTGTCTGTCATTCGAAGATTGACCGCCACTATTACTAAGTTCCACAAACATATCCGACTGCCATTTTGTTTGCGCATATTTTGCTACACGTGTTTTATCTCTAAACGAGGTATCTTTAGGCAAATTATTAGATAGTTGCTCGGATCGAACCGTACTATTATATACTAATGGTAGCGGAATTAAACACAATTCAAATCAAATACCTAGTGATATAGAATTCCACAAGATAACACCTGGTTAAGTAAAATATTTAAAATAGTTCATATAATATGTCGGTAGGGGCCGCCCTAGACGGACGTATGTTGACCAAATAGGCGACATGCTGAAAAAAAGCCAAGTTAAAAGTACCCGTAACCGGCGAGCGTGTATGAAAAGATTGATGAATATTAAAGAAGCGAAAGAGGTTTGTTTGAATCGAAGCATTTGGCGTTCCATTGTTTCTGCCTACCCTAATGGGAGACAGTCGTGACAGATATGTATGTATGTATGATATAATAAATTATATTTACTGACCTGTTACCTCTAAACAACTTGGAACCAAAGAAGACCGTAACCTCAGGTATGTATTGGGTGGCCGCAATCAATACAGCACACAGGAAGTTGTTGTTCCCATCGCTACGAGGTTGGAAGATTGGTATCTATTAATTAAATAAGTTATTAATGAACATTGTATAATTTGTATAATAAAAAATAAAAATAAATGAACTGAAAGTGATACCTCTGGTGTTCAAAACGTTTAAAGCGATGGCAGCTTACCATAAGGTAACCTTAAGCATAGGTACAGTCCCAAGTCATAATATTGTATTTAAAAGTAGTAATATCATATATTATCATTCGAGTACATATAAAATAAACATACCTGAGCACCTGTGAGTACAACTGTCTTTCCAACAGACTCCAGTATGAACGAGAGTAACGAAGCACCGTACGCCGTGGTGTCAGTACCGTGGAGGACTACAAATCCATCGTAGTCATGATAGTACTTCTGTAACCGATAGATAGGTTTCTTTATACCACTGGTAAACAAGGTGGTAAACAAACTTACGGCCCACCTGATGATAAGCGGTTACCGTAGTCTATAAACGCCTGTAATACCAGAGGGACGTACGCGTTGCTGACCTAAAAAAGGTACAGTCTGTACCAATAGATCTAAATGAAATTATAGCCAAGTTTTATAGAAATTTATACAAAAAAGCTCACTAAATGAAATTAATGACAATTTGAAACATTTAGTCAATCGTTAATAAAATTAATTTCTTATGTAAAGACTCATCTTTTCAACCGACTTCAATAAAGAAAGATATACTTAATTAGATTGTATTTTTATTGTTTGTCAACTCATAACTTCGTCATTTATACACAGATTTGAAAAATTCCTTTTTATCTTAAATAATATACTTTGATTCCATTGAAAATTTATCAAAATCCATTCAATAAGTAGTCAATAGTTTATATTGAAGTTAGTTGTTTTTTTTTTGTGGTACACAATTAGAAAAATAATTAAACAAAATCTTAAATTATTAATGTCTAGGCATCACTTAAATTACCAAACACTGACATACATCGACTGCATTCTTTAAGTTAAATTTACGATATTTACGACAATCGACAAATATTATGTAGGTATAAATCATTTTTATCATCATCATTATTTGTGGCACAGTGTCCCCAAAACCATCGGATACAGTGTAGTAAGAATATTAACATGACTCTATAACTCTCATAAATAATACACCCGCTTATTATAATAAAATTAGATCGACTTATAGGCAAATAGGTTTTTCCTAAGAATATAAACATGTATAGTATTCTTTTTTACCTTTATGTCCCGAGCCATTTTGAGCCAATCATCGATAACGAAGTCCGAAGAGTCTTTGAGTTCCTCATATTCATATATTTTGTATAATACCTTCAATTCGGTATCCTTGCCATCTACAATGTAAATATTATTTGAACTATAAACTTAAAACTTAAAGTTAACAACGACTCATATTATTCTTAATATCAATATTTTATCATTATATTGGGTCCCTCTATATCACTCGTTTTTACCATGAATCAAGAGCTTGAATAGCTGTTTCGTAGTAATAGATTGTAAAGGAATATGGCTATGAAATTACAGGTTATAAAGGTATAACACCATAGTCCTCAGAAATAGCAACGCATTAGTATTCTGTAATGAACTTGGTGCTGTTCATATCTATAGATGATGGTTATCACTTTCCATCAGGCGGACCTTTAGCTTATCATTCAAGTTGAATTTAAAAGGCTGACTGAAAAAAGAGCACTTCCTCCTTTTTATACAATTATTATGAAACACTGTAGTGAACGGTTTTTTAATGGTTAAAAATAAAGTCATCCACTCTTTGAAATCAACTTCCAGCAGCAGTATTTCCGGACCGATACGACATCATAACCTTCAAGAAAAGAGCATATTCCTTTTTAAAAGGCCGGCAGCACACCTGCAATGCTGTTGGTGTTATAAGTGATCATGGGCGGCGGTAGTCACTTACCATCAGGTGAGCCGCAAGCTCGTTTGCCCCGTGTTATAAAAAAAAAGGAACACTCACCTATGCTAACGATATTCAAAGGAAGGACACCAGTGAAAGACGAAACGATGAAGATAAAATCAGCTCAGTTTTTATGATAATAACTAAATTATTAAAAATTATACATATACTAATCACAGTTTGAATAGAATATACTCACTCTATTCTCTATTTGTATTTGACACTCTATACTCTATTGTCTATTTCATTTTGGAAAAAAAAATTATTAAATATATATAAATATAATTATAATTTATTCTCATTAATAAACTTACCAGGTAAAACAAGGTAATCCTTCTTGTCTGTAGAGGACAGGTAATCCGACCAATAATCCGCGTCGTGCAACTGAGGCAACTTCCTAATCACTTGTTCTATATTCTTCTGGGGTACCAGTACTGTCATAAACAATTATTTTATCTGATTTAGATTATTCTTATATATAAAAACATAACTTAATGTAATTATTGGATTTTTAAATACCTCAGTTCACTTATTTCTGCTAATCTGAAGAAACTATTTCAATTATTTTTGTTCATAGCTGTATTTGTTTCAATATAAAACGTGAAATATTTTCAAATTCACTTCAAACTACTCTAAAGATAACTCTTAGCTATAGAGTAAAAATAGGATAAAAATGTTCTCTCTTAACCAGCTAAAGATACCAAATCATATGTACATTAACTAATCAACATTAGATCTTATGGTTATATAAAATATAAAGTGTATAATTAATTACCTCCTTTTTCATTCTTCAACATTCCAAAAGTTCCTCCTGTGTAAATAACCAGCACCCTTTTTATTTGCACCATTTTATATATAAAATTACTTTTTTATTATATTAACGACCTAATTACAATATTAGTTTAATTTAATTGATAATACACTAGATGACGTTCCTTCAATTGTTCAACATCCGATAAGATGTGCTGTTGCTTAATAATTCAAGTCACAATATACTGTCATAATACATATGTTACTGGGTCAAAGCTGTATGTTCAACTTGTTTGTGTTATCTGAGGGGCAAGATATTATATATATATATATATATATATATATATATATATATATATATATATATATATATAAGGGAAGAATATAAGTAAATATATTATAAACAAGTCATTGTATTCATTACTTAGTTTACTACAGATTAATTTGAGACTGTTGTATTTACGTTTTTGTATATAGCTTATATTTATGAAAATTATATCACGTAATTTGGGATACAATATAGACAAAGTAACTAAAAATGCTTCTTTATGGCTTATTTTATCGTATGTAAAATCTGCGTATATCTTTATTATCGTATGTGTTTATGTTGTTTTGTTACCTTATAAATAGTGCCGTAAATGCTTAACCGATCACTATGAAATTTCGTATACATGTACTATATAGGATAGAGAAGGATATAGGCTAAGGTTTTTATCCTTTTTCCTTAGTCAGTAAACATGCCCTAATCAAGCGGATGAAGTCGTGAGTAAAAACTAGTAATATTATAAATGCGAAAGTGAGTTTGTTTGTTTGATTGTTTTACCCTTGGCATTTTAATGGCTTAACCAATCACTATAAATTTAATATACTAGTACTTACTATACGAGATGAAGGCATAAGTAACTTTTTATCTTGAACTAAAACTAGCAAAATTTTGTGGTGTAAATCTATACTATATAATAAATCTGTAGAGAGGTCAATTCTGTACATGAAATATATTTCCAAAATAACTATCAGGGGGTGATTAGTAATTGATACTAATGCCAAAAATGTAATCAGTAAAATTTTTGTCTGTCTGTATGTTCGTTATAGAAACAAAAACTACTCGACGGATTTTAACGAAACTTGGTACTTCTTCATTTTTTATACTCCTGGGCAGGTTATAGTATACTTTTCATCACGCTACGATCAATAGGAGCAGAGCAGTGAAGGGAAATGTTGGGAAAACGGAAGTAGTTTTTCCATTTTTGTCCGTCGCGTGTTATATTTAATGGCCACTTTTTAAAAAGTAAAAATGTAATTGTAAATTCATAATTTAGATATTACATTATAAGACTCACAAAATTGCCTATTTAGTGTAACAATTGTTAAAAAAAATTCTCCGTGTGTTGACTGCTTTAGATGTGACCTCGTCAATATTACATAATGTGATAGATTAATTGTAGTATTATCTATTATGAACTGTTAGTAAGAAATGAAACGCCGCTTCGTATTGAAAAGTTGTACTGATAATGAACAATAAATAGAATAAAATATATATATCACTAATACTTAATTATAATAATAATACAATGTAGATATCTTTTTTTTTCAGCTTTAAAGTGGAGTTTTTGGTATTGGCATGCCATCTTTGGAATTCGATATATATTTATACCTGTTCTGATTGAACTAAATTCTTTTTGAAATATAAATATGAATGTGCTTTGGAGCATTGAAGAGAAAAATTTGTAAATTATAAACCGGAGATCAACAGCACCTTAGATCAGTATAATAAATATTGGTTGTATTTACAATGAAAAGGTTAAAATAAAGTTATGATTAAAAATTTGCTATGAACTCGCCTAATCTCGCCAAATAAGTAGTTAACCTATTTTAAGGATTTTTTTTAATATAAATAAAATACATATACAATAAAAAATAGTTTTTATTTAATATTTGTTCGATTCTGTACAAGATAGCTATTATCACATTAAAGTGATCATTATAAATTGTAGAGATCACTCGTCAACACAAACCGCTAAAATCGAAATTTGAACAATTTGTATCGTGGTCTGAGTTGCAATCCTAAATATTTGTTCTTCACTTTTTTATAGTACACATATGCACCTACCTACATTCTTAGTTTATTAACAAAAACATTTTTAAAACAATATATAAAAATAAACTGATACCATTTCTATTTTTTACCTAATAGTTCCTACTATATGTTAGGGTACAAGGGCATAACATCAAAATCCTCAGAAATGGCAACGCATTAGGGATACCATGGATATTACAAGATTCAAAAATAAAAACATAATAAATGCAAATGTTAATATATATATCGACATATTTAGCTTATATTATAAAATATATAAAAAAATATGTATTTATAAACAAATTTATATATACTATAATACAAATACACAACATGTAGGTTACAGACAATTTAAAATTTTATATACATTTAGTACTAGCCTATATTGTTGCGTTTTGACTAGTTTTTGGGGTAATTTAGTCATACGAGTAGGTAGAAAAATGATGCGTTTCCTCTTAATGCGTTTATTCGAATAATAATGCGTTACAAAATTTTATGAACTGAGGTGAATAGGACAATAAGGGTCAATGGCTTGCACTGAAGTAATATCACGCGATTTACAAGAGCCGCAATTGGCTGATCCGTTTGACGTAGAAATGGAGTTGTAACACATTTCAATTTCATATAATTATAATGTATGTACTGTGATATCCATATTGCTGTTCATATCTATAGGCGACGCTTATCACTTACCATCAAACCATCAGTTTGTTTGCCATTGTATGTATAATTAAAAATTCTTATTATATAAGTATGTCTTTAGTATTCAAATTAGGTATTTAGCTTGCATACTTAGGTACACATTTATAATCAACATCAGTCTTCAATTTAAATCAGTACGTATGAATCTATAAATGTATAGAAAATAATAATATATACATATAACTAAATGCTAATAATTTGCTTTATTATAGCGTCTATGTAAAAGCCAATTATATAAACAACCTGGCAAATGGCAAAAAGACTGAGTATTATGTGTTAACATCACAGTAGGTAGTATCATAAAAAAATTAAGTTATAACTAATGCCTATATTGGGGGGAAAGGGATTGTTAGTAATGGGGTCAAATAGCCCTTTACTAGCAATATACCCTGTCAGGTCGACCTCCACGTGGTTCCCCCTGGAAACCATAGTGACTAATTCTAGTTTAATTCGTCAGGATGGGCTAACTGACCTACTTTCATCTTCATCTGTCATCCCTCACTAATACTCCACCAGCGTATACCGATAGCGCAGACGTGGTTACCATACCATTATCACCCATTAAAAAAAAAACTAATGCCTTTTTTTTTTTTTTTTTATAACCTGATGGTAAGTGACTACTGGTCACCCACAACACCTACGGCATTGCAGGTGTGCTGCCGGCCTTTTAAAAAGGAATATGCTCTTTTCTTGAAGGTTATGTTGTCGTATCGGTTCGGAAATACTGCTGCTGGAAGTTGATTCCAAAGAGTGGTTGTGCGATGCCTAAAAACGCCTATAAATTAGCTACTGTTCACTAAGTACCGTTATAATTTAAATTCTCATTAATTAATTACGAATCATTACTAAATCGTACAATCGATTACCATAATGTACAGCCAAAATAGCCATTTACTAAAAAGTAAGTTCTAAGCTACTCCCTTAACGACGTCATATACGGTGAAGATTCTATATTTCGTTATAATATTTTTAATTAAAAAAATACTATCATTTCAACATGAGTAAGATACGTTAATACAGTGAACGCTCTATATATAAACAACAAATTTTTTTAAGTAACCAATTTCAATAAAAAAAAACTTCGTATTGGAAAAAGTTGCTTATAGAAGAAAAAGGAATAAATACTTTACCGTCTGAAAAATATTTTTACTTATTTCTTTTACTAACTAAGCTGAACAGAATAAAAAAAATATAAAGAATGTTGCTTATAGAGATGTTGCTTATATAGAGCGTTCACTGTACATGAAATGCTAGTATTGCGCCTGCCTTTATGCGCATCTTTTGTATGTCACGATATTATCTATTACTTAATATTTTAGATACAATACAATGAAAATATAATATTTTCTTTTGCCATATATATTGGCTCATTTAATTATATGTGTAACGAACGATATTTAATATCTTGAGATGAACTTAATAGTTCATCTCAAGATATTAAATATGCTGTAATCAGCATCTTCACCGTATGTAACGTGCTCTGTAAACATTTTTTAAATTATATTTGGTGCATTGTATATGGTATTCTCAATTTCGATATATTTTTTCCGATCTTCATCACTAATATCTCTTATCGCATTTACGTCTTTATTATAAATTCTTCCCCATATACCGAAGGAAATCAGTTCATTTTGTCTCGATTTCAATTCATAGGTGATACGTCCTCTTCCGAAATTATTTTGTTCCCATCCCTTTTGAGACGAATCGACAAACGTAAAGTTTACAGGGCTGAGTGGAAATTTGTTGTTGCGTAGAGAAATTGGAAAGTAAACTACGTCGTCGCAGTTCAAAGATTTGTTGTAATGATGCCGGTACGTGGTCATCTCTATGCGTAACTCTTCAAATTCAACATTCATTTCGTCTTTCGTAAACCTGAAAAAAAAATAAAAAAATATAATAATATTAGTACAGAGTAATGGAGCCGACAGAAGTGCAGGACAGTTTAAAAGGGCACTTATTTCCATCAAAACAAAGTATAAATTACCATCGCATAACGCATGTGAGGAACAAATAGAACCTGCTGTTCCTCTCTACATAAACTATATAAATACTCCCTATGGATATGTCACATTTGATAAATGAAATGTAAAGAGAAAAGAAAAATCGCACTTAAAGTAGCCCGAAGACTTAGACCTTATTGTTAATTTTTCCATTTGTTTCGCTGCCTTTATTTATCTATAAAAGCAATAGCTTTGGTGGTAACTAATGCTTTATGATAATGACTCACCTTTAAGGTTATAAATGATGACCTTAGTAACTTTGCCGTGCAGGCTGTTCATACTCGTATTTATAACGATGATTTCTATTTTCCATCAAGAAGACCGTCAGCTTGTTTACCATTTGAAGTAACATTAAACAAGAAAATAAAATATAGAAGGTGATGAGGCTTTTTTGTACTTTAAATGTTTGCATAGACGAGGAACAATCAACGACATAATTTCAGTATGGAGACTTTTTTATATCATCATCATTATATCAGCCTTTAACTGTCCACTGCTGAATATAAGCCCTTGAGGGGTTTTTCCAGTAGTTACTACGCTTGACAAACGGATTGGCAACAGCAGTCAGGCTATAGAGATGTTTTAAGAGGGACGCTGCTGCCCATCCCTCGCCCTTCCTTAGTCTTAGTTTGCTTTACGACATCCACGGAAAAGGAAAGGGTGGCCTATTCTATGCCAGGACCACACGGCCACATATTTAAATTCTTCCTGTATTTTTGAGTTTTGCAAAAAAAAATGGTCAAACCTCAGCATATGTTTTTTTTTCCGTCATAATAACAAAAATATCTTACACGAAGTTACATTTTGTTCCACTTCTGTGTAAGCCTTAATAAGTAATAGTATATTTTTTTTTTCTATCTGCAATCAGCCCTTTTTAGCCGTAATTAGATCTGTTATATAGTATAATAATAACTTTAATATTAGCCTCACTAACCTATATGGGCAGCTATTTATATCGTTGTCCTTGCAGGCGACGACCGCACAGGCCGCTACGCCGATCTTTCGTTTCGCGTAGGTGTTACTTCTGTCTTGTATAAACGCACGGTAATAATGTGCCTATAAGAGAAATTGTAATGTTATTTATTATTTTCATTCGATAATACAATATGGTAAATATATATTTTTGTGTTATCAAATTAATATTACTAAACAGGTTCACTTAAAACTTCTTTTAAATTAAATTTTTATAGTAACACTAGCTGACTTGGTAAACGTTGTTTTACCATATACATTATTTCTAGAACTATACATGAAAATACATTACTACAATTATTATATTCGATTGTCATCTTGCAAACCTATTGTGGCATAGAAAAATTGCGATGAAACAACAGGGGTTGATCGTAAAAGAGTGAAAATTTAAAGTTGTATGTATTTTTCAATGCTAAATCATAATAAAATAAAAATAAAAAAAAAATTGCCAAAAAAATAAAAAAAATTTAGGGGTGACCCACCCCTATCATTGAGGGGTATGAAAAATAGATGTGGGCCGATTCTCAGACCTACCCAATATGCACACAAAATTTCATAAAAATCGGTAAAGCCGTTTCGGAGGAGTTTGGTAACAAACACCGCGACACGAGAATTTTATATATTAGATATAATTAGATTAAAAAATACAATTGAATGCTATTAATTACTATTTCCATTAATAAAGCAGCCTCGAGTGACTAAATTGTCATTCTATATTTAAATTTACTAATATACAGGTCAAATTGATAGTCGAATCATGTAGAAACTTGGTATACATAGTTAAATTAATATTTAATTATTTAGTGTCATCTAAAAAGTCACGCAATAACTGCAACATGATGTTATTCCATTAAAAAAAATAGTTTATACTAGTTCTTAGAATAATTATTTTGATGTAATACTAATTTAAAATTTTAGTAATAGAAAATTTTGTTTTAACATCAACTCCAGTAACGTGAACTTTTTATAGAAATTTACAAGTGCTCCAACTTTGTCTTAAAAAGGTCTACCTATTATATACCCACTCGCACGTCTAGAAAAACAGATTTAGAGAAAGAACTTTACTTCATAACTATATTTTTAAATTAAGACGAAATTAGCTTTAACTTACAGTTTCTCCTTTTCTTTGACTGATTCTTGCTGTAATTTTGCAGCTCACTTCTTTATCTACGAGATTGATCTCTTGGAAACCTGGAGTCATAATCTTCGATACACGTTTAAGTAATGACGGGTCCTTGATCAGTAACAAAGAATCGGTTTCGGCGGGGTTGTCGAAGATCGGACCAGGATATTTACCTGATATCTGTTGAGAAGGAAGAAAATAGTTTCCGTTATTGTATAGCGGCATATTACAGTTATTTACACTGTGATACTATATATTATGTTCATGTTAAGAATATAGAATCCCAAACTTAGCATATTTCTTTTTAAAATATCGGCAGCACACCTTTTTTTATACAATTTACAATGGCAAACAAGCTGACGGCCCACCTGATGGAAAGTGGTAACCGTCGCCTATACACATGAGCAGTACCATGGACATAACAGAGTATATTGTTTCGCCCATGATACCCTCCATGCGTTGCCATTCCTAAAGACTCAGGTGTTATTCCTCTGTACCCAGTAAATTCACGCCACATCCCACCCTTCAACCTGAAACACAGCCATGCAAACACAACTGTTTCACGGTTGAAACACGAATGGGACAGAGGTACCCAAGCAATCGACTTTTGTACAAAGTCTCCCCCTGCAATGCCTTTAGTGTTGTGGGTGATCATGGACGGCGATAGTCACTTGCCATCATGTCAGCCGCATGCTCGTTTGCCGCTTGTGTTTAATAAAAAATAGAGAGAAATATCCGCTATCTTTATCAAAAATATATTAAGTATAAACGAATGTTCTGTATAAAGAATAATCATGAACAATTATATATTACTATCTATATCCCCACAATGCCATTTCTATTTTCAGAATTCAGTCTTCTTTCTACATTGTCTATACTAAGATGTAAAGATTCGCACTTCTTTTTGCCTAATTCTTTATATTTGTAACCTTTAGAAAGATGAGTGAAGTGAAATTAGTTTTGAAAACTTAATTGTTAACAGAATACCAAATTTAAATCACTCGCAAATAAATAATTAAAATCAAGTTTGATTTTACAGAATAGCATTACCCCTATATATTTTAATCAATTACAATAAAGGATAATTAATTACCTTTCCTGGCACTTTGGGTACTCTGGCAACGAGTAGCCGTGTAGTCGGCACTCCTGGCATTACACTGATTAACGCACCTGCTCTCCCGGAGTATATACCCGATCCTGGAATATACAGGTGAGGAAAATTAGTTAATTACTTATATTATAGATCTCGATACCTATATTATAATATTGATTTGACACTATAACAAGTCGAGAAAAACTAATGTCTAAATAGAACAAAGAAACGTTTGTCTCAGCTCATGAGATCACCCAAATTACACTAATTGTATTATTACTAAATAATTGTACTATTACTCCAAATGCTTTGCCATTTTTAATCGATTTCAAAAAGAATATTTTTATATTTTTCACGTTTTATACAACTTAGAATGGCAAACAAGCTGACGGCCCACCTGATGGAAAGTGGTAACCGTCGCCTATAGACATGAGCAGTACCATGGACATAATAGAGTATACTGTTTCGCCCATGATACCCCCATGCGTTGCTATTTCTGAGGACTCAGGTGTTATTCCTCTGTACCCTGTAAATTCACGCTATATCCCACCCTTCAAACTGAAACACAGCCATGCAAACACAACTGCTTTACTGTAGAAACACGAGTAGGACAGAAGTACCCAAGGAATCGACTTTTGTACAAAGTCTCCCTCTGGTGTACCTCTTAACTCCATCAGTTATAAATCGACTTGAAAAATTCTTTTTTTATGTGAAGAGTTATATATACCAATAAATTGGTCCCATACACATTTTATCAAAATTGGTTACGTAATTCAGTTTTGAAATCATAATAATTGTGGTAACAATTGAAATCAGTTTTTTTTTTTTTTATACGAGCCTCAGTCTTAAATTATACGTTATGCAGAATTAAACAAAAATACAATAGACAATAATATCGAATAATAATATAAAATAAATAATTATATTATAATGAACAGGATGTGTTGTGGAAAAATTAGTGATGGACGAAGATGTAGGTTCTATCTTACAAGTATAATAAAATTGTAATTAGACACGGGAGATATTTGAGAAAAGTTTATATGAATGCTCTTAATAAGACCAATAGATTTCTTTATATGTAATCGATTATTTTATATGTAACTTACAAGTGCAATAAAAAATATATATTGCACTTATTAAAATAACATTTTTTAAAAATTATGACTATTTACTCCGGCGTCACACAAATACCAAATTAGATGTTGTTTTCATAATTATGAAAGTCTAACTTAAAATTTAGTATATGTTTTATCTTGATACGTCACCTGGGAGTGGTTCATTCCATTATTTTTTCTACTTTAGAAATTCACGTGTACCAAATAGTAGGCAAAAACTTTGTACTTCTTAAAGATAACTTACCAGCAGTACCAACGGCTATATTATTGGCTCCACTTGCGAGGAAGTTCACATTCATACTGTAAGCGTACGACTCTTGAATCTGCACAGCTGTAATTTTAAAGTTTAGTTTTAGAAGGCGTAATTCCTTTTCTTGGAATTTCTTGCATGTTTATAAAATTAAAAATAATAATAAAACTCAAAAGAATGATGCCTATTTAGGACAGTTAGGATAATTTCAACTGAACCATTATGTGACGAACATACCTAAAAATTAATAACTAAATGTGTTGCTGGGCGCAAAATTTCAAAATAGCTTGACTATTTCGGATTTTTTAAGTATACATTGAAGTCTTAGGAAGATTCTTATAAAGAATGTTATATTTTGTTTATGCTGGAAATTTATATTTTTCGTATTTGTGAAATAATGATATTATTAACAGCACAGACAGTTCAATAAACTTACAAAGGTGACCAATAAATAAGTGATACAATAACAAATAATACTGATAAGCTTATCTGCAATTTAAAATTTACGTACATGCTATATAAAAATAACAAATATATTGGTAGTTATGGATTAGCAATGTCAATACTCTTTTATAGGTACCAAAAAAAAGATAAAAAAAAGAAAGTATGATTAAAAACATTTTTAGAGACAAACTTTTATAGCCTTTAAGCTTCATTATTATCTTTGAGCATTACACATGGTTTTTGTCAAGACAAATCATATTTACGTTTATTAATTTTTTTTATTAATATAATTTAAATCAAAATTACAAATTATCGTCCAATATTTGTAAAGCCAAGCCATAAATACGTACAGGTACTTTGGCATTTTTTTTCTGACTTGCCTTCTACTATATATTGACATATAAATTATTAGAGACATATAAATGACGACGCATAAAAATATAATAATATAATGTAACAATGTACGTATTTTGAATTGCTATGCATTGTATACAAAATGTACTACTTTTTATTTACACAAATGCAGTGCCAAAACCCGCGTCTCACCAGCGCAACGCTAACACGCGCCAACATTACACCTACTTCCTTACTACATTCTAGGTAATTAGAATATTCACCAGTAAAGGTTAATAAACTTGCCTAAACAGAGCTAAAAATAAACTAAGTATATAGTATACAATGTAACAGGTATGTTATTAAACTAAGTTACAAATCTAAATTGGAGCCATGTGTACAAAATATTACCTGGATTTTCCTTAAGGGATTGCTGTATTCTACAAAACAAGTTTCAATTATTGAAATTGTATTACAAACACCATGTGACATGTTGACTTACTGTGTTACATATGTATAATATATGTAAAGTATTTTCTCCCATATAAATTATTCGCAGAAAGTTCTTTTTGCATTAATGAGTAATAAAATATACTATACATGTCATCTTTTATTTTAAATATTATACAATGAATTATTGCGTTATACTTGATACACGGTAAAACGATGGTGCACTAATTGCACCATAATTTGAGAATAGGTAATTAATTATACTCTTAAAAAAAATAGACTTATAAGCATTTTTAAATAAACATTTTGATTAAGAATATTGACTAGACTCTGGTCTCTTGTCATCGTACATTGCCCGCATGTCAATGTCTAAAGTACAAATGTGGGTTTGAAGTCCAAAGTCCAAACGTTGAATCAAGTTCATAAGTACATAGAGATCGTTTATTATAGACAGGTCTGAGAGTACATATACGCTTCTTTTAAGGGGCTATCCTGGAAGGAATCCTTAATACGCGAATGATAGAATGCCTTATTGTAATCACTAACCTGTTAAATAAGGCATCTCGGAGAACCACATAGTGGATAAAATTACATTTGTAATATTATTCTTTTCTACAATTTGAACAGCCGGAACTTGGAACATGAGGTCAAAACAAATGAAGTGACCGAAGCGTACTCCAAAGTCTGTATCAAATAGGCCCAGTTCAGGCTTCAAGGCCGGGTAACGCGTCCACTCGCCAAATAAATTGATTTTGCGGTATCTATAAAAAAAAATATTTCCTTATTACCATGTCTGTTATTGACAGGTTACAACTCGACAAGTTACAATAAATGACACTGGTTTAGATTTTACACTAACGTATAGAAAATATTAGAGACTTTGCGGATTTCGTCAAAGAAAATGTAAAAAGATATATTATTAATTTTTTTTTTAAATATTCATTCTCAGCTGTCATCATATACTGGTACCCCGCTAAAATGTACCGATAGCGTAGGCAGGGTTACCGTTTCATTACCGTCCATTAAAAAATCCTTTCTTCCAACTTTCGTAGTGGATAAGCATCTCACCTGTCAATAACAGCACCATTGCGATCGAATACCACGTTAGTATTGAATATGTAAAGTTTTTTCTTGGGACAAAACTCTCCAGGCGCATTATTGCAATCCATTTCTTCTTGTACGTTGATCACTACGTATATCTTATTGTCCCTGGCTGCTTTCGATATAGCTACAATAGGCTGAAATCCATATTAAAAATATTTAGAGACATTACTTTCTTCCATAAATATTGTTTTAAAATGCAACAAATAAACAAACAAATATTACTATTTTAAGTACATTTTGAACCCAACGGTAGAATTATAGTAAAGTTATAGGAGTATTGAAGTGAAGTGAATGGCATTGACATAAATTTTATTTAAATAAACTTAAGTTGACAAAAAATTAATGAAAATTATAGGATCCATACAGTAAATATGAGAGACGTGTCTAACATTTGTCGTGTCTCTATTATATAAATTTTAGCCGCAATTCAAATATGGCATGGTACTAGTCCCTTAGTACTAAGTTACGCGGCAAATGTTCTTTTGTCCTCTATCTGTACACTATCCACTGGGTTCTTTTCTTATCTGGATTTATACTATTTTATTTTTAAATTTGAAATAAATATACGTATACGAAATCCAAAATTCTATTGAACGGTTTCGTTATATTAAAATTAAAATCAATAAAAAAATGAGTATGCATTTATTATAAATATGTTTTATGTATCTACTTGCCTCATCATACAACTCGGGATGTAGAGCTGGTATGGGATACTCTCGCAATAGTCCATGGAATGGTACTTTCACGACTTCCAACTTTCTAACTAGCGTCATTTCAGGAAACACTATGATATCTGCATTCTGAAAACCAATATACCATATACCTCTATAGTAACAGAAACAAGTTGTCTATAATTCTATAGACTGTATATAGTACTTGTATTTTGTTATTTTTGTTATACTTCTTCACGAATTTGAAATATATATTTCTAATTATAGGAATTTGGTTTCTAATTATAACCTACTTTTTTAGAGTACAATAATGGCAACAATTTTTTTTCAAGTTGGTCTTTACAGCTTCACCGAAAGAGTGCAGAGACGAGTCCATAAGTTACAATCCAGTCCATACATTTCAAGTTCGCAGAGAAGAGAGATAGAAGGTCCATTCGTGCTGAAGAATTACGGCGTGTGCTCATGGATGCCTAAGCGGCTCGAACCAAAGAGTAATTCCTCCATTTTAACTTAAGCCACTGTATTTCGAGCCTAGTCAAGGTACGGCGGGTCAGTTGTATTTGAACGATGAGGTTGAGCGATACGCTCGAGTACGTTTCTTCAATCATCAAACTCTACCTTTGAATAGCTTGTGTTTTAATGAACGTGGCAACAAATATTTGCGGGCACAATCCAGTTCTCACAAACATGAGCCAATTCAGAAAAATCGATTCCTAAATTTCGTATATTTTTTTAATAAGAGAGCAGTAGACTATACATACTTGTTCAGCTGCATTCTTTATATACTGAACGTATTCTTTCAAGGCCACAGAAGAATCACTGGTGAGCTTGAACTCTACCACCGCCGCCACATAGCTGTCGTCTTCTGGACTCGATTTCTGTAAATAAGTTAAAAAAAATGACGATTTTTTATTCTTTTATCCTTAAAATGAATAGCAAACAAACCGACTCCCCATCTTATCAACAGTAGTAGCCATCATCTATGGAGCAATAGAATCAAGATTTTCACAGAACACACTGTAATACCCCATTAACATTTACCCATAGTAACCCTTATATACTCTTTTTAAAGGGATGGAAAAGTAACCAGGTAGATGATAATGTCAGTATGAGTGAAAATAAAGTCAATTAGCACGTTACGATGGATTCGCGAGTGATTAATAACCATTTGAAGATCGACCTGAATATATATTGCTGGCAATAGAACCACTGTTTCCATAGACAAGGATGGAAATGATAATACAATTCCCCCATTCTTACCCTTGCACCCCCGTACCCTGTAAAGATATTCTCGTATCCCACTCTTTAAACGGAAACAAAGCCACGCAAATAATATAGATAACAACACAAGACAAAATTATGTTGATTTATCAAAATCGTTTCAGCACTATTTGTTTATGAGTGAAAATAGAATGATAATCCCGCTTGTGCTGGTAGTATATCCTCGCGTGATATCAGTAAATGATGACAGATAAGGATGTAGTCAAACCAATTCGCCCATCGTGACGAATTCACCAGGAATTAATCACAATGGTTTCCAAAGGGGATCATGAGGACGTCGATCTGAGAAAATATGTTGTTAGCAATGGGACTGCTCATTCCTATTACTATAATTAACACGTGACTAAACAGTCACCCATCCAAAAAGGTATCTGCATGCTGAATGTGTAAACTGCATCTTTTCTCACTTAAATACATGACTAACCGTTCCCTGATCTTATAAAACGTCAAAAACATTACATTACCTATGAATGCTTAAAATAGTATTTGAGTAAGTATTTTTTTTTAACAATGCATTATTGCATTTCTATAAAGATAATACAATCAACAAACTAGAGACATCTGTTGAGATTTATTTTTTAACAATGAATTGATACAAAACAAACAATAACAAATTGAATAATGCAAATAAATACATACTTGTATCGATTCTTGTACGACGAACCAACAAAAAATCGTTAACAACAATGAATTTCTCATTATTATGTAATTTATAATCACAGTTGAATCTAGAATAAATATTTCAGTGCACAAACATCACGGTATTGTTTGAAGTAGTGTTTATTGTATTAAGATAACGAAATAGCTAAATAAATCGTATGTATGAACCAGAGAACGCGACCGCTCACGGCGTAATGCGCGCTTGTTGTGAATCGTTTGTTTGGCTTTGGTAACAGCTGACATCCTTTGTAATATAATTATCTGCCACACAGATCACAGAATACCTAATAATACTACTACTACCACTGTTTAAAGATTTATTTCCTGTTAAACATCTTGTGGACACTTCAATTCATTTATTTTTTCTAGACAGTACAATGCGTCCCGAATTGTCATGTTACTGTTCACATACAGGCACATTTCAAAGGCGTTAAACCACTGGTTTTTTATACTGTGTTTAGATGTTACGTTGTCACGTGTCAGTAATCCTTATCACAGGATAGTTAGTTCAAAGTAATTCATAGTTTGTTTATTTCAGACAGATTTACTAGACTGTACAAAAATCGTTTTTCTCCCACTGGTATTTTTGCCGCCAAACAACTGTGCTTGCATGACTGTTTCATTTAGTTTGAAGGGTAGAATATGACTGTAAAATTACAGAGTAGAAAGGTCTAATATCTCAGAAAAATTAACTCATAATTAATAGTAGAAACATAAGAATAACAGCATAGTTGATAAAATGTCTCTGGCTACCTTATCTTGACTATCGTCGTGATTGTATTATTTACTGAATATTGCAAATTAATAAGGAAATATTTCAAAGCGAACCTTGATATAACGATCGAGGTTTTTGGCACTTCCGTTCACATTAAATTCTTTAACACTAGCTGATTAACAAACAAGACACAGCCTTAACTAAGTAAATTTAATAGAATAAATTTTGGTATACAATTTAGGCATTTATTGTAAATAAATAGGATTTCTTAGTAGATAAACATATTTACGGAGGCGAAGTCGCGGGTAATGACTATTTTATTTATTTATTTTACACTTTTTTGCACCACTTATAAAAATAATAAATACAGTAAATTTTAATGAATAGTTATACAAAAGACGTCCATTATCACTAAGCAATCTCTTCCAGACAACCTTTGAGTAAAGGACATTGAGAAAAAAAAAGGGCAGGAGACGTACTACGACATAGATACTAATATGTACATACGATTGTTAGTAATGGAGACTGAGAATCCCAATGCTAGCAATATACCCAACCAGATCGACCTCCTCGCGGTTCCCTCTGGAAACTATCATGGTTAATTCCTGATAAATCCATTCACGCTGAATTCTAGGTGTATCCATCACGATGAGCTAACTGACCTACATTTATTTATATTTACTGTATAGTATACTAAATATGTATATAGGAATAAACATGTTATAATAATAATATAATATGTTATATTTACTATAATATATTCTAAAAAATAAATTATATTTTTTTTTTAATTTTAACAACGCATTAGCGACTTTCCTGTGGTGTTAATGTCTGCAGTATCAGGTATCAGGTAACTATCAGGTAAAAGCATGCTTACAAAAAATAAAGTTAAAACCTTCATACCTGTAATGATATGTTCACTATACAAACAAATACCAATATAAATAACGAGCGCGTCATATTTGTTTTCACAGAATTTCCAACTGATAATTCCTGAGTTGCACGCAGCCACACACTAAAGCAACTTCAACCAGTTCTACATATTTATGAGACACAAATACGTTTGCTCGTCTCCATATTTTAATACGATACGAGATTTCTTTCCCGTAAAGGCATTTATTGACTTACAAAATAAAAGTTCGTATTTTTAGCTACGTATTTATAACTCCGTAACTCCAATGTCAAGTCTGTGCCTATACATCTTTCTAAAAGTGTACAGATATCGTTCAGAGGTTATGTAGATACTTATCACGATCGGGTTGTTATGATAAAAGCTGTTTTCTTTTTTGTGGCACAAAATCTTAAATTAAAATTAATAAATACAGAAGACAATGGAAATGTAGAAAGACTATCCTTATACATATCTTATTATGTTACATATGGGAGCGGGGAGATCCCGTAGTGGAAGGAATAACTGTATATGTAATATATCTATTAAATTTTTTTCTGCATCGTTATTTATCCCTATTAGTATAATACATATAATATATAAAGTATATTTATTTATTTATTTATTGTTTTTGTTGTTTTATCTAATCGCTATAAAGTTTGGTACACACGTACTCTATTGATATTTTTTATAAAACGAGAGTACGAACTTCGTTGCCACTTTGTTATAAACTGCTAGTTTTTGCCCGTGACTTCGATTGCGTGTGGTATGCGATTTTTCAGAAATTTTGTTTTGAACCATGAACCTAAATCTAAACTTTCACGTATGTAAGTTCCATACAATCTTTCAACCCCCGTTTTGCCCTCTTAAGAGTCAACCCTTAATATTAAAAATATTTAAAATTTAATTTTTTTAAATTCCTTTCTTGTCATTTAACTACCTTGTATGTAAAGAAGCGATCTGTAAAATATCAAGATTTTAGATACAGCAATTTCGGTTGTACGTCATGTATATGGGTCAATCAGTCGGTCAGTTCACCAGAAAGAGACTTTGTACAAAAGTCGATTGCTTGGGTACCTCTGTCCCATTCGTGTTTCTACTATGAAGCAGTTGTGTTTGCATGGCTGTGTTTCGGTTTGAAGGGTGGGATATGGCGTGAATTTACAGGCTACAGAGGAATAACATCTGAGTCCTCAGGAATGACTACGCATGGGGGGTATCATGGACGAAACAGTATACTCTATTATGTCCATGGTACTGCTCATGTCTATAGGCGACGGTTACAACTTTCCATCAGGTGGGCCGTCAGCTTGTTTGCCATTCTAAGTTGTATAAAAAAAAAATATTCCACTTGCAATGTAGTGGGTCCATTTTGAATCTTTTTATATCTCTTTTGGACCTTGCAAAATCGCGGACGAAAAAAACTTATGGACAAAGTCGCATTTGTACTTTATGTGTATATACATATGTCTCGCGGTCACGGCTGTTACCAAGTGTCAATGTACAATACTAGCGCCTACATCACTTAATTAACAATATTCTACAACTTCGATATTATATTTAATAAATTGATAGGCGCTTAGAATAACCGCGCATCACTGCGATCTGCGGAGAGGCGCTTAGCAGGATGAACCGCCCGACTGCGCGGGACGCCTTGTATCTTAGGAATGGGATGTTCAGACACAAATTATTATACTTATTAATATTATAAACGGGAAAAGTTTGTTTGTCTCTTTGTTACCTCTTGGCGCTTAATTATGCGTCACGAAATTTGGAATACACGTACTATTTGAAATGGAGTAAGGAATGGAGGAGGACATTGCCACTTCATACATTCCTTTTTACAATAATGAACTTGACTAATAACTTCAATATCTTTTGTGCTGTTTAATAGTCTATATTTTCTTTTGAGTAAAAAACAAGGGCTCTCACTGGACACTGCAAACTAAATAAGCATATGTCCCAACTAGGCTTATGCCCAAAAAACGTTCGCAGATTTTTTCACAATGATAAAGAAACGCCGCAACACTTAATTTGTGATCGTAGCCCACTCATACATAAACGATATAACTCCTTTAGAAAACATACTTTATATCCTGAGGAGATAAAAAATAACGCTACAAAAAACATCTTAAAATTCCTACCACAGATAGGAATTAGAAAAGAAAAGAACAAAGGTCGCAGTGTGGCAGGCTTTTCTGTCTGAAAAAACGATCTTTCAAAAATAATAACAATCTACATTTATATATATTCAAAATTATGAAATCTAATTTTTTATTTGAATAAAGCAACAGTTGAGTTTTTTAGCCGTCTTTCTCAGCTGAAATTACATGAGCGGTGGAATCATACAATAACTATTCAAAAATACTTATAATTAAGTTTGCATAAATAAAAAAAATATGTTTATTTTTATCTTGATATAATTAATAAATATATAAGGCGGGTTAAAATTTGTAATAACAAACAATGTAAATTAAATGCAAAAATAATAAGATGTTAATTCGATTATATTTTCCTATGATATTCTCCAACATCTTTCTCAATAATGTAACGTTTGTGACGATTTAATTTAGAATAATCTCGATAGATCGATCTGAATCAAAGTCCAATTTACATCGAAATCGAGGACAAAGTTGCTAATTCCGATGCAACAGATCGCATCATCGTGAAAAATAAAAACTTTGAGAGTCATTTCAAATTAGATAGATAGATAGATATATCGTTTATTTGTTTGTTACTAATCACACACAACATGTACATAAGAATAGGTAATACATAAAACAACATAAGATTTATAAAATTGTGTTATTATGTGTGATCTGCAGCAATACAAAAAGGTCGAAGCTCAGCGTGTTACATTGTTCAAGGAACAAAACACTGATTTTCAGCTTTAACCCATTTGAGGGTACGTGAAAATAATAATTAAAATAAATATAAAATAAAAAGAGCAATATTTTTGGTGATTGTCTGTGCAGTGTGTGTATAATAAAAATAATGTAAATAGTTCAGAGTATAATTTGATATAATTTTAACTGAGTGGTAAGGATAAAGCGAAAAAAAAAAGAAAATATTAATAAGAGAAACATGGAAAAAAAAATATTAAAAATCATTACATGAGTGTGCAACCGCTAGCCAAGAAATTTCTGTGGAATGCCTAAAATTTGTTTTTTTAATAAGTATTCTTTGTGATGTTTTTTACCAACTAACTCTCCAATGATTGGAAACAACAAATAAGTCCGAGAAACGGTAGTAAGCCTACACCTTCCGGATTCAAATATGCTCGGCATATTTACTTTATTTTTTTTTTATACTTAATCCATATTGATATTCTCAATGCCCCTATTAAATATATAATCATTGTATATAACGAAGAGGCGACTGCGATAAATTTGTAGGAAATCAAAATAAATTCATAGGTCAATAATAAATAAATTATTTACGTCACGATAAAAAGAAACATTACAGTAGAAAAAAAATATTTATATGTCTGAATAGACAAATTTCCCAAATGCTTATCGGTGTTAAGATCGAGAGACATAAATGTATAGAATTTAAGATTTTGAAGAAAATCTCTGGGAACAAGGGGATTAGTAGAGATATGAATGTATTATTGGATATTTATGCAATTACCTTCTTTGATGAAATGATTAAAGTTATAATAATTGAAGCAAGATTAGATATATATAACTGACATACCTATCATACACATTTGTTGTGACTACACATAGTTACACGTGATTGTATAGTTCGCATACAATAATCTAATATGTATGAGTATTTTTATTTTTATATGATTTAGCAATTCCTAGAATGATAATCTCACCTCTGCTATCAGTATATGTTGACGGTGCACCAGCAGGTGATGACAAATGGAGATAAAGTTAGATCAGTTAGTGTTAAAAAAATATGCATGGTTTCCGAACTACATTGTCTATGTTGTCTATTCACCTGTATCCTATTCTCTATGATCACTTTCTCTCAAAATAAAATGGCTGAATCATCCCTACGTGTTTTCTTGTCTCTGCTAAATCAATAGTTAGCTCATTGTGACAAATTCACGACGATGATATCCAAGAGTTAACCACTCAGATATTCATCAGGCCCTCTAGAGAAGTGGCAAGCGAATTCATCGATGAAATAGACATCGCTAGCGAGTCCGTAAGATAGAATGAAATAGAAATGTCGGATGTCTTATTCCAGCTCATGGACTCGCTAGCGATGTCGATTCCATCGATGAATCTACTATCTGTTCTCCTTTAACCAAAGGTTGTCTGTAAGAGATTGCCATAGCGGTAAGACCGCCTTTTGTACCTTTATGTGTATATTTAAATTGTATTTTATGTTACTGTATTTCACTTGAATTGTTCAATTGTCATTGTATATTTTTATATTTCTGGTGCAATAAAGACTTAAGTAATAGTCGCTTGCCACTTGTCTAGAAGTCCTGATATTGTTAACAATGAAGCCGTTAATCCCTACTATTAACAATCTGCCCTCCCAGGACATCCTTTTTATATAGGCATGAACATTGCATGGGCATTACATGACAAATACAATTCTTATAAAAGTAATATTTTTTGTTACAATATTTATTAAAATTCAATTATTTTGCTTACGCTACGTGTATGCTCAAAGTCTGTGGTCGTCATTATCTGGTTTACTGATTAAATATAAAAATCAGTCAAATACAAACCTTATGCCTTTGGCATTAGGGTTATCGGGCTTCAGATCATGCATTTCATTAAGATTTGCTTCCCTACTGCAAAGACGGTTTTTTCAAATGTCATCTGTAAAAATTGTAGCAAATTTTTTTCAATACATTTGGAGATAATTGAGAAAAAGTACAGGAACAAAAATAGGGATTAAGTGATAATCTCTATACAATAACCATTATCAGTGTGTACAAATTGATATGACTTTTAAATATAATGATATAGTCATATGGCGAGATGTAACATTAGATATCTTATCTGTAGATATACAAAATAGAGAACAGCCACTTAAATTACGTATCAGAGCTTGTCACCCGCCAACTTTAAATCCCAATTACAAAAATGGCTTATTATTGACCATTGTTTCTAATGAATTTATGAAATTAAAAGTGGAATGAGTATTTATATTATAATAATATTGTTGATACTAATCTCTAATACGTATTAATATTAAATGAAATTAAGTATATTAATTGACATGAAATTGTATTTGACATTTTGTTTTTATAAGAATTGTTGACACTGTTCATTTAATATATAAGTATTTTAAATTTTGCATGCCTAATTGTGGCGAAATGTGTGGAGTTATTTTTATTTTAACACCTGTATACTTACCATGTTTCTTGCAAATAAATATTCATTCATTCATTCATTCAAAGTATGCTAAGCGCAGGAAAAAGACGTTGAGCTAATATTTCTTATATTAATAAACTAATGGACCCGACAGCCATTATCGTAAATACTAATACAGCGCCACCTACCGTATCCAATTATTCAATCCATTAATCCAATTAATTAAACCATCCACTCAAATACACACAAAAAATATCTAATTCGATACAGCGATTTAGGTAGATTTCAGTAACATACACACGTAGAAAAGAATTATATATTTTAGTACCAACGGATGTAAACTCTTTCTAGTATATAAATAAAGATCTATTTAAATTTATCTATTAAAATCACACACAAAAAAGGACTTTCTGGCACTGTATGTTTATCTAATTATTCTATATCTTTTTTTCGATATATATTATTTATTATAATATAATATTTTTAACAAACAAAAACTGCAATCGAAATTACAATCATCTGCATTTTGAAATCGATCGAAATGAAATCTTTTATTTTTCTTAAAGCGATTAAACTAAATGAGAAATAAAGAATAAATCGCTGTCAATCTCAATATGGAAAAGAGATAACGGATAAAGATATTAAGAAAAAAAATTAAGGTATACCTAAAACGAAAAATATCGCGTATCACAAATAATATCGCATTGAACATGTTTAATGCTATAAATATTGCTGTATTGGTATTGTTGCTTTACAGGAACTTTACTGGCAAGTATTGTTAGGGGGAGATTTTATACAAATTTCGTCTGCTTTGGTACCTCTGTCCCACTCGTGTTTCTGTCGTAAAACGGCTATTCATGCATATCTGGTACAGTTTGATGGGATTGAAATGGCAGGGAAATTACAGAGTATAGAGACACCATAGTTCACAAGAATAGCAACGCCTAAGAAGGCGTTCATCAACAGCACCATTCTGTCACACCTCGGTCACGGAGTATATCCATGCATGATAGCTTTCTTAATGGAAAGTAGTGGATCAGGAGGATCGTCAGCTTGTTTACAAAAAAAATATGTTGTATAACAAATATAGGACGCCGGAAACATTAAAAAGATATGTAGGTATTATTTAACTTATGGTTCATAATAAAAAAAACCTGTCAGGTACAAGTTGAACTCACTGAGGGTTCTGTACATTATTATTATTGAAAGACAGGCTTTTTCAGACAGAAAAACCTGTGACACTGCGACCTGTCCATGACCTTTTGTGCTCACCCTTTTTTAGGCTCTATACATATATAGGTATAAGATAAAATACCTTTGTTGCAATTCATACCTGAAATTACTTCCAAAAATTATTATTATTGATATTAAAAATCGTAATTTCATATTTTGAGCATAATTTTGTTTAAAAACTGGACCGCATAACTTTGTTTTTGGAGTTTTTTTTAATAATTTCTCAAAAACAATATTAGTTAAAAACATCGTTTTATTTTTCCTGTAATATTTTCCTTTATAAATTGCAATTATCTCAGATTTTAAGTTGGAAAATGGTTCTTTTCTCATATTTTCAATCATAAGTCAAAAACTACGTATCGTAAAATAAATAAAAATCAATTTTTAAATAAACAATTGAAGCCATTTTATATGATAACCCACTAGAACTAGTAGGTCTATTTTAAAATTTTGAGTACCTATTTTTGAACCCCATAGCAAGCAAAATAAAAATATTTTTTAAATTATTTCTATTGCAATATATGTGAGCTAATAATGAGTAAAACTATTCCAAATTTCATATCGACTACATCGTTATTTGTCACTGAGATATAACGTTGTGACAGATGAACGGACGGACGGATGGACGAACAGACGAAGTCACACCATAAGGGTTCCTTTGTACTTTTTTGATACAGAATGTATATTTAATATCCAGTATTTGTTTTTAAGTCATAGTTACATTTTGTTTCATATAAAACTGTAACAATGCCTTTATATAATGAAATACTTTTAATAATTATTTATATTTATAATGTTTTATTATCTTGTTTAAAAAAATTTCGTCAATAGTATGCAATTTTAGGTGTTTTATCATAACCAACTTTTATACGAAAGATCGTTTCACAAATTTAATCGAATTTTAGTCGAACAAAATGTGTCTGCAGCAAGCATATGTGGATTTTTTTTGTTCTTAAAATAATCCGCGCGTACAACTTTGTGCCCCATCTAAGATATCTATTAATCAACGACCCGCCACGGCTTCGCAAGAGAAAATAGGTAGAAATATAATTTAGAAAATATATTTTTTTAATTAAATATAGCAACTGATAATGTAACTTTATAAAGGTGAAAGAATTTTTATAATCGATTAAGTATTTTTTTTTTTATTTATTAATTACAAACAAACAAATCTTTTATTTTCATAATATGACTTTAGCTATGTATATATACATAGGTAAGTGTTTGTTATCTCTGTTATACTGCTATATAAATACCGAAGGCAATGTACAGAGATCCACTTACGATAGTGCGGCAGACAGGTGCAAATTGTCAAACAATGTCGCGAGTTATATTTATATTATTGACTTGTATATTAAAACTATCATTACAGGTACGTAATAATTATACAATTAGCCACAGTGTTGCTATTTTTTATTTTTCCCAATTTTTTTTATATTTATTCTCCAAATTGATACTATTTCTTTCGATTTTACGCGAACATAAAGTTCTGTTTATTTTCACTACGTTTTATCAAGTAACCACTACACGGGCAAAAAAATAAAACAAAATTTCTCCAAGACACAAATTTTTACCCTAAACTGCGAAAAAATACGTAATCTGGCAATACTGAGTTTCTAGTAATGTTCACTCAATAACAAATATTAGATGTCAGTAAAAAATATAACTAAATATATTGTTGTCTGCCATAGTCATAATAGCTCTACTTAATTAGAAACTGGATGGCAATTATTATTAGCACATTTAAAGCAATAATTCATGAAATATTAATGAAAATAAGTAATCTTATTGTTAAGACAATATTATAATTTATAATTAAAATTATTTTGATTCGTATTTTATCTGTTTACATTTGTCTAATGTTTAAATTATAATGAATAAAATATACTAATGAATCGAGTATATTGCACGGGTAAATGAAATAAAATTACTTTCTTTTTTTTCTATTTATTTATTATTGCTATTATTTATTATAGGATTCTGTCCATAGATGTAGAGTTAAATATTATAGATGTAGTGCATATTATTGTGAATTAAATTTTGACCTTAATTTTAAAAATTAGATGGTGTAGAGCTTAATTAACTTCTATTTAATTTCAATTAAATTTTCCTACATAAAAATATTGGATATTCACCTAATTTAAAAGTTTAAAAAATAGTATTATCGTATTATTAGTTTAGCAGCGAAAGGAGGCAAATAGTTTTGGTAAATAGGTAAAAGATCTCTATTTTTTTAATAAAATACAACGTATATTATTAACTGTTAATGCAACTTTTTACAAATGTAAGAATTTTTAAAATCAATTAAGCATTTTTAAATTATTGCGTTATAAATAAAAAATAAAATCTTTGCTCTTTATACTTCTGGCCTACTCCATTTCGCATGAATAGACCGAAAATAATATACGAGTATAGCCTACGTTAAAAGTTATACATAATCCGCCTGCTCGCTAATAATGTAGCTTTTTATAGATGAAATTTTTATTAAAATCAGTTAAGTACTTTTTGGGTTTATCCATTACAAACTAACATACAAAAAAGTCAAATATTTCATCTTTGTATATAAATGGATAGATAGATATTAATTTGGAGTATATGATTATACATATTTTGTTATAGAGATCCTTCCCAGAAGACGACAGCTATGTGGCAGCTGTGGTGGAATATCAGCCATCTTTGACCTCAAGCTCAGCCCTCCGTGATTATGTGGACTTTATCGAGCAAGCTGCGGAACAGGTACTTATATATTTAACCTCAAAGGCTACTTTTTCAAAAGAAGATAAATATAGAACCAAAATAATCAAAGGTATATAATATATATATATATATATATATATATATATATATATATATATATATATATATATATATATATACTAGCTGACTCGGCAAACGTTGTTTTACCATATACATTATTTCTAGAACTATACATGAAAATTTATCGTACTATAATTATTATATTCGATTACCATCATACAACCCTATTGCGATATATAAAATCGCGATTAAAAAACAGGGGTTGATCGTAAAAGCGTGAAAATTGGAATTTGTATGTATTTTTCAATGCTAAATCATAATAAAATAAAAATGGAAAAATTTGTCAAAAAAAAAAAAAAAATTTTTTGGGGAGGGTCACCCGTATCATTGAGGGGTATAAAAAATAGATGTTGGCCGATTCTTAGACCTACCCAATATGCACACAAAATTTTATAAAAATCGGTAAAGCCGTTTCGGAGGAGTTTGATATAAATACCGTGATACGACAATATATATATATATATATATATATATATATATATATATATATATATATATATATATATATATATATATATATATATATATTAAATAATACGTTAATTTAACATAAGATTATATAACCATCAGATATTACCACCAGACTACTGGCCTAAACCCTCCCTTATAAAACTAAAAACGAAAACCTTGGGCAATACGTATAAAATCATATGACGCCAGCCTCAAAATTTATATAATTAGGATAATGGTAAGAAGAAGATGATGATGATGATGATGAGCCTTAAGTAACAGGAGATAGCAAACATAAAACTCATTTTCACTTCACATCTGTAATATTAGTGATAATTTAATACTTAAAAAAAAAATGTAATATCTCGGCATTTTTTTATCAACTATTTTTCGTAGATTATTTTTTTCATTGTAATTTACAATTATTCCAGAATGCTGATATAGTAGTATTTCCTGAAATGACATTAACAAGAGGATCATATAGTACTGTTCCGATAAAAGACACTCTGCTTGAATATCCTATACCGGCTCTGAATCCAGAACTTTATGATGAGGTGAGTAACAAATTAAAATAAAAAGCTAATTTTGCGGGTTTAGTTTCGAATGTGATGAAATAAATATGTTACTTTATAGAAACCAAGATCAATAAACTAGGATATATGCAAGTAATGTCACAAAATATACAGTATCGGTGAAATTATGACTTGTGTCTAAGCTTTCATGATATTGGTTTTATAAAATTACCCGTATAAAATTAGTTTCATTGCTTCGGTTTCATTAATCAACAGAAACTATTTCATATAAAACTACCGTATTCGAAATTAACACTTCTTTTTCTTAACGCTTTTTTTTTCATTTATTTTGACAGAAATGTAATATTTCTATAATACTCAAAATTAATATACAATTCAGGGGGAGAAGGGATTGTTAGTAATGCAGATTATCAGTTCCATTGCTAATAATATACCCTAACAGGTCAACCTCCCCGTAGTCTCCTCTGGAAACCATCGTGCTGAATTCCAAGTGTATTCATCACGATGGGCTAACTGACCTGAAATGAAATGAAATGAAATGAAATGAAATGAAATGAAATGAAATTTATTTGCTAGAAACATTGTAGAAAAGGTGTTGCATTTGTGAAGTTTATAAGATGTCCATTATGTTTCGCCACATCAAATGGCATGCAAATATTAATTATTGAATTTATCCATTTTCTATTTTATACAGGTACATCATATATTTAATTTTCAATTACATATACAATAAATCACTATTAGTACGAAGTGTCACTTTGGTCATGCATTACAAATAAAGACCTGCCTTTTCATCCTTACCTGTCATCTATCACTGGTGCCCACCAGCGTATACCGTTAGCGCAGGCGGGGTTACCATTACATTAAAAAAAATATATACAATTCAATCAATGTTAACAAATGAGCCAGATACATATACGAGTACCTATAGAAATTTTTCATGATACTAATATCATGAAATTAATTTTATGTTTCAATCTAACCACATCATATAGAAATAAATTGGTAAAAAAATATGTTTATCCCTAAAAAAATATATCCAAATTTCACCATGTAAGTACTTACTTACATGGTGAAATTTGGATATATTTTTTTAGGGATAAACATATTTTTGTATGTATGTATAATTATTATTATACTTTTCCACAATGCTTATATTTACTTAAACATGTAAAAATTAAGAATATAAACAATTTATTGTCCCTAAAAATATATATATATCTATATACGAATACAGAACGTCCACTGCATAATGATTAAATGTTTTAGTTTCTAGTACAAATCTCAAATGCGTCAAGAGTGAACAGTGTATATGTAGTAATTAATGTCCAAGAACGCATGGACTGCAGAACAGTTACAGAAGAGTTGTGTCCAGAGGCAAAAGTATACTTCTTCAATACTAACGTCGTTTTCAATCGAGATGGCGCTGTAATCGACAGGTCAGCATTATACACGTTATTAAAGACTTGGTTTGATTCTGTGGCACAAATATCTAAAACTATATTAAAAATAAAAATTTCTATTGCCAAGCGTAGCAACTACTAACAAAACCCTCCAATATAGAGAAGCCTATGTTCAATAGTGGATAATTAAAGGCTAATATGGTATGGTATGTAAATAAAATGACAACCCTGCTTGCGCTATTGATTCTCGCTGGCGGGATACCACTGAAGACGAAGTCAGATCAGCTGGTTCATCGTGACGAATTCACGATGAATTAATTGAATTAGAAATCCAATATAGATTTGACTATTGTTGGCAAATAAATAAAAGGAAATAATGAAAGGGTGAAATAATAGCATGCAAAATCTACAATGCTATTCATATTTATAGACGATGCTTACCAGTTTCCATCAGTTGGGCCATTAGCTTATTTGCCATTTTATTTTGAATATAATAATAATCATATTAATAAATCTTATCCCAACCAGTCTGGAACAACATCTCAGACGGTTGGGATTCCAAAGCGGCTCACTCCTGAGAAAGATGCAGAAAGCGGTGCTCTTAGATACTGCCCGCATTGTACGCCGGTTTCTCTCCCTGGGGCCCTGAACCCCGGCCGACTGTGCTTCTGCCGGGGGTTAGTTGCCATCTCCTCTCCTTAAGAGGGGAGATGAGAATTTTTGTATCATACTAACAATTAATAACAATGGTCAGCAATGCGTCCGTGACACTTCTAGTGTTACAAGCGTCCATAAGCTACAGAACCTCCGTTGACCATCTGACAGGCCGTATCCTTGTTTGTCACTATAGTAGTATAAAAAAACTAACAATCTAATGTCCTTCAATTATACATTTCTACCTATGCCATTTCAGATACCGCAAAATCAATTTATTTGGTGAAGCGTCCCGAACACCAGCACTGAATCCAGACTTGGGCGTGTTTAAAACAGATTTCGGTGTGACATTCGGCCATCATATATGCTTCGATCTGATGTTCCAAGTGCCCGCCATCCAGGTCATCGAGAAAAATAATATTACTGACGTCATTTTCACTACCATGTGGTTTTCTGAGATGCCTTACTTAACTGGTAATCATATTATTTTTCGGGTTTCATAATTAATTAGCAGTTTTGTTCACATTAGTAAGAAATGTCGTATTAATTAATCCAGGATATGCATACCATATCCTGGATTAATTTAGGGAAGGATTTGAATGTTTGGTATAAAGACGAACTGTTTCATTTTTTAAATTTCATTAAAATCTGCGTAGCCATTTAAACGTGATTGGGTAACAAACATTTAAACACAAACTTTGGCGTTTGTAAATAGTAGGACGGACCTTTCTTTATAAATATATTTTTTTTAACTTGAATTAAACTATTTTTATTTTTTATATATTTAGCTGTGGAGATCCAATCGGCATACGCATACAGCATGAACATCAACTTCTTGGCCAGTGGAGCAAATAATCCGCGCGTTGGAAGCGCTGGTACGTATTTTCACTACCATAAACATATTTATTTATTTATTTATAGTATTACCAACTAAGACACAGCAAATCATTTCAATACAATACACTGGTAGATTATATCTAACTGTTCTTACATTTATAGGCAACCAGAGCATGCCTTGAATTTGATAAACATTAAAATAGAATTAAATTATTAAATGTCATTAAATAAGTAAAGATATTAACAATATGAATAATAACACATTATAAATAATGGAAATTGTAATTAAATTAATTTAAAGTATAAATAAATATAATGCAATGTCGAGGTACATCAACATTTTAATTTAGCCATGAGCACAGAGTGACTGTCGTTGTGAATATCAAGTTCAGGTTTAAATAGAAATAGACAACACAAGTGACTCAATTAGTGTTTGAAAGAAACTAGATTTCCACTGAAATCTTAAATTTATTTTGAAACTTTATTTTTTTGGACAATTTAAAATTTTCTGCTAATTTTAATTTGTTAATACGTTTTTTTTTATTAATGGAACTATTTATTAATATTCACAAAATAAAGAAGAATCTTAAATTATGAGTTTCTATAAAGATAATAGATAAAATAATAATAAATGTTTTAAATAATCTTAAACAGGAGGAATCCCAAAAAAAATTACATTGGGACAGAAAAAACCTTTTTAAATATAGTCTTAATTTCGCCTAAGTAAAAGTTTTTAAATTTTTTTAACGAATTCGAAATTTCATAAATTTGACCATCACTGGTCGAAACCTAAAGTTCGGTCAGACACTAAACTCAATTTATGCGAAAACTTTGCGTGTACTAAACTAACTGTGAGGTCACAAAATCTGTTTATTGCCAATTATTCTCTTCCCGTACTCTACTCTTTAATCATTACCTTCAAAGACTTTTACATATTATATTACGAAACCGTGGACTACGATGAGAGTAATACACAATAGTATAATAATACACAGAGAAAAATGTATTGTACAGCGCCCAAAAGAACAAAAACTTTAAACTTTTTTCAAGATAAATTCTGAATGGATATTTGATTTTAAATTTAAATTTGGGATACTTTTATGCGTAAGATTTGTATGGGAATACTAATTCAGATATTATATTTATAAAATCATTGAAACATTATTTATTACTTTTAAGGATCGGGTATTTACTCCGGTAAGGCGGGTGCTCTAGTCAGTACCATGCCCGGAGTGTCTACAAGGAGGGTACTGGTCGCAAGAGTCCCAAAGATACCAGGACAGGTAAATTAATAAATAATAGATTATAAGACGAGGTAATAGTGAGAAGTTATGAAAATTTAATTAACTAATAAAACTGCTTCCGAATTTTTCTGTGATAAATTCTGAAATCAATAAGACTTTACGTTCCATGCTAATTTTATTTCCGTTTAAAATAGTAAAAAAACTACCTTTAATCACAACAATATAATATCGAGCCAACACGATAGTAAAATTATTTAAACGAATTATTAAAATTGGTACAGAATTAAAAAATTGTTTAATTGAGAATATCCTATTTAAAATGATACTAAAGATTGTCGAATTCACTTTATATAAGTCACAATAAATGGTTGTGGCAGGTTCAAGTTACAGAACAGTATCCGGGTCCGATCTACAACAACCCTACAGAGCAAGACTCGCTATATCTGAAAACCGATCGTTCAATCCGCTCGCACGTCACCAGGGAACTGACAGAAGGTTTCCAACAATTTACACTAACAAACAATGAAGTCAGCTGCACATTCTCCGTCAGGCTCAATCAGAGATATGGAACGCAGGTTCGCACTGCATTTTACCATCTATATAACGTTTTAAAACACTGACTCCATCGTCACATTTGCCATCACACACACTTGCCATCAACAGGGAATCCATTCTCACACGTTTCAGAGGATCTTCCTCCCGCGAATACTCAGATTATAGAATAATCTTGCCAAGGCTTTCCCTAGAGACTGTAGTCATGGGTTTTTTTTTTAAAAAAAAAGCGTATAAATTTTTCTTAAGGGACGACAACGCGCTCGTGACATCTGTGGTGTTACAGGTATCCATAGGGTACGGTAACCCTGTTTACCATCAAACGAGCCGTTTGATGGTAAACAGGTTGGCTCATTGCCCAAAGCAGTGTACTTACCGCTTCACCACGAAACTTATCAATAGCGGCTTGAATACTAGACATTGACTTCTGCCAGAGAAGGACAGTATTCTTAATCTATGCCCCAGAGATACATTATTTTTCTTCAACAAATACTCAATTACATTTACTATAATAATTTATTGTACTTTATTTTTTAGCAATACAAGTACAGGGCATCTGCATTTGATGGTGTTCGCACTTTCGATGGTGTAGCAACAGGCGGCAATAGGGTGTGCTCTGTAATCGCTTGCACTGGGGACACCATTGATACTTGCGGAACTAGGTAATTACTAATTTATGTCTGTTTATTTTGGATAATTTCAAAATAATGTAATAAAATAAAAGAGGTATCGCATCAGCTAATAGCGATCCAGCTGAAACCTCTGGCGATCAGAAGGTTGGTTTATATTTTGATCAACGTATCTCTTATAGCCATCCAGGGTGGCAATGTGGCAAACCTTCTAGGTACCCTATCTCGGCAATGTCTTCAAAGAACTTTTGTGAATGCTTCACAAAAGTTCTTTGAAGTCATTGCCGAGATTAACAGAAAGTTGGATTTCCTCTTTGCTTTTAATTCAAATGTGATACGAATATACAGTCTCTTAATCAAGCATAAACGAATCTATCGATAAATTTTTTCATTCTATCTCTTGACGTTCAGCGTCATCTTTCTTGTACGGTAACGAAAAGAAAACATTGATTCATTTGGTACTGATTTGAGGGGACCGACTATAATTTATATCTACCTACCTATATGTTAATTCGTCAAATACATTACAGAAACAATTGATACATATCACTCAGAACCTTATGTCAGTCTTTTAGGAAAGCATGGATAGTGTTCTGCTGTGAAATAATAATAAGGAAGATGATGATATCTAAACTGTTAAATGATACTTTGGGACTACATGGTAGCACTATTACTTACACTGTAATTATAGATAAAATTATAGTTTCTTTTTTTCTATAGATATAAGTACATTCTAGGCTGAAAAAGCGCTACACCATCTCAATATATGCAATTGTATCTGACAATTTCAATTTGTTCAATTGTTTTATTACAGCTATTAAAATAGTTTACTGTATGACTTCACAGATTCCGTGTATACAATGAGAACACAACTGCTGTCTTCGAAGAACTCACCATAATTGCAACAGTGCCTACTCCCGTCATCGACCAACAATTACAAACCCATGACTCGGCTTTCTTCCCTTTATCGTTGGATGTATCTATCATGCCATTAAAAGCCAATGAATTTTCATACAACGAAGATGTATACGAAAATATAACAGTTTACACGCTCACTTTGAAAAATAGTAATGCTCAATTGTACAGTTTTGCTGTTTGGGGAAGAGTATTTGCCACAGATGGTGAGGTACAAACACCACCATTAGAGCCAGATCAGGTTAGTGTAATATAGTTCCGAAAAATAAGAAGTAAATAATTTCTACTAACAAACTATTTATTTATTTTACTAATAAAAATTAATAAATCACCGTTACCGCTAAGGAAACCGTTCACTTGTAGTATTCTAATAGCTTGCGTTCCAATCTATGCATAATTCATTTAACCATTACTCATTCCATTATGCATCAATATCCCACATAAGTATTAATGACATAATAAAACTGTTCACACAATTCAGGGTTATCTTTGTCATTTTTTAAAGTATTAAAAAAATGGGGACTAGGTAATATTTTATATGGATAGGCCGGGTATTTATAACCATATTTTTAAATTATGTTTATATTATGGTGTACTAGGGATAGGGAATATGTAGACTATTTATAACTAACTTTACAAAGAAGGATAAATTGACTCTACTTTTTGTTTCGTTATGTTTTTATACAAATAGGGCTTAAATAATGTGACTAATTATACAAAGGTCGTAGACAGTACACGACATGTCTACGATTACACTGCATTCAAAAACAAGGAAATTAAAAAATAAATATGGAAATTATTGTACTTAACACCCACTCCATCCTTCCTCAATAAAAATATTTTATATAAACCCAGATGTTTTATTGCCATCCTTACTAACATACTGCCCATATGACATAATACCTCATTAAATTGCATATTAACATTGCTTTATTATACCTGCCGCATATAGCATAATTACGAAAACAAAATGAGAACATAGACATATAAAGATATTATTTCTGAGCGATTAAAAATTAATTCCATTCAATGATTTGGCAACTACTTGGTTACTGGAACATATTTTATTAACAAAAAAAATATTTATTAGCAATCTTTATGCTCATTATAAATCTAAGGAGTTTACCCTAGTACTTCCAGTAACCATATGAACCATTTTAATATAGGACTAATTTACTCTTGATATCTCTATAGGCCCCAAATTTAATCCAAAATTACTTAGTGTTCATTTAAGCTTTGTTGTTTCATGACTTAAAACAATATAAAATATTCAGCTTCTGTTGAGCTTAAAACCACCGACTGCTTGTATTTAGAAAAAATCGACTTCAGTTGTGGCAAAATGACTTATTTTGATTTAAAATCTAAAGTACTGAACAGATTTTGATAAAATGTCTATGAAACAAATCTGTAAGTATATCATTTCATATAAAGAAAGAATTTTCGAATTCGGTTTATAACTGATAAAGTTAGGTAATAAAAAAATGCAACCGAATTGACAAACGCCTTTTTAAAAAGTTAATTAAAAACTTAAACATTAAAAGAATAGCCTGTGATTGACTTAATCTCGTCACTACCTCCTCTGTCACTATTGCCATTTTCCACCACAATATTTCTAACATTTCTACAATAGATTAATACATCAATTGTTATTATAGGTTAACACATTTATTAGTAATCTTACTAATATAATAAAATTGTTACTAGACAATGTCTGTACGTGAGAGATATTTCATATATCTCCTAGATATTATGCTTTATTCCTTCTTTTACTTGACTAAATTGTATATTTCGAGATATCACCAACTACCTCATTTTATCTCATTAGTATATTAAAATTGTAACTAAACGACATCTATACATAGGAAATATTTAAGAAAAATTTATATAAGAAGTCTTAAAAAGACAAATAGATGTTCAAACAATAGTATTTAGAAAAGTTATCCGTCTGTCTATCTGTATGTTTGTTCTGGTGTCACGCAAAAAATTCAGCACTAAAATTGCTTGCAGTTTTCACAGTTGTGTTCCCGAAGGCTTAACTTAAAATCTGATATATGTTTTATTTTGATATGCCAGAATAATTAAGATAATTCTATTATACATATATATATGTATATATTCTATATTTTTACTTTAGGAAACATTTCCTTTTAATAGATCATAATTATTCTTTTATAAATAGACTAAAACAGGAAATTACACTAGCATTTTATTTAAAACTTTTTTACAACCATTTTCAATCTCTGAATACAAACAAAAATCTTTATTAGAAATTTGAAAATCTTGTTTGAACTTTTTACCCTATATAGTTTACATGAGCGTTTTTCTTTTTTTTAGTTACACTCCTTTTTTCTTTGTGGCGGTACAATACAAAATATATAAATATTTAATTTACAATATTATGTATCACACTGTAATCCTACTGGTATTTACATTCTTTTAAATTTTACTATTTAAAAAAGCACTACATATGTCTGTCTTACCCCCTAGCCACTAATTCCCGAAACCACTCAACCAACTTGAAATATATTTTGTAAATGTGTATTATTTGTTCCAACTTCAGGGATAAAATAGTTTATATCCCTATAATTTGCGCTTTTATCTTAATCTTGTGCTAGTATGGAGTCGTTAATAAGTGCATAAATAATTTTAAACATATGTATTCCAGGCACCAGAATCTGAGAGTGACAGCTACGTAGCTGCGGTGTTGGAATATCAAGGGCCGAATAGCTCGGGCAACTCTTTGGCAGACTACATAAGATACATCGAGGAAGCGGCAGATCAAGTAAGTCAAATATTTTTTTTTATCTTATTACAAAATGAATGTCAAATTTTACAAAAACAACTTATCTCATATGTATTGTTTAAACTCAGTTTGTATGTATCAATAACGAAAGAATATTGTTAATGAAAAAATCTCCGAACACATCATTCGATCTTTTATTGCAGTTACTTGTTCACTTTCTTTGCATATATCGTATTTAATCTTTTATTTATATTTTTACATATTTAATTTTCCAATATATATAAACGTAACACCAACAGAATGCAGATATCATAGTGTTCCCGGAACTGACGCTCACCAGAAACAACGAAGCTGTCACTATTCCGACATACGACCTCCTGAAACAGTATCCAATACCAGCTCTGAATCCAGAATTATACGATAATGTAAGTACTACACAAATAAACTAAAGAAATATATTTTTTTTATACAACTTAGAATGGCAAACAAGCTGACGGCCCACCTAATGGAAAGTGGTAACCGTCGCCTATAGACATGAGCAGTACCATGGACATAACAGAGTATACTGTTTCGCCCATGATACCCCCCATGCGTTGCTATTCCTAAGGACTCGGGTGTTATTCCTCTGTACCCAGTAAATTCACGCCATATCCCACCCTTCGAAACCCCACCCTTATGGAAGATATTTAATGAAAAATAAAATGAGGGATCTTAATAGAACCAATAGATTTTAAAACAATAATTTTCAGAAGGTTTGTCTGTCTGTATGTTTATTCCGGTATCACACAAAATGTACTACACCAATTTGAATGGGGTTCCCACATTGTTATTCGATAAGGTCTCATTGCAAATCTGGTGAACGTTTTATCTCGATACCCCATCTAGAAGTGTTTATTTAATTTGTTTTTTTTTTATTTCTGAAATCCACGTGTACGAAGTAGCGGACAGAAAGTTAGTATATTGATAAAATTGATAATAACAATCACGAGGAATTCTGATTTATGAAACGACATTATCTTTGAAATATCTAAAATGATTACCATTGCAAATATTGTAGCTGATACCTTTCCAGCTATTGCCAAATTATTTATTTTATCATGTCTAATAATTAACCATGATAGTTTCCAGGGAGAACCGCAAGGAGGTCGACCTGGTTGGATATATTGCTAGCAATAGGATTCTCAGTCTCCATTACTAACAATCCCTTTCCTCCCTATTTTTACAGATTCTAGTGTCAATTTCAAATGCGTCAAGAGTGAACAGTATATATGTGGTAATCAATGTGCAAGAGATTTTGAACTGCACCGCGACAACAGAAGAACTATGTCCAGAGAAGAAAGTCTACCTATTCAACACAAACGTCGTGTTTGATAGAAATGGAACTGTGATTGACAGGTACGGAATCATTTTTAGATTTGTTTTTTTTATGCAATTTGAAACGGTAAACAAGTTGACAGTCTATCTGATGGATAGTGATAACCGTACCGCCTACACTCGTAGACTCCAAAATTATCTACATTATAAAATATACTTGATTCCCGTGGTTAATATGTCCCTACCACATCCTTCAAGCATTTTTTATCCTATAAACTTAAAATATTATGACCAAATTTCATTTATTTGGAAGAAAGCTCAAATAAAAAAAAAAAGAACTTAGTAATTAAGTGACTTATTCTTCATGGGATAGTCGGCCATTTAGTGCGATTTGTATAAAAATCTCTGTTACTTGTTTACAGATATCGTAAAATTAATTTATTCGGTGAAAATAGCCGTACTCCAGCCTTAGCACCAGATTTGGGAATATTTGACACAGATTTTGGCGTGAGGTTCGGACATTATATATGCTTCGATATCCAGTTTCAAATACCTGCCATACAAGTTGTCGAAAAATATAATCTTACCGACGTCATATTTACCACTATGTGGTATTCTGAGTTGCCGTATTTAACAGGCAAGTTATTATATTATCTAATCTTAAATCTAAATTCTACTCTTGAAAATATTAAAAAAATACAAATTATATTTTACTAAATTTAAAATAAAAACATGAAAACAAACTTCCAAATAGAATGGTAACATCACTATTTCAAACTTGCTTTTCTTTTTTACCTTTGTTTAATTATAAAATTAATGTCGCCATACAAATTTTCTCCTGAAAAGATTCTTAATGCAGCATTTATTTATCACTCATCATTTTATATTTATTTCGTTTGTCATTTATATTTTCCATTTTACAGCTGTGCAAATTCAAGAGGCGTACGCGTATAGTATGAACGTCAACTTCCTTGCCAGTGGTGCTAATAACGTTCGAGTAGGAAGCGCGGGTTAGTAATAGTAACATCTTTATTATTTTTGTATTTTCATTTATTGTATAAATACAATACATAAATGTATTGTATTTTTTAAACACTTAAAAACTTATTTACATTATTTTAATACGCGTATAATTATTATATACTTTTTATTTTCAGTATCTTTCGTTGCACTTCTTGTTTTACCTGAATATTCGTGCTGCCACAACATTAATATGCCGACTAGACATTTCGAAGATTATCAATAACTTCATCGGAAGTTACAATTGTAAAATTATGATTTTTATAGTATGAAACTTTTTTAAAAATCAATTAATATTTTTATTAACATTTACGATTCCACAGGATCTGGAATCTTCTCCGGGAAGGCTGGAGCTCTAGTGAGCACCATGCCCGGAAAGCCAACCTCTCGACTGCTGATAGCAAGGGTCCCCAAAATACCTGGACATGTAAATATCTCTTGAATGCTACGCTTAGTTTCTTGTTTTAGTTGCCTAAATTTTACGTTTCGAGATCTTACGAATTAGTACTAGGACAAAATAACTACAACAAAAGAACAAAATATAAGCAAATATCAGTTATGATTATTGGATTGAAACATATTATTACACTCAGCACATTTTTTAGTCGTAAAAACTATCAAAATGATAACTGTCATTCATACCATTCTATAACAATTTGTAATTGCTTTTATCTATGTTTATGAAAAAATATTTATATTGTTTAATAAATTATAATGATATGGTAATCCCATCTGCGCTATCGATACATAATAACTACTACATAGTAATAACTGCCTATAATTCCACACGTTTTAGTTATATGAATACACACCAGCTTGAGAAATATTCATTGTTTGAACAGGTAACGACAACACCGCCAGGTCCCATCTATGACAACCCTGCTGATCACGATTCGCTATTCCTTCTCACCGACCCCTCTTTACCTGCACACAACACCAGAGAGCTGACTCCAGGCAGCCACGAATTTACACTTGTGAACAAAGAAGTCAGTTGCAAATTCATCGTCACTCTCAATCAGAGAGAGGGAGATAAGGTTTGTTTGCCAAATAGTCGTATATGTAAATACATAAATGTTACCATATTATTTCCTAGTAATATTATCAAAGATATATATAGATATATACCATGAATTATGCACCTGTTGAATTATAGACATAATGCCTAAATCACAAAAATTATTATCATATTTAATTTTTTTAGTTTCATGAATATTCTCGTACGAGTATCACTGAATTTTGGCGTTCTATTAATCATTACACAAGGTAAAACTGAAATCATTACCAAGCATCCTTATAATAGAGTATATTTCGTCAATGAAAATAACCCAAACATGATCAAAAAGTAGCAAATAATTTTGAATCCTCCTCGCTAACTTACCAGAGGAGGACTTTGTACAAAAATCGTCTGCTTGAGTACCTCTGCCCCATTCGCGTTTCTATCTTGAAACAGTTATGCCCATGGTACTGTTTATGTCTATAAGCGAGAGTTACCACTTTTCATCAGGTGAGCCGACATTAAAAAAAACTTAACCCGTGCCGTTATCAACTTAATAAATTTGGAAGGCTACATTTCTTGCCGTTTTTCAACCTATTTTTCTTTTGGAAATATGTTGAATTTCAGTGGTAAAACACCTCCTTCAATGAATACTAATAATTTCGATTTCACCCAGTATATCGAATACATATAAAAAAATTTCAGCACTACAAGTACAGAGCCACAGCATTCGATGGAGTCCGCACCTTCTCCGGGATAACGACTGGCGGCACCAGGATATGCTCTGTGATAGCTTGCACTGGGGATACCAAAGATACTTGTGGAATTAGGTAGGTTAAAAAGATATAAATTCTTACTAATATTGCTCATAGCGATTTAACGTCATGAAATTTGGTATTCTCGTACTATATCAGATGGAGAAAGTTAATTTTATATTCCGATCAAGTCCAAAGCTAGTAATACATAAAATTAAATTTGAATACACCTAAAGAAGTATTCTGTCAATGAAACTATATTTTTTTCTTTCTAAAAACACGTGGATTGAAAAACAAAGAAAACTTTTGAACGTCTCATAAATATGGAACGTCTGTGCTGCCACGCCGAGTTTTAGCGTTAGTATGGAAGACACTTCTACGAGAAAAATATTCAGTACACTGGTAGAACAATCCTTTAAAACTATTTTATTTTATATATTATACACTCTTATATTTCATATTAGCTTCGGAATCTAAAAAAAATTTATATCTAAATAGAAAAAAATAACGGATAAAATAAACATTTTATTTATTTTATAAATTTAATTGACATAAACGTGGTCAAGTAATATAAACAATTTTTTTTCTAACTTATAATATTTAAAAACAATTATACATACCCTTGACTGTAATCTCACGTAGTTTGATGTTTCCTGTTGTTGTTGTGGTGTTGTTGATTTGTCTATTTATGTCTACTCCTTAACAATCAAACTTTTCTATTCACATCATCGTATTTTATACAGTATTAAATGTAAATACAAATATAATAGAGACATGCATAATTAAATGTCAGAACTGTGTGAAAAGTACTTACTTAGCATGTAAATTTTTATTCTAAAATAATACTAAAAAGAACCTAATTGCCTACATTAAATATTGATTTGGAATCCCTACTTTTTTACACTACAATGATGCCAACTAAGCGTATGCCCTTTTTGGAAACCCCATGCTATAATCTGTGTAAAAAAGAATGGCAGGAAGAAAGAGTAACTTGAGCTTACGATACTCAAATATGCCATAGCATAGAAAATGATCAGAAAAATTTAAAAGGTTGATAAAAATGCCTTTAATTATTGGCTTATAATTATTTTATAAATAATTTAGTACAAAAGCAGTTCGTTACCAATAATTGACTTTTGTATCATAAAGGCTAGTTTGGTGGTAGTAATTAATTTTTAACCAACTTTAATAGAAGAGGTTCTCAGTTTAGTTGTATTATTATATTATGTTTGTTACTTCATAACTTCGTCATTGATAAAAACAAATATAATTATTAGGAAATTATTTTTTCTCTAAAAGGATTGGTCCCACAGATATGTTACCAAAATCAGTTTAATAGTTTAGTTTTTAAATCAAAATAATTGATTTTGTTTAAAGTCGGTGCTTTTTATAGAACAAAAGCGTATGGTATATTAATTACCATATATATTATAGTAAGTGTTTGTATCGTCTATCTCTATTGCATATATGAAACTAAATGCTATTAACATCATTTCAGATTTCCTGAATATACCGAGAACTCCACAGCTATCTTTGAGGAACTGACCATTATTGCGACGGTGCCCACACCAGTACTCGATCAAAATCTACAAGCACGTGATTCTGCATTCTTCCCCATATCTTTGGATGTATCTATAATGCCTCTAGAGGTCAAAGATTTCACATTCAATGAAGATACCCAAGGCGACGTTACTGTATATAGTTTAACATTAAAAAGAACTAATGCCCAATTGTATGCATTCGCTGTTTGGGGAAGAGTATTCGCTACTGACAAACAAGATGCCTCACCACCTATACCTGATTCTTCTCCAAAACATTTACTTAATATCCTACTGTTAATACCAACTGTACTTCTATTGCACATTACAAAATAATATTAGTTCCATCTTCGGCAAAATTTTATTTCATCATTATCTAAGTATTACCATAAGAACAAAAAATTAAAACCAGATTTATTTATTTTTATGATAATTACTTTTAGTATGCCTACTTAATATACTGGACGAGTGGCGGTCCTCCACCGTGCGTTTTTCAAGGCACTTTCTCCCACGCACAACAACTCTTTGGAATCAACTTCCAGCAGCAGTATTTCCGAACCGATACGACAACATAACCTTCAAGAAAAGAGCATATTCCTTTTTAAAAGGCCGGCAGCACACCTGCGATGCCGTAGGTGTTGTGGGTGACCATGGGCGACGGTAGTCACTTACCATCAGGTGAGCCGCATGCTCGTTTGCCCCCTGTGTTGTAAAAAAAAAAAAAAATACCACCATGGCTGAATCACATTTCTGAATTACAAGATACAGGCTTGCATGACTATTGTGTAATTCGTAGAGTTAATCATCTAAAAGTGTTTTTGGAATATAAATTATTAATTTCATTTCAGAGGGGGCCTGCGAAGCCATACTAAGTTTTTAAAGTGCTCATAAAATAATGAGAATATCTATTGACTCTTTTTAAATAAAGTCTATTTTTAATATCAAATTTGATATTGAATCTTACTAATATGTATTATAAATGTGAAAATTTGTAAAAATATTTGTATGTTTGTTACTCAATTACGCTTAAACTGCTGAACGAATTTAAAATTTAGTAAATTAAATAAAATTTGGAAATATCCTGACTTAATGTATAAGATACTTTATATACTAATGCACGTGGACATACTATTATATCATTGACTAAATAAATACCTTATACGTAACGTAATAAAAGCAATAATGATATAAAGATAAGTATGTTATAAACATTTGATACGTTACTAGACATAATATTATTGTTGTTCAAACCATTCTATTTTTATTTTAACAAGATGTCATTAAAATGTTTGCAATTCACGATGGTGAAACAAAAATCTGCTATCACTATTCTGAAAGATCACAATGTTAATAGAAACAATATAGTAACTTCCCTACGTACATGAAATTCAACAATAAATTGTAAATAAGTTAAATTAATTAAAAATTAAAAAAATTCCAACACAAAAAACCTATAAAAAGTACCTAAAAGCCCCAATCATTATCTGTCTGTACACATACAAATACAGTGTGTTCAAATACACTGTATTTGCTAAAAGTTCCTGTAAATTATTTGATTCTGAATCAAGTTACCATGTCATAGAAATACCATCGAAGTAACAATACACCCAATTTCACATGAATTGGATTTGTAGATGTTGGTGTAATCCCTTCGTCAGGAGAAAGAGATTTTTTATTAGCTTGGATCATTAGATTTCTTGTGACATGAATCTTTGCTTTTTAATAGATTGTTACGATAAGTGAGGATTTTTTATATTTATATATCTATATATATCATTATCACGCATCTCATACTGCCTTTAAAAAAATGCGCACAAACCTTATATTTTTACATTATAATTTTCCCTAAAAATAATCCCTAAAATTTTCCCTAAAGTAAACCCTGCTATGTACAATACCATTAGTATTGGAATTTTCAAATACCCTATATTAAATATATATATATATATATATATATATATATATATATATAGGTCGCCGAAATCAAAACTCGTTTTTTGCCGAAACTCGACCGACAATACAGGGGGTATATTGATCTCAAGCACCAGAAATTTCATAGAACATGATTTATTAAGTGTAAATACATCTTTCAAAAGTAAAGTATAAAAAGACTAGATATTAAAGTACATTACAAAAATCTGAATTCATTATTCACCGATAGACTCAGATTGATCGCTGACTGATAATCTCGTATGTTCGACATGACTTCTTAAGCTTTGGCTATTCAATTTGTCGCGCCGAGTAGCCTGTGATCGTACTCGCCTTTGAAGTGCAACCGTTCCCAACGAAGACCGACTTCTACGGCGCCTGGTCATCGCTATAAAATAAATAATTTCAAAATGTAATTTGCTACTTAATTTCGAGTAGGCACATTTCGAAATCGTCAATAGGATCATTAGGGTGATAATTATAAGGTTATATAGTACATGGTTGTTAATTATGTTAACGGTAAATACTGTTATTTACTCTTTGATTTCATAAAGAAATGTTTTTTTTATTTAGTCATATTGCTTTGTATAAATGAATACCTCATTATATACTCAATATGAGATATTCTGGTTTGTATTCCTGATCAGGTCAGAAAACGACTTCTAAATTACCTTGTGTTCTGGATTGTACCCTAGTTTTAGAATTAGACGATTTCTATGACTCTCAAATTTAGCCCATTTATTATTTATTACAATATAAAAATAATATTTGTTTTGTTACTTATCTACATTATTAATAAACTCACGGCTTTAAACCTAAATTGGATACTTAAAAACTTTATAGTAAACAATAGCCAATGTTGTGTTAGAGCAATCACAAACATAAGAAAAAAATTATGTACAATTTAAATCATAAAAAGAATTACAAATATTTTAATATTATAAGTATGTAGAGATACAGTAATACATTTCTTCGCGTAGTTGAATCCAACATTGGAATGCACTAACCATCTTTCAATGAATCTAATTGTTCATCCTCTATTACTCTTCTCAATCTGTTATCTTCAATCTCCGAAGGCTTGTGCGACTCCTCACTGACTCTTATCATCTCCTGATATAGATCTGTTAATTCCTGATTAAGACGAGCATCTTGTAATGTCTTCTGCAAGTTTCCTCTCATAACGTAACCTAGAGATTTTGTAAGTGGTAATTCGTCTGTATGAGCTACTTCCACGTTTGCATAAATATTAATAACCTAAAAATAAGCACATTCTTAAAACTAAAAAACGTAGAATTGAAGGTTTTATACTTAATAAATATTATAAGGGGTTCTTTAGATTATGCTAGGTAACAGTGATGTCCTCGACTCGACTCGATGATCACAACTTTAAAATTACTACAGAACGACCAATGTCGGCATGTGGTTGGTCAAATGGACGCCAATATTTTCTTTAAAAATAAAGTAAATAAGGGGATAGAATCGGAATACTCTTCTAATGAAACTAGTACTGTAAAATTGAAAATCCCCTTTATTTCCAAAAAACATATATCGAAAATGGCAAATCAAATTTAAAAGCTTCATTGCCCACACTAACTTAATTCTTTTTTTTTGATTCTCAAAGATTGACTGTAAGAAATGCCTTTATGAGATAAGCATTGTAAAATAAATCTTTTAATGTGTCCAATGTAAATTATGTACAATAAAGATTATACAACACAATACTAACTTGATAGATGGATCTGCTGTATTTGTTAGTATATGGCAAAAAATTATAGATAACAAAACTTTAACGGGACATTGATGTTAATTATAAATTTAAAGCGAACAACTTATCAGGACAGGACTTCAAATTAATCGGAGGTTAAAAAACTAGATAACTTAATTACAACTCATTTAAAATGCGATATTGTGACACACTCGTACCTACATTAAAATCTCGACTCTGTAAATTGTTACATTATTAAATATTATATACTTTTCTTTTTTAGAAACATAAGTGCATTATTGTCAGATTTATTATTAAATATTTATTTTCCATAGAATTAAACATATTAATTGTTTGATTATTATAAATAGACCCATAACATCTAGATACAGTGCCTCTCAAAAAATGCTTAATACAAAATAGCCTGCTTTTAAAATGGCACTAAAATGTATTAAATTTATAATTGGATTATGAATTTTATAATTAGTGAATTTATCATAATAAAAGTCATTTGAGTTATATCACTTACCTGTGGAAACTTTGGAAATTGAAGATCTATATACATTCAATATGAAAAAGACGACTCATCAGCCAACACTTAATTGACCATTGACCCCATTCAGTTGCTCTATCTAGATTTATATAATCTAAATTACTAAATTATTAAAACTGTATACACAGATAGTAATAAAGCTCTATGCATAAGGTAGTTATACTTACCATTTTTTAATGATTTAGTTACACATAGTTGTGCACTTGATCAGATCAGCTAGCTCTTTTTTTTAAGCATATTAATTAAACTGTTAAATATATACAAATTATTTTACTATATTAAATTGCCATAATAGAATACACCACAACTATCGGAGAAGGTTCGCATTGAAATTGAAGGTGCAAATATTTTGACCGCATGTGCACTAAAAAGGTAAAGATAAAGTCAAATTATACGACAGAACTACCTCAAACATTACTGATATTATCACGAAAATTGACCAAAAACCAGCCATCACAGAAAACCACCAGAAAATACCGGCACACTGAATTTCGTTTTATTCACGTTATATTAAACGAACTGGAATCGACCAAAATACCGACTGTCATTCTATATTACACATTGTTGAAGACAACAATGATGTATGTACATTCAGACATTATGACATCACATATTGCTATTGTTGATGATCCGCGAATGCGACAATCACTCGCTTCGTATAAAGTTTATACAGTATGCTCTTTACTATTTGCTATTCGAACACTGAAACATTCGGCAGTGTCTTTTTACACGAATTAACAATACACTCACTATAGATATGTTTAGAATACATTCAAGCAACTGAATGAACTGACTTTCTATATTAGAAACTCAGAATGCAGAAAATTACAAAGATATTTATCAGCTAGTGAAGAAAGTAGTTATATATTATTATTATTTCTATTTATTTATCATCAAGGAACTACCATCAAAAGTTATCATTGTCACGTATTATTCATAATATACGTTGCTATTTAAGAAAAACCTAAAAAATCAAATTTTAAACACTAAATTACTTATACGCTTACGAAATCGACTACATATTCAGTTATTTATATGTTCGTAACTAGTTCAAAATCGACACAAACAAATATTAACAGATATCGCGGGCCAAGAGTGGCACGATAATTCAGTCGTATGAACTCGTGTGTCATTTAAGGGGGGAGACTCATGTAAATGCCTCGAAATCGGTCATTTTTTAATATTTTTTTTTACAGTGAAAAAATAATTTAATTGTTTAGAACTTTTAACACAACTTTATTAAACATTTTAAGACTACAAAAAAAGAATTTTTTTTTTTTTTTAATTCAAAATGGCGGCTCAGCATGATGTCTTGTAGGCTGCCTCTGACGCGAGGTAAACTGCTTCATTTGTCACTCATCAACCATTGATCTGAAACACAAAAAAAAAAATTATTTTTTTTCAGGACATATAAACGGAAAGGATAAACCTATAAAATTAAAAAGAAAAGGATAAAATCCAATATAAAATCAGCCTTAAAAAAAAGTTTTTTGGGCTATTTTTTTGACCCTTTTGACCCCAAAAAAAATAAGTAATCAATCAGAAATACCTGAAGTTTTAGGTTTATCCTTCCGATAGTAATGTAGAGAAAAGCCTCACCAAATTTCAAACAAATCGGTCAATAATTTTTTGAGCTACAACACGAACAGTTTTTCAAAAAGTAGTTTCGAGATAATCGCGTTTAAAGTTTCAGTACAGGAAAATGAGTAGTTTTACTGAATTATTAATTACTTACCGACTAATTTGCAATTCCAGGTCCATATAACAGTCCTTCTTCCTCCTCAAAAAGTTGATTTTCATCTATTTGATGTTGTCTGCGAGCTGAACGAGCATCTTTGGTCTCTGAAAGGCTTTTACGATTCTGTCGGGTTATATATCTTAGCATAAGTGCCAATATTCAGATTCAAAAGGTTCATTATTCTTAATACGGAAGTATAACCTTCATTAAATATCCCTGCAGCAATGTAAGCTGAAATTTCGACTACTTTTAGTCCGGAATGCAGGTGTTTTGGGGATAATCGCCAAACTGTAGCGTTAAAACTTTCGTTCGCGTTCTGCGTATGACCACCAAGGCATCGCTCAAGTAAATCATCTTTGGACAAATCTTGATATATTGGTAAAAGATGCTGTTTTAAATCTTCACCAAGTAATGGAGCTAAATTTTCCTTTCGAGGATCTCGATTTTGAGCAATAGCCTTCTGCCATTTGCACCAGCTATCAACGCCTACAGGGCAGTTATCATGTTGGGGATTTTCTGTAGTGGAAAAAATATGATCATAAGTAGCCATTATGGCTTTTTTCATATTTTCAACACTGTTAACATTTCTCTGAATACTTAAACCATAATATTTTGTTAATTTTTTTACCACTTTATCAGTTAGTTTTCCTCTCCCCGAAAGTTTCTTTTCTTTTCTTACATTTCTAAGTCGAGAACCCATTCTTTTTTCTACATGACCAATACATTCACTCTTCACTACTGGTAACTCATTACCGTAAGGTTCTAAATCTAGAATAGCCTTGAATGTCTTAGAATCTCCGTCACCAATGTAGTTACCATATTTTACTCCGAATTTTTCTTCTGAAGTCGAGAACATTTCTTTCATGGCATCGACTTCCATCTTTCCTGACGAACCTTCGTGATTTTTTTGACACTCATCCTCGTGATATTCAATCCACTTACGGAATTCTTCTGTATGAGTCTTGTTCTTCCAGTAAATACAGCCTTGACAGTAACTACTTTTTGTTTTCAAATCAATAACTTTCCCTGAATAATATCCTATGAGCGTTGCAACACCGTAATTTGATTTGAAACCACGTTTTTTCCAAGTACCATCTCCAGATACTTTTAAAATATTTTTTTCTCTTCCTTGCTCGACATTTTTTTCCATCTCTTCTTTCACTGCCTTCTGCGATAGAAATTCAAATGATAATTTCACTGTATTATAAATGTGTTCCACAATGTTAGCGTAACAACTTTTACTCAAACCAGTGCATAGGTCCATCAGGTTACAAAATAAATTTATCCCTTCTCTTCCAACACCCAAAAGTCTCATGATAAACACTATTCTCCGGTTTATTTCAAATCCGTTGTTAATGAAAGGACCTGAATTTATTGTTTTATTACCACATGGACATGTGACAACAATTTTAAAACCAAGACCTCTGGAACTACACTCATTGAATTTTATCTTCTGATTACACACCGAGCACTTCACAATTTCAGACAAAGCTGTAAACACTGTAAAAAATTCAATTATCCTGTACCCGTGTAAAGGATTTGTTATTATATCTTCACTATCACGGGCATGGAGTTTTTTGCCACTGGCACTGTGATCATGGCTTACACTGGCTTAAATTTTTCACCTTCATTATTAGTGAATTGATTGCCCTGAAACTTTCGTTTCCGGGTGTTATTTCTTGCAATATTCCCACGTGTACCTTTTTTATAATTCGGCATTTTTGCTTTTCAAAATCGACTGAACACGAAGAAATCTCCAGCTAAACTAAATATATTTCTCGACTAACGATTATTCGTGTACTAATGTTACACGTGTGCAGAAATGTAAAAGTATATATATATATATTTACTAAAAAGGATTCTCGATAGTTGAACAAAAGAAATATTTCCATATTATAATAGAAGGGTCCTTTTCAAGCGCCCCGACTACCTGGCTCGTTACTTGACAATACGTACTTCGGCCCGCTCCACTGTATTAGCTATAACTTTGTAAATATTCGAGATTTTTTTTTTCCGGCTCGTCAGTACACGCTCAACATAGTATACTTTCAGAATATCGAAAAAAAAAAAATCGATTTTTTGAAAATTTTACATGAGTCTCCCCCCTTAAAACCAGATTTATCCGGTTTCATTCTTCAGTATTAATTATTGACGTTAACGCCGCATATTTATATTATAAAAAGAAAGTTTTTTTTTTTTATAAATAAGGATACCTACACAATATTTCATTTTGTCGATAATTACAAACAGGTACTCAGCTACATTAATGATAATTATAGATCCTGTGAGCGATAAAGGAAACCAGGAATGGAAATTATATATATAAAACTCAAGAAAGCTTAAAAATAGTTTTTTTTGGTCCTAGTCGACCGTGAAGAAGAGCCAAAAGGAAACAAAAGTAAGTTGTGTCAATTTTGAATTTAACTAAATAATGATATAAAAACTAGAAATAACATATTTGGTCTGTACTCCACAGACCATCTTGGTGGTAGAAGCTTATTATGACCACCTGAATAGCTACATGGATGTATTTAAAGAAGGGTCGTGCTCCGCTCAGTGTACGAGCGCAGTTTTCTGCACAAATACATGTGTACACTTGTACATAATATGTGCTTCTTTAAGGGACCAGGCTCCTCTGTTAAATAATTTTAATCTAATACCTCCATTTTTTACTTACTGATTTATTATAAAATATTGTACAAACGACCAAATTAATATGCTTTAGGTGTTCTCTACCAGTTAAACTTTAAGAAGTGCTGAGAGATCATTATATTTTGACTTAAATAGTAAAAAAACAAATATATATAATCTCTAACAGGCACGAGAGTTCTTCATATTATTCTTTGTTTCAGTTGTTATTAGTCCACTGCTGAAGATGTCTCCTCCATAAATTACCAAAAAAATTATCCTAAAAAACCCTAATTTTAGCGCTAAAGAATGTTTAATTTTATTACTTCTCATTAATATTTACTGTATTCGTTATTTCTCTTTTTACTTGGTGCAATAAAGTGTAAATAAATAAATAATTTTAGGTCAATGACATATATGTATGTAAATATATAAATAATATAGGTATATCTATAACAGACATAATTTATGAATATTAATGACTCTAATATACCACAATCGTAGTATTAAATATCCATTCGTATTTTCATAACGTAGGACTTCAAAAACACAAACAATCTAATATACAGTATTGATGTTACACTATCTTATGAACTGACTCGAACCAGTTCTTGTTGACCTGACCTCTTATGATTAGACATTCGTACAAGGCAGATTACGTTGAATAATATGATTAAATTGATTATTTCCTCTACTATTAATAAACATTCATAGAAAATAATTAAGTAGGTATTTCTATTAGAACTTAAGGTGGAAACGGTGGAAAAGCATAGAGAGCAGGTGAAAAACGGGAACAAGTATAAAGAAGATGAACAAGGGGGAATTTGTTTAAAACTCATCTGCTTGGGTAATTCTGTCAAAAACAGTTGTCTTTCAGTTTGAAGGATGAGGGTACACGGGAATAACACCTTAATCTTCAGTAATGACAAAACATAAAAGATATCATCGTCGTTTAATATTATCGTTTAATGGCCAATTTTCAAACCACATGAGTTTAGGATATGTTTTTTTATTTTGTTTTTCGATTGAAATATAATGTTTTATACCACACAAAAAAGAAAATTATAAACACAACTTACGTCACTGTATACATATTACACTTAATTCATTATATCGGTAAATAGGTTTTTATATTAAAGATGTAACAAATATTTTTTATACATCATATCGAGTACTATCTAAGTAGATAGGTAATATACAATATAACATACAAATATCCATAGACTTATTATAACGTACTTAAGCAAATATCCCATGTCACAGTATTCGTTCACTTTTGTCTCAGATTTTAATGAAGTAGCTTTTATCACAACAATGAAAAATAAATCCGCTTTGTAACAGCGAAGGATAAAACATTTTCCAGGTCAGCTACTTTCGCTACTAATATCTACAGATGGGCAAAGCACCGGGTTTAAACCCGGTGCTTTGGTAAAAACCCAATAAACACCCATAAACTCCCATAATCACCCAAAAAAATAGGTTTTTACGTATTTTTTTGAAAATATGTAAGTAATACCAATAAATTATTTTTATAAATTGTATTGATCAATTCTACAATATTAAATAAAACGTTAACTAATAATATTTCAGGAAATTTTAAAAATCTATATATAATAAAATGAAAGTAATTAATTTTCAGTGTTTTCATGTTGCAGTTGATCAACATGTTGGCCTTTTGCTTCCCGTAGATACTTTAAAATTTCTTCATAACACCTCGTTCGCACACATGGCCGTATATATTTAAATTCTTGAGCCACTAACAGTCCGAAATACTCATTTCTTTTATCCTCTTCTCCATAAATTAAGCATTTAGAACAGTTTGTTTCTTCTTTCAGTAAATTTTCTTTTACTTTATCCTCGTTTTTTTCTTTGTTGCGACGACGCTGGGTAAATCATCTGGACACTGGGTCTCACTATCGCCAAATATATTTGGAGATCGGCTTCGGCTACGGCTTGGCAGACATTTTTTTCTTTCTACAATTTTAAATTAAATTTATTAGAATAAATGCTTCGAACACACGCGATCTAAGTACCTTTTGTGTTTATTATACCTTACCTACCTAGGTATAAAAAGAGTACTTACGTAGATTTTCTTTTATTAACTGTTTTATACGAAGATCTTGATCTCTCAAATTAGCATCCATTTTACTTCCAGTGATTATCAACTAAATTAATAATCCACAAAGTATTAAATAACGTTTTTATGAAATATTTAGCACAAAAACAATACCCTTTAAATATCGATCGTCAGTAACTGTGGCTGACTTACCTATATTCTAGCAAGCAGGACTGCCAGATGTGAAGGGGAAATCCCCAATAAATTGTTGCATGTGACTGATGATGTGAGCATGTTCGTTTCATAATAAAAATGTTGCCAGGTAACCAAAAAGTCGTATGTTTTTGTGCGAATTACGATCATAATCTTTACGATCGTACATTAAAAAATAGACAAATAATAGTATGAGTACGATTTAAATCGTATATCTGTCAACCCTGCTAGCAAGACAGCGACAAAATCACGTTGCATAACAATGTAGCCCAAGCTTATATCTTATGAAATATACGGAAGAGATACGGACTTAGAAAAAACAGAAATGTTGTTCTTTGTGGAAGTCATTGATGAAATTCTATGTATTTTAGCCCGCAAACTTTCTTCAAACAAAAACAGCGCCATCTAGTATCGAGTTCTGTAATTATCTCTTTGTTTATGGATTTGAAGTAAGACCGCCACGCATGCAATACATTATGACTGGGGATTCCCCTATTCGTCGACGCTGAATATGAGGCGACGACAATCACTGTCAAACGTGTTCACTATTACTCTGACTCTGGTAACGTGACTTCCTGGTAACGTGTTAGGTAGGAAAAGCAGTAAAAAAGTGCATATTAAGGGAGCAGATTTGAAATAATATTTATACTTAACAAGAAATAATTAAAGGTAAGTGGATTTTTGAATGATACAATTATATCATGATCACTTAACAATTTTAACTTAAAATTAGATGTATTATTACAAGCTTTTATTTAGCTTGCGTTATGTAAATAAAAGTATGTAGGTATGTTCGTATGTTGATGCAATTATCCTCAATCCTCAACCGACTGGGATAAAATTTTCCATACACGTTTATTTTGGATGATAGTGCATAGTTAGCTGAGAGTCGTCATTGGATAATAATGGTGGATAGCCTAAGATGTGTACTAGATATTTATTTTTAACATAATATGCGTAAGTACCTAATCGAATTAAAGAAGTTGCTGAGAAAAATACAGAACAATACGATAATAAACTAGCGTCTGCGTTTAATCCTCCGAGGAGATGTAATTTTACAAAGGTTTTTTGTATTTATTTTATTATTTTTTTAATAAATTTATTGTAAATAACAAGAAATAATCATTGTAAAAAAATAGGCACTCTATTGTTGAATTTTCGTCAGACCAACTAATCATCGTTCATTTTTTTAGGTTCAATGGGGAGACCTAAAGATTTACGCATATGGGAGCACTACCGTACTTTACCAAACAAGTCTGTTTCTTGCAAGCTTTGTAATAAGGTCTACAAATTCAGTAATGCTGCCAAAATGCTTCAACATCTTATCACTTGTCCAAAATCTCCAGAAACATTAAAAGACTCTATGAAACTTATAAAAGATAGCTCGTCCAAAACCAAAATGTCTGGACTGTCAGAGATAGAGACAAATGATTCTTTTATAAGCCCCTCGTCGTCTGCTAACACTACAATAAATGCTGAGTTTCAAGACACCGATGATCATATAAAAACAGAATTAGCGAGAGCTATATTTGTAACAGGGACGCCATTATCGATGGTGCAACATCCTTTATGGATACAATTTTTCGAAAAATTGCAACCAAAATTTAAAATACCTTCACGTAAAGCTTTAGCGACAAAATACTTAGATAAAATATATAGAGAAATGCGTTTTGAGTTAAATGAGGAACTAAATGCTTGTAGTTACTTACACCTTCAGTGCGATGGCTGGTCTAATTTAAGAAATGAAGGAATAATAAACTTTCTTATATCAAAACCTCAACCTGCATACGTTAAAAGTTTGAATACAGAAAGTAATCCTCACACTAGTGAATACCTTAGCCAAGAAGTTGAAAAAGTAATGAAAGTGTATGGAGCAAATAAGTTTCTTGTACTTATTGGCGATAACGCTAGAAATATACAAAAGGCATTCGAATTAACAAAACTCAAATATCCACATGTTGTTCCTCTCGGTTGCTGTGCACATATCCTTAACTTGTTGTGCCAAGATATTGTAAAGATACAAGAAGTAACTGTGTTTATTATGCAAGCCATAAATATAATAAAAACTGTTAAAAGGAGTCAACGATTAAGTTCCTTGTTGATAAAATCAAGGCAGGGTGAAGATTCTACACAAACACTAAAATTGCCTTGTGCTACAAGATGGGGAAGTCATGTTACTTCGTTAAAAAGTTTGAAAGCAAATAAGATAGCTTTGCAAATATTAACAGTTAGAGAAGATGTGGTAATTTCAAGAGATATTAAAGATTTAATTCTAAGTGATGATTTCTGGACGAAGACAGGGGAATGTATAAGTATTTTGGAACCAGTCACTGAAAGCATATTTTACTTAGAGAGCGACCAGAATCGTTTGCATCGCACATACATTACATTTAGAGATGTACAAGCTAAGATACGTTTTGCATTAAATGAGATTTCGACATTGAGCGAAGAAAGCAAACAGCAGATTCTAACATCAGTATCTTCAAGATGCAATATGGCAATGAGGCCAATACATTTTGCAGCATATATTCTAGACCCCAGGACTCTAGGAGTCGAACTTACTCAAGAGGAAGAACTTAAGGGTATGGAGTTTATCTACAATTTAAGCCAACACTTAAGTTTGTCAAATGTAATGGCAGATTTGGCGTGTTATAAAGCTAAAGAAAACTTTTGGGCCAGAGGATTTGTATGGAGCTCATTAGATAGCATTGAGCTCCTAATATGGTGGAAAGGTATTTGTGGTTCCACTGAGTTAAGCAAAGTAGCGATTCGTATTCTATCAGCTCCCTGTACTTCGGCAGCCACTGAGCGTTCCTTTAGTATCCAAGGCTACATACATAATAACAAAAGAAATCGACTTACAACTGAAAGAACTGAAAAAATTTCATTCATTTGTTATAACTGGAATCTTAAACATAAAGCTGAATGCGAGGACATTCAGTTTAATGAAGAAAATACCTTAGAAGCTTTCATTGAGCAAGTAAATGAACATAACAGTTTAGACGAAATAGAGCCTATCGAACCTATACAATTCATCGCTTGTAATAACTCTGAATCTGACAGTGATTGACTGTAGTTTTACATTTTACTTTCATCTCTTTCTTAATAAACTCAAAATCAAATTAAAAGTTTTTTATTCTGTAGGCTGCATAATAATATTGTCTATGTCCAGTATAGTGGACGTCTTGCGGCTGAGATGACGATGATGAAGTACAAAATCATAAACACCCAAAAATTTGGGTGTTTATGGGGTTTAAACCCAATAAACCCAAAACACCCGGTTTTTACCCACTAGACTTTAAACCCACCCAGGTGGATTGCCCATCTCTACTAATATCATTTATCTAGGCATTTAATGTAAAAATATTCGCCAAAATTTTATTACGTGTCTTCTCGGCGATACAAACATTAAATAAAGTTACGTATAACAGAATAATATAAACTCTGTAAACTGCAACACAACCTCAATCTGAAACTGTAGATTTACCAGAGGGATACACGAAACTCTCTTTTCTACTACTATCAAACTCGTGTTTCTGCCGTTAAAGAGTTATGTTTGCATAGTTATGTTTCAAAAAGGTGATTTATGGCAGTGAAATTACACCACCATATATCACCACCTCCCTCCTCAGGCAAAACAATACAATAATGGATACCATCAAGAAATATTCATGAAGCTATTTATGTCTATCAGCGATAATTACCACTTTTCATAAGGTGAATTATGAGCTTGATAAAAATTAAGTTAATAATTAACTTTCATATAAAATTGCTCTATGCTTTTTACATTATTATTTTTATATTATTGTACATTTACCTAAGTAAAGGCGTAACTGCACTTCATACGGTATGAATACAAAATAAGCTCGTAATATCACTCAATAGAATCTCCCTTTCCCGTACATTATACAAAATAATTTTGTTTTATTAGATACAAACAATTTAAACGACTTAAATTATATGTATACCTATAGTAGTAAGAATTATATATAGATAAAGAACACAAATAATAAAACATACTTGTAGAAATAATATGTACTAATTTGTGTATCTTTAAAAAAAAAATATATTGATCAACCAATCACAACGTCGAATAAATTTTTTACGTATCGTGCAAAATCCCGCGCAAATTTTTCATTGGATAAAATATTAGAAATCTATTTAGAGTCCCTTATTAAGTCATAATTCGTATTCGCTTTCGATAATTCACTTTTCGAAATCATTTAATGGTTATACAAGTAGTAACTGATGGATATAAATATTTGAATAATATTTATTTAGTTATTTTAGTCTTGTTTATTGAAAAAAATGATTTACAAAGAATCTAGTAACATTTTTTTCAAAATTGTCGAATTTTTTAAAGGTGTTGATTAGGTTATATTTTCGTTTTACCTTTTAATCCTCCTGTCAATGTCAGTTGTCAGCTGGTCTGTTGACTTGTATGTTTTGAAATCAAATTGTACAAATTAACATGTAAAGTTTTAGCGGGATTCCTTACCTTATAAAAACAATGCTTTTGTTATAATAAACAGTACTAAATGCAGATAAGCGATGTCAAGGGTGATGGTGACGGAATCTTCAATATATAGCACTGTATCGAGGTATCCCGAGTTAGTCGAATCGTGTTCTAATAATCAGCGGGGTTACTCCAACACTGCTGATATTTATTACATATAAATAATATTTACTCACTTATAAAATGCCTCCGGTATCATTAACGGACGAGGTAATCTTTCTTTTAAAAGTTTTTCTCTAAAATTCTGTAATCCGATATTAAACAGCTGTTTTAAATATTACCTATTTAAAACACACTCATTATTCTATTTCTATTAAGATATTTCAATATTTTACCAATAATATTGGTTTTGTTTATTATATTTATACATTATTAAAGAAAATATTTGTACATTTAATTTCTTTATATTTTATAAATATTATTTTAAATTGACAAAACCAATTTAACAACATTGCAGGCTCCAAAGAAATCTCTTCGTGTGGCTATTATTGGCCAAAGTACATTTGCAGCTGAAGTGTTCAAGCTTTTACAAAGAGATGGACATGAAGTCGTTGGTGTATTTACTGTTTTAGACAAAGGCAATAGGGAGGATCCCCTTGGTAAGATACTTTGTAATTTTAAATAAATCTATTATAAATATATTTATTTTTTTATAATCTGTCAACATTGTAATTTTTGATACTTTGGGCAAAAGATTTGCCCAAAGAAGCCATTTGTGGTATTGGTCGGTAGGTACCCTTAATTCTAAAAATGCATAAAAATATTAATACATAATATTTTATATTTAATATAAACTTATGCTGCTTTATAATGTAGCTAAAAAGCCTGTTGAAAATAAAAAAAAAACAATTTCAAGTGTATATTACATATTCAACTGTTATTTTTATTATTATGGTAACAAAACCATAAAAAATAAAAAAATCCCTACTAGCTCAATAAAAAAAAACTTAAATTCATATTAGTTTTTAACAATTTTGTAAGTGAAATGTTTATCAACAGCTACTATTGCGGCACAGAATGGAAAACCAGTTTACAAATACAAAACCTGGCGCATCAAGGGGAAAGTTATACCAGAAGTTTTAGAACAATACAAATCTGTGAGTAAATTTATTACATATTGATAATTATATATTCAACTATTGCGGGTTCATCCTCATAAAACCTTATCTTACATTTCTGTTATACTTTTTCTATTGTATTTTTTATGTTTATTATGTCACAACTCCATCACTTATAAACTGATTGGGTAGGTTCTTTTTTCTGAAGGGATACTTTCAGTTTGGACCAAAAGAAATTTACTTAAAAGCAGTTTAGTAGTTTAATTTTCAAATTCAAATATTTAAGTCACCTCCAATTGTTCAGGCTGTCCATTTATAAATCATCCATTCATTTTAGGCATATCTTTATTGCTAATATTTGCAATAAATTAATTGTAATTGGATATAAAAAAAAAATATTTAATTCAAAATGTGAGAAGTCACTACACAGATTTGCATAAAATTAGAAGAAATAAGCAAGTACCTATTATTATCTAACATCATCCAATCTGTCATACAATTGATACAAATACATAAATATTTGAGCTACATGTTACACTTTAAATCTGAAAGATCTGGGCATAATTTTCTAAATTTGAAAAAAATGAAAATTTGCAGGAATAATAAATAAAGAAATATTATTTCTGACAAATGCTATCATAATACTATTTGATAAAATTCTGTTTAAGATATGTTTATGTGATTTTTAAATCTAATTTCTGTATGTAACAAGCTACACAATTTTTTTTTTATAAAATTGCTCAAAATAGTGTATAATGCTTTCAAAGTTCATGTCACATACAGTGTTATTTTATTCTGCCATAACTTCTAAATACTTCAACTGACTTGTATGTATGGAGTATCCATTATTTCTTACATCATCTAATAATAATAATACTACTTACATATTTTTCTTTAATTATTAATTTGTTTGTGTCTAATTTTATTTTCCTATCAATTATTATATACATAATATAAGCACCTAAGCTTCCAAACAACATCAAGCAGTCTGGTAAAAAATTTGGAAACATGTAAACAAGAATATAAAAGACAGACAAAATTTATTATGTCATCCTAATTTAGTAAACCTACCATTTACTTCACTTTGATTATCATAAATGTAATAATAAAGTCAATCTACATCCGGTTACTTCACTATAGTTTGCCTCAATGACTATATATTTATGATGATCAAACAATTATGACATTGCTTATTCCATTTAAAGTATTTATGCATGACACAAGACAGTGATTGAGAATTTCTATTTCATATAGTTTTAGTCCCTAAATATAAATAATACATCAAAGTTATTAACCCAATTATTTTTTACTCTTTTTGTTCGTAAAATGTATACAATATATAACATTGGTCAAGTAGACACAGTTTAACCTTTAAGAACAAATTCGATCGCATCTACTGAAAACTATTTCCACAGAATGAATTGCAGAAATAAATAAATTTGATTTAATTAACGGTTCAACATACTGTCCCAATCCCATGATTGCTAGCCCAATCCAATGAAATCTAAATCGATTTCGATAATTTATTTTGTAATCGCTGGAGTTTTCTCCCGTGATAGTACCTTTTTATTTTTTGATGATTCAAGTTGTCTCTTTTCTTTACACAGCAAAATCTTGTACGATTATGTCTACCATCCCGCGTTCTAAATTCAAATATTAAATAATTATTTCTCGTCATATTATATTGTCATTCAACAGTAAATCTTATTAAGTTTAATTAAAAATATTAAAATTTAGTTAGGTCACTAGTAAATATTAATTTTGCCATCATCAAAGGCGCTTTTTTAATAAGCAAAATCTACTTTCATTATAAACAAGAACTGTTTATACACTTCATACATACATCAATAATTTATTATTGGATTAATATCCACTATAGTGAGGCACGAATATGAAGCGTGTGCAATCTGTCATTTCGAGTGCAAGCTCCTAATGCTCTCATGACCTTCTATATCGAATGTTTTATCTTTATTGGTAATTTACTCTAATTATCCGGTTTCCACCTTCTTATAAATTATTAAAATGATTTTCTATTGATAAATAAATAACATCGTAATAATGGACATAAGACTGGAAAAAAAAAGAATTACAAATATAAAAGTGTGTTTTTTCTAAACATCAAAGTCTTAGCTTATTTTGTGCAAAGTAATCAAACTGTATAATATTTTACAGGCAAATGAAATAAATAATACACCTGCTCTAATGGCAGATAGGCGTGACAGATATATACTAAATTAATATTATTATATTATTTGTTTTTATATCGCCCCCTTTATATGTCGCTTGATAAATACACACGTTAATACTGCACGTGTTAATTTTAACTGTAGCTTAAAATAAATGCAATGATAATTACCGGGTGATTCAGTAAAGATAAGATATAATGGAAATTTCAAGAGTTAATTCAAAATTACGAATTACAAACTACTGAATTTTTAAGTTTTACGATTGAAACAGTGTCCGATATATTATTCAATTTTTTTTTTTTACATTTAAATAAAAACTGACATCAATATTTACAAAAATCAAATAGGGTCATCTACGAATAAATCATTTTCATAAAACAAAAAAATTTAATTTTAAATACGCCAATTGCCGAAAAAAATACGTAACACACTACTAAAACATTACATACTAAAATAGATTATTAGAAAATTTACGGATGTTAAAGAGTTTTCAATCGAAACATTCCATTGTTACACAAATTCGATTAAGCAGTCATGTTTCAAGATAATACAAGTCCATATCAAAGCATTAAACAAATCAAAATATATGTATATGATAGAAAGAAATGTATTATTCCCTCAACAGGTAAATGCCGACATCAATGTTCTACCATTCTGTACACAATTCATTCCAATGGAAGTCATCACACACCCCAAGTACGAGAGTATATGTTATCACCCCAGTATACTACCAAGGCACAGAGGAGCATCTTCAATTAACTGGTAAGTACAACTTATTGGTCCATATTATTATCTTTTGATAGTGCTAGCTGTATCTCGCGGCTTCACCTTCATGAATTAGTACATAAAGCATCCTATATGCTAAGTTGTAATTAACCCTACCCGAGTACGAAATTTAATTCAAATACGTTCAATAGTTTATGCGTGAAAGAGTAATAAATATCCGTCTATCCATCGTTACAAACTCTTGCATTTTTTATATTAATAGTAATGTAAATGTAATGTAAATAGGACTCTATTTTCCGCGCTTAGCCTCTCATTTGAGCCGTTGTGCGTATATTAATAGTATAAAATAATCTATACACGTCTATTTATTTCTCTGTTTACTTCTTCAAAACCACGTAACAATTGACTAATGAAGCTACTCGTATTGCGATGCTTGTTTCAACTCACGATTATACGAAAGACAATGTCTTTGCCGTGTAAGTAACATTTATAACAGTTAAAGCATTCATACAGGTGTAAATGTCATTTAAAAATATTTATCCATAAAATTTGTATATAAGTACAGTACATGTATATATACAATACATCCTAAACTTTTGTATAAATAGATAATTGCACGTAACTAGTACTGATTTAAACTATCTGTAAGTCGCTTAACTCACATAAGTTGAAACAAAAATATTATGTGTGTTATATGTGATAGTGTCTATGAACCAAATTTCATTCAAATCCATTCAACCGTTTAGCGTAATGAAATGACAAAAAACAGCAAACTTTCACATATTATATATAAATATCTGAAACATCATCAAATTTCTTATTTATTAATGTTTTCTTATTGAGTATCTTGTTTAACACTGCTATATCAAAATGTTTATGCTTATAGCATCTTGGTCAGGTAGACATAATAATGAGCCAAATCATTAATTATATTTACAGTCACCCGGGATGACTGTATATATATTTAATGATTAAAGATTTATGTTTAATTAATGATAACAAAAACACATGAAGCCATCACGTTAGTAAAGTTCACTAAACGTGACATTAAAATTTCCCTTATGTACATTTTCTAATACGTGCCACTCTCTATCCATTTTAATAGGTGTATAATTAATTAATAATAATAAACAAACCAATTATCTGGTTCTCGCTATAATAAATATGTTATAATGAACCAAACAACAAGTATATAACTTAAGATAATTGCTTTCGTAAATGTACAAAATGACGTTCCTTAAGAAACATAGTGAAAATATGACAATTATTTGTATAATGTAAAAAACTATTATTATTTATATATATATATATATATATATATATATATATATATATATATATATATATATATATATATATATATATATATATATATTATATAAAACTAGTCTTACACCTATTTCCTTTCCCCAATAGAACTCGCGCTATGTCGTAGTACTCTGAATCCTGTTTTTGATCAATGATTAGATCAAATGAAAATAAACAATTACAATTGACAACTACCTATTTCAAAAGCTCAAAATATTATATAACTTGACTGATAAATTCACTCATATCAATTTCATAACATCATTACCATTGTGGTCATGATGTTTCTATGTGATATTATGGTCATCGGGCATAGATAATGTCGTCGCGCTTTATCAGTGCAAGTTATCATGGGGTGCTTACATATCATATGTTTTCTATAGAGAGGTCGTGTAATAATGGGTTTTTGCTTTATCAATGGTTTAGGAGTTATCGTTCTGTGCCCCGAGTACCCAGTTCTTAAGATATACTTATTTTTTCCAGTTTGGATATACTAATTACGTATTTTTGTTTTATCAATAGTATTCGAGTTATCATGGGGCATGGGGTTGTCTACATCATGCCTATATCTCATGCACAGAGCTAAATCAGGACTTATGAAACTGGGCTAAACTGAGATTAACAATCAAAATACTTAAATTACTTTGTTATATTATAGGTACTTATAGAATTTAAACAAAATATTAACTTTTTTTAGCCAATGTTGCTACGCAATTTTAAATACCTATGTTGTTGTTAAGGGAAGACTAAATTTGCTATATTTTTTTTTAATTGCACTAGTTTGTTTACTTTTGGTTTTATATTTAAATATTAAATTATATATACATTTATATTAACAAATTTGTCCCAGAAATAAGCCTTGAACTTATTTTTTTTTAACATAATAAATTATAATCACACCTAAAACATGATATCAAATAATGTGTATCGTAAGAGACAATGTTTTGTCTTAGAAAAAATATGTAAATATAAATATTTCATAACAATACGATATCATTACGTGTATGCACATATCTTAATTAGTGTGTCGAAATTACGGAGCTTTAATTCTGAACAAATTATCATACATACATTTTCACAATTTTAATGATAGCTAAGCAATATGAAATGGGAACTCCTCAGCTTTAGTAATACTTAGTGACATAATTTATTGAATAAGCCAATACTAATTTTAGTTGTCACAAAAAATGTGTGGCCAAGATAATACGCCAATTAGCAATAATACGAGTAGTATTTCTGAAACAACAATTTTCCCTATAAGATAATTACTTTTAAGAGAAACGGGTAAATAATATTTAAAATGCTGGATAATGTAGTTCTTTTTTATCACATCTCATCTTCATGGGTAGAAAAAACATAAACACTACTGACAGAATTGTAAAATAAAAGATGATAGAAAAATATAAAAGGCGTTTTATGATAGTCAGGAATACGCCACACCATCATTAGTAATGACTAAGCAATGATGAAATGAAAAGCTCGGTTTATAACATTACTTATCATAATAATAATTTCCAAACACAAATTAATTATTGCTTTTTAAACTTTTCAAAATACATACAAATATATACAAGCTCTAGTATTTACTGGAAATGAAAAATACTCTTTAAGTCCAAACAACAACAGGAGCTACTATTGTTTTTTTTTTGTTCATTTTAGTTTTAACTTTCAAAGTTGGCATTATGCTCCCTCCGCCTCTCAACTTTAATAAATTAATCGTCATGTCATATCTCCAAATTCGATATCAAAAAGGCCAAATGGCTTTTTATTACTGATATGTAGATGAGAGTCTGACAAAAAATAAGTACATACAAAAAAAAATAAAAACCCTCTGTTCAGGAGTGAACAACAACTGAAATAATGATGATTACGAACGATAAATCGTTAACCCGTTATGAATGGAATAGCCATTAACAACTGGTTCACCTAAAGAAAAATAATTAATTTAATTTTTTTTTATACCCAGGACACTAATTGAAGGCGACACGACTTGCGGCCTCTCCATATTCTGGGCGGACGATGGGCTCGACACAGGCCCTATTTTGTTGCAGAAAACATTCCCTGTGACTATTGATGACACCGTCGACACCATATACAACAAATATTTATATCCCGAAGGTGAGGAATATTCATTTTTATTTAGAATTACGCAGACAACTCGCTGAGCTGAAGTTAACCCTGCCTTGTGATCCCGGCATATAATGAGCCACTCCTGCCTTTCTCGTGGATACCCTAACAGGTGACTAAGGGAATTTTATGGTTGGGGCATGGGCAGCAGCGTCCCTCTTAAAACACCAATAAAGCCTAACTGCGGTTGCCAACCCGCCTGCCAAGTGTGGCAACTACTGGCAAAACCTCTCATTAGGGGGAGGCCTATGTTCAGCAGTGGACGGTTAACGGCTAATACAGTAAGTTTATCCAAATAATTGACTTGGAAAAATTTTAAAGTCTGGGAAGACTGGGCAAAACTAAAGTAAAATTTTAAAAGCTAAGAAAATATCTCGCCTGTGCAGGTCATAAACTCGTTCCAAATTTACACAAAGCTTACGTTGTTTTTTATCAGCTAGTCACCGGAGATTTACTTTAAAAGGCTCAGATTTTTTTGTCAGTTTTCGACTCGACTTTTCTCGAGCAAAAACATTTTGTATCACTGGTAAAACACTCCTTCAAAAAAAACACTATATAAAGGCCTTTCATTACCTATATATTTCAAATATTTTACTAAACTATATGTTATCTTGCAGAAGTCCATATCATTGGTTATTTGATTAGAACTATTTTGTTTAATTCCGCTACCATTAATATGTATGTGATTGCCAACACTCGAAGATTAATTACTAATATAGTAAATTTATGACAATTCTTAAATTTTGAAGATTGAGTGGTAACTTAGACCAGCTTAGATCAGAAACTTTTTCTTTCGACACTGCTGCCCTCTATAGACAGTTAAAAGTGCCATAACTCCATCCTTGAACTTCTGTCTTCTATCAATTTTTAACGAAAGTGATCCGGTAGTTTTCAATTGTTTCTCGTATTCAGGTATAAAGGCGTTGGCAGAATCTGTCAATATGGTAGCAAACGGTACAGCCCCCAGAATCCAACAGACCGAAGAAGGAGCTACATACGACGCCGCGCTGTTCAAACCAGAGACACATCAGGTAATAAATATTCCTTATTTTTTTTTTTTATAATAAGGAAGACACGTTCTTACGTGTCACCTATGTGATTACCATAAGGCATATATATTAACAATACCAAAAAAATCATCATGTTTTGAAAATGTCGAATTTGTCTGCTTAGTTTTTGACTAAATTTCGCTTTGTAAACAATATCCAGATAAAAGATTTTTTTTTCGTAGATTATTCAAAATTAATCTGTGAAAATTTTATCATACATCGAAACAGATCGACTGGTCGAAAGGTGGCCTCGCACTACACAACTTCATCCGAGGTCTCGATTCATCACCTGGCGCCACCACCTTCATTCACCCGCAGACTAGAGACGGCTTGGTTGAAGGCAGCGAGCCAACTGTGGAAATTAAATTCTTCGGCTCCAGTCTCTGGGAAGGAGAATACGAAGCAGAGGGGGATAAACTGTTGATTCCAAATTTAAACAAGCCGGCGGTCATACACGAAGCGGGCTTGTTGATCACTGCCAATGATGGTGTAAAGGTACAGATATATAAGAATGTTATAAAGAATAACAAAATGTTTTTATGTAAGAAATAAGCTCTATAAAGAATCTAAACCAGTTCGACTAGTTCTCTAATAAGAAGCTGCACTATTTCTGAAAAATCTATACTGTAAAATTGTTTGTTCTCGACGCGCATACGCAGCTGATTGACTTATAAACGCAGTTTTACTGTCTACAGTCATACTGTCTTAGTAGCTAAAATTTGAACATAGTTTTATTTGCAATATAAGCAACTGCTAAAAAAGATTATTTTAAAATTTAGCTAAAAGGAAAAAACACGACATCACACGTGCAACAATATGTTCATACTAGTTTCATCATTGAATAGATTATAATGTCCAGTGAAAATTATTATGGGAATGGGAGGTAACGGAGTCGCATATAAAACGAAACTATATAAAGTAATATTAAGTATATAGGTATAATAATATTAATTAATATGGTGTAAAAAAGCTGTTAAATTACGAACATTTCAATCTATCTTGCAGTTTTTAAGAACCAAAACCAAAATCCATATATCTAAAAAAATATATCATGTACATCATAACATAAAAGACCTAACTCTTGTTTCAGCTAAACGTTCAAAGACTAAAAGTGAATGGTAAAATGATAAACGCCCAAAACTTCTTTAAGGCGAACGATAACAAAGTAACATTAGAATTGACAGTGGATGAGAAACAATTCGTCGAGAGCGCCCGAGATATCTGGAAGGCGATCTTACGGATAGACATTGACGAGGACACGGATTTCTTCGAATCTGGCGCCGGCTCCATGGACGTAGTCAGATTAGTTGAAGAAATCAAAGATTTAGCAAACATAGAACTCCAAAATGAGGATATATACATGAACACAACATTTGGTGATTTTTACACAGTGGCCATCACAAAAGCTAGAGGCGGTTCAAATAAAAAAGAAATAGTATACGAAGGTGTAGAATTAGAGGTTAACAAAATGAAAGTTAAATTTCCAACGCAGTTGTTTATAAATGGGGAGTTTGTTAATGCTGATAGTGGGAAAACACTGACCATCGTGAATCCTAGTGACGAAAGTGAAATCTGTAAAGTGCAGTGTGCGTCTGCGGCTGATGTTGATAGAGCGGTGCTGGCCGCTAAGAAAGCGTTTGAAGAAGGAGAGTGGTCTAAGATCAGTGCCCGGGAAAGAGGCCAGTTATTATTCAAGTGAGTACAAAAGAAAACAAATATTTTTTCCTAATTTAGTGTTATTTTATTTTTGTTGCTAGGTTTATGTAAAATAATTAGATGTTGTTATTCTCGATAAAGATTTCTTTTCAAAATAAATTTACTAAAATGAGCTTTGACCAAGCGGTGGACAGACCATTGCCTATTACATTAATCCTAACAAAGCATTAAAGCATTGTTAGTTTTAAATACTTATAATATATTTAATTCATTCTGAATTATCAAGTGTAATAAATTCTATTTGATAGTTATATAATGAATATATATCGTATATAATATGACTTAAATTCTTTCCGCAGATTAGCAGACCTAATGGAACAACACAAAGAAGAACTAGCGACCATAGAATCAATAGACTCTGGCGCAGTCTACACATTAGCCCTCAAAACCCACATAGGAATGTCTATAGAAACATGGAGGTACTTTGCGGGCTGGTGCGACAAGATCCAAGGCAGTACAATACCCGTGAACCATGCTAGACCCAACAGAAACTTGACATTGACAAAAAGAGAGCCAATCGGTGTTTGTGCGCTGATAACTCCTTGGAATTACCCCCTGATGATGCTGTCATGGAAAATGGCGGCATGCCTGGCGGCCGGCAACACGGTCGTCATGAAACCAGCTGCTGTAAGTATTCGTAATTCTTGAATATTTATCTTAATATTCATAGGTTCCAAATAAGTTAATAATCCGTACTCATCTCCGTGCAGTAAATAATACTTTTTTCGATGAAGCAAACATAATGGTAACCCCGCCTGTATTTTAATCCGGACCGCACTTAGCAAATCTGGCACCCTCACTGAAGGCTCAAATAAGAGCAAATTTACCGTTGGTGATGGCGTCCAGCAACTACTCTGATCTATGGAACTTTTTTTAATGAGGACTGATGGGAGGGGTGGTAGGGACCAGAGGGACGGGACATCCCTACTAGGGATGTCCCGTCCCAGGTCTCTGGCCCTGGAGCTCTCCACCGCCACCATTTTCCACATCCATATCCATATTCAGTAGATTTTAACTAAATAAACATAAAACATACATAAATATAAACTAAATAAAAAAAAACTTGTAGAATTACATCAACTTCTTAAACTGGGCACCTCGTTCAGCTTTGTCCGGCCTTAGTCGCCACTAGTTCTCTTACATCCCTTTTGAACCGCGGTGTGATCTGTGTCACCAATCGACGTTATCGACTTTATTTATTAATAAAATACTGGATTACAATCGTTTCTAGATGTGATCTCGTGTCGATTAACTTGACAGGGTTATATTGCTAATAATGGAAACGTTTTTTTATGTAATGAAATGGTAACCCGCCTGCGCTATCGGTATACACTGGCCTGGACACCAGTGAGGGATGATTGATGAGCATGAAAAGGCAGGTCAGTTTACCCATCGTGATGAATTCAACGACAAATTAGTCACGATAGTTTTCAAGGGGAACCGCGTGGAGGACGACCTGATAGAATATATTGATAGCAATGGGGACTAACTTCCCCATTACTAACAATCCCTTCCTCCCTAATGAAAACTTTAGTCCCTACTAGCTACTCAAATTTTTTTCAACGACAAACTACCGCCAGCACCAACATAACGTACCACGCTTCATAACGAAGCACAATTACTTGACGGTAGATGCACAAATAAGACAAAGATAGCCATACGAACCGTGTCGATCGTATGATTCTATGAATAAATGCTTCCTTCTTTTTCAAATAACATAGACTGCTTCTGGAATTAATATATATTTACCCAATGGGCAGGTATGTCCACTGACGGCGTTGAAGTTCGCGGAGCTGGCAGCGCGGGCGGGCATCCCGGCGGGCGTGGTGAACATCCTGCCGGGCAGCGGACCCGGCGCCGGGCAGGCGCTCGCAGACCACCCCGCCATCAGGAAGCTCGGCTTCACCGGCAGCACGCCCATAGGTAACGTCAAGTAAATATTTTGGTTATTAGATAAATAAATACTTTTTCAACATTACACAGCGCCATCTAGACCTATGTTAAGCAAAGTTTGCACTATAGTAGTATTTTTTAATTATTATCTAAATTAATATTATAAAGATGAATTATTTGTAGTTTTGTTAGTGACAGTAGCAAACTCAAAAAATACTTAATACACAGTAGAAGGAGGTATTTCGAATGTTTGACCTCATTTATGTCTGTGTGTGCCAAGTGACTGCCACTGCATGGAATTTGTTAAACAATAACTCACAGGGTACATTCACAGGTCAAACGATAATGAAGTCATGCGCTGCGTCGAACATGAAGAAGGTATCATTGGAGCTCGGCGGGAAGTCGCCTCTCATCATATTTGAAGACTGTGATCTCGACAAAGCTGTCAGAAATGTAAGACCTACTTATTCAATTAATCAACTTTTTTTTGTTTCAAAATTTAACATTCATTTTTTTAGTTTCAGTTTGACTGGTAGAGAATGTACTAGAAATAAAGAAATCCCTTTAAACCTAAAAATTTTAATAATAATAACTTTAAAATATATATATATATATATATATATATATATATATATATATATATATATATATATATATATATATATATATATATATATATATAATGAATAAGTATATCTAGACTATTAATTGAAACTAGTTTTGTGGATATATTTTTTTATTACATTATCTATTGATCCGTAGTGTAGACACGATTTAAGTTTACAGGACACCCCCGGTGTCGTACATACTATAAGATTTTTTTATAAATTAACAGAAAGGATTTCCCGATACTCCCAGGAACTTATCGATAACGAAATCCGCACAAGCGAAGCTGCCGTATTCATATTTAAAAATTTCTTGTCACAGTATTCGTTCACAATCTTTGAAACCACTCAACTGATTTTAATGATTTTTTTAAATGTGTTTAATATGTTCTAACTTTAGATATAGGAAAGTCTTTATCCCAATAAAATGAACCCGGTACGTGGTAGTAGGGAGACCACAATGGTTGCCGAATAGACTAAAGTATAAACAATTTAATCACTTTTTGTTTATACTAATAATAATGTCTGTAGCAAAGCCGCGGTAAAATAATAGTTAACATACGAAATTTTTTCGATCTCCAGGGTATGGGCTCAGTGTTCTTCAATAAAGGTGAAAACTGCATAGCGGCGGGCCGGTTATTCGTCGAAGAACGCATCCACGATGAATTCCTCCGCCGTGTGGTTGAGGAGACGAAGAAGATCAGCATCGGCGACCCGCTGCACCGCGGCACCTCGCACGGACCGCAGAATCATAAGGCGCACATGGATAAGTTGATTGAGGTACGTTATATTTTACATTCATTAAGGCACATATTTTGGTACCTTTGTAAAAAATAAATCATTATATATATAGATGATGGTTACCAATGTTAGACTGGACGTCTTTACTATATCTAGTAATATAATCAAAGGCATCTATAAGAGTGCTAACGTACATAATGTCTAATGACGTCAACTGTTGCCATTGCAGTAAAAGCCACATACAAACAGGGCCACATTTTCACCTAAAAATTCTATTGTTCGTAATAATATTTTATTATTAAACTATTTATTAATTAATTTTACAATATGAATATAAATAATTATAAACTACAGAATATATTAAATAACTATATAATTCTAATAACAATTACGATATGAATAGATACACACCAATACTTAAATAATAACAATAATAAATAAAATAATAAGAAAATACGTACCTATCGTGATACAATTTCAATGACTGGATAATATTGTAACAGATCCTTAGACTATTTCTAAAGTAAAAAAAGTGTTGTCCTCCTCTCTCCTACTTGCTGTGCCCAACAGAGTCCATAATTGAAATGTTACCTACTAATTATATTATGGAATGCAATAAGAAATAAATAAATAATAACGGTACTCTATACCAAATTAGTTAAGCTGTTAAAGCGCTAAGAAATAACAAACAAACTCACTTTCACACTTATAATAATAAATGTTTTCACAGCCTTGACAACACTACACGTTATAATTTTAATATTATAACAATTCTGTACAGTATTGCGAGTGTGGTGTGAAGGAAGGCGCTAAGCTGGTGTACGGCGGCAAACGTGTCGATAGGAAGGGCTATTTCTTCATGCCAACTATCTTCACTGACGTCACCGATGACATGTACATCGCCAAAGAAGAATCATTCGGCCCCATTATGATCATCAGCAAATTCAGTAGCAAGTTAGTATAAACCTTCTCGAAGGGATTCTTTTATATTTTGTATATTTCATAAAATAACATGGATACCACAGGATTTCTGTAATATCCACAATCCTAATCTATAGGCGACAGTTACCACTTTCTTATCAATAACAAATAAACTTTCAGCTTGTTTATCATTTTAATCACATTATTACATTATAAACCTGTTAAAGCATACATAGTGTTTTATCTATTCTTTTCTGTCTTTTAATGGAATTACTTATGAAAACTATAACCTGTTTTGTAGCTTTCTTTCAAATTGAGAATTTAGCACAAAAGAAAGAGACAGAATAGCTGAAGTGGTTTATGAGAGGTCTGATTTTTACTAAGGGAATATGTGTTTTATACACTTAAACAAATTAAATTTGTCGATCTCTGTGGTGCAGCGCTAAGCATACTACTTTACACAACGAGGACTCGGGTTTAATTCTCGGTTGAACCAATTTAGGAAACTTCTCTAAATTGACTCGGGTCTGGGTTTTATTGCCTGCTTTCTCCTAACATAAAGTATTCTAGCATGTAAGGACCAATAGACTGATGTGATTATGTGCCATTACTATGTGCTTAGTTACATTCTATATGTTTATTCCATAGAAACCTGGACGATGTGGTGAGACGCGCTAACAATACAGAGTACGGACTTGCGAGCGGCGTATTCACACGAGATATCTCGCGAGCATTACAACTGTCAGAGCGAATCGACGCCGGCACCGTGTTCATTAATACATATAATAAGACAGACGTCGCTGCACCTTTCGGCGGCTTCAAGCAATCTGGCTTTGGGAAAGACTTAGGTAAACACACATTTACAACCTTACCTTTACAACCTACCAATGGCCAGCCCCGGCTTTATATGTTTCCTTGAAAATAAAATATAGCCCATGTTACTCACAGATAATATAGTTTTCCACAAGTAAAAGAACTTTTAAAATTGGTCAAGTATCTTTTAAGTATTTACATGTGTACATCTTAATGCTAAAAGTATTATTTCCCAGTCAACTTTAGGAAAGTGTCAGAATACTCGAATATAGTACTAGTAATTATTGATATACATACTACAATTACATATATAAAGTATATACATTCTTCTTTTCATTTAAGAGTTTCCTCTTATCGGTGCAACTAACCTCTTGATCTCCCTATACGACATGACACTCAGTGTTTCCTTTATCTGTCCCATATAGTTATTCCTCGGTCTTCCACTTCCTCTTTTGCCCTCTATTTTTCCTTCTACTATGGTCTTAAAAAAATCATCATCGTATAAGGTGGTCCAGCATTTTGCCTCTTCTATTCTCTATTATTTTATTTAATTAAAATAAAAGAGAATAGAAGTATATACATTACAAACAAAAAAATCAAGTCTCTTGCTATGGAAATTCAACATATAATATAAACTGGTTTTTTTTTTCAGGTCAAGAAGCGCTCAATGAATACCTCAAAACCAAATGTGTTACAATAGAATATTAATGAATTTTATATACTTAAATATCTATTATTAATTCTACATATTTTTGTGATATATATATTAAAAGTGATGGTATTGAATGAAAAAATGGTGCAATTGTCATACTTTTTTTTTTATTATGTACTGAAAGTACACTTAATTAGTATTTGTTGACTTTTAATGTGGTAATAATTGTAAATAATTATATTGAATCTAGTTAATATATAAGCAATGTCGATAATAGTGTGAATATTTTTAAGTTTTACTATTTATAATACGAGGTCTGTCCGGAAAGTTCGTATAAAAGTGTTCTGGAATGCGAGAAAGAGGAGTGGTGAGGCCAGGTAAGCGCAGGACCCCTTCCTTATGTCTCTAACAATGCTTCAGTTCTGGTCTGACCGCCGTGCGGTGCGAACTGGCTTGTCACGCCATCTGTGAAGTTACCTCTTAACGAAACCCCGTCGGCATGGAGCCCGCTTCCGTTGAAGAGCAGCGCGTCGTAAAAGTTTCTCTAAACTCTGCAAGAATGGCCGTGAAATTTTTGCCGATCTCAGAACAGTTTATGGGGATGATGCTGTGAAGGAACCAACCGTCCACAAGTTTTCAGAGAGGGCCGAGAAAGAGTTCGATGTTCGGGGGATTGTCCATCAAGAATTCCCTCCAAGTTGATGGAAAATTCTACGTCGATGTGCTCAATCAAAGCTCGTGTGGCACGAGTTCGTCCAGAATTGGCGCGAGAGGGGCGTTGGATTCTTCACCACGACAATGCCCCTGCCCACACCTCTCTTGTTGTCCGTGAGTTTTTGAGTAAAAAATCCATTACGGTGACCGAACACCCCCCTATTCGCCGGATTTGGCCCCGTGTGACTTCTTCTTGTTCCCAAAAACCAAATTGGTACTTCGGGGGCGGCATTTGGGGGACATAAATGAGATAAAAAAAGCTACGACGGGGCAGCTGAGAAACTTACAACCAGAGGACTTTCAAGGAGCCTTCTCACAGTGGAAACGGCGTTGGCACACGTGCATTATGTCACAGGGGGAGTCTGAAGGGGATAAAATTGATTTACCTGAATAATTGTAAAATAAAATTTTTAAAAAACTTTTATACGTACTTTCCGGACAAACCTATACACTGTTTTTAAAAACATGTTTTTTATTTCAATTATACAAAATAACTATGTGTGACTTATTCTTTTTATTAATTTTTAACAATAAATTAATAGGTAACAGAATTTCTTAACCAATCCTTGTAAACATCTTGTTTGGACCTTTAGTTCCACTTTTCAATGACGTCCTCTCTGTAAAAATAAAAGTTCTACCAAGAGTTACAATTATTTAATATTATGATCTAGATAGGATCTGTGTCTTAAAAATCATAAACATAATACTGATTTCTATCATTTAAAATAATATTTTTTATATTAGTAATAAAATAGAATTTTTTCATTGACTTGTCTGTGCCAGATTTAATTTTAACAAATCGGTCTCTGGATACTTCCTTCACAAACCCCCACCCCCGCTCCCCCACCCCTCATTCCTCTAGAGTACTCCTTGTAAGCGTGTGACCTTAAAATTTTTAAATTAAAGATTATTTTCTACCACGAATAATAAAACTATCAGTATTCTTTACCGGATTCCTTGGCCAGGCGTCGAAGTAGTCGTTGGATCGCCTGCAAGTGTTGGCGTTTCAGATACGATTCTATCCGCAGGTTTGGAAAGTCGTCGAAATGTATATAAAACGTCCCGGTCAGGATAACTGGATTAATAATAAACACATTGATATTACAGTTACGTAACTTGCAAATCAGTTATGTGGCATGGTGTTCATAGTTGTAAGTAGGTTGTAATATATCAACAGAATTTATACAGAGTGGAACAGATTTTTTTTAATGGCTGATAATGAAATAGCAACACTGCCTGCGCTATCAGTATACACTGACGGGGCACCAGTTAGAGATAAATGGTGAAGATGAAAAAGCAGGCCAGTTAGCCCATCGTGACCAATTCAACGATAAATTAGTCACGATGGTTTCCAGGACAAATCGCGTGGAGGTCGACCTGATGTTTAGCAATGGGGACTAACCTCCCCATTACTAACAATTCCTTCCCCCCGGAAAGAATACGTTGGCTAAAATGAAAACATCTGATACAGATGAATGGTCTTAATCTGATAGCAGATTGTTTTCCCACCAGAAATGCACCACAGTTATATATTTTTTGTTATACAACTTAGAATGGCATATAAGCTGACGGCCCACCTAATGGAAAGTGGTAACCGTCGCCTATAGACATGAGCAGTACCATGGACATAACAGAGTATACTGTTTTGCCCATGATACCCCCCATGCGTTGCCATTCGTGAGGACTCAGGTGTTATTCCTCTGTACCCTGTAAATTCACGCCATATCCCACCCTTCAAATTGAAACACAGCCATGCAAACACAACTGCTTCACGGTTGAAACACGAATGGGACAGAGGTACCCAAGCAATCGACTTTTGTACAAAATCTCTCTGATAAAGTAATATAATTAATAAAAAATATAATTCACGATTCTTAGTTTTGACGCCACACAATGTATTTGAAATTTCTAATATTTTAAATACGAATATTACATTGCTGTTTTTTGGTATTTCTTAGTTTTTCACTATAAAATATTATTATTTCTTTATATTATGACATAATATCATAAATGAGGTGATTTTAAATAAAAAAAAATTATAAAAATTTGAAATTTTCCGGAAAGAATTTCCACTGGTTTTCAGTTTAGAATTATAGTCTGAATTCAGTTTCAGTTTTTGCCAACCAGTCCCTTACACTCTGAGCCTTCCATAGTAACGCGACGTGTCCATCTGTTAGTTCGTTCAGTCGGTTCAATATTCTCGTCGTTTTTAAATTTCATTAGCATCATCATCGTACCAGCCATTAACTGTCCACTGCTGAACATAAGTCTTTCCAATAAGGGAAGTTTTGCAAGTAGTTGTCACGCTTAGTAGGCAGGTTAGCAACTGGAGTTAGACTTTTAGTGATGTTTTAAAAGGGACATTGACCATCCCTCTACCATTAAGTTCTCTTAGTCGCCTCTTACGACACCCACGGGAAGGGAAAGATAGCCTAATCAATGCCGGAACCACATTGATTAATTCATTAACATATGCAAAGTTATTTTTCAGGGATAGGATGGGGACTGACTCTTTATTACAACACATTACCTATTGTTAAATATCCCAATATAATATAAAAGTAGATAATAATACTGGCAACTGAGAAACGCATGCATTGCCATGATGACCAAAGATAACAGAAAAAGTTTATTCTCATTAAAAATATTCTTCTACCAGGACAAGGTTTTTTATTTATCACAAAATCAATTAAATAAATCGAGTAGTTCCTCAAGATCCTCATCAGGATTGATCACCTATGTAGTCTCAGACATGTCTATGAGCATGGGTAATAACTCCACACGCATCGTGTGGTGGACACTCAATTTCAATTCTAAGAAGGCTAATGATTTCGTTTTCAGCTTGTATATTTGATTAATGAATTTAATTTTAGTACTAATTGGGTATAAATTTAAATATAATTAAATATTAAGAAATTAATTAAGATTACTTTTTATCAGAGTACTGAAGTCTCGGTGGTCTAAATTTCCGCATTGGCTTATACTGAAAATAATAAAAACTTATAAAATGTATAGAAAATATAATAAATAGATAAAGCAAAATTATACCTACTAATTTACATAATCACTTAACAAGCCAATAATAATTAGTACTACGGACGGGTCTTATTTTTGTACTTGGACAAACACATGTTAATGTTGTAGACATTGATTTTTTGTAATGGGTGGAATAGTAAATTCAAAGGTGCCAACGGTACGCGACAGTCACTATTCCATTAAAAAAAAATATGCTTGCATAGTTTTTATGGTTTGAAACTAACCCACCCAGTTATGACAGTAAAATTATAACGCACGGAGGCATAACATCTTATTCCTCAAGAATAGCGAATGAAAGGTAACACGGGTGTCATAGTATATTCAGTGATACTCAAGGTGCTACTTATGTCAATAAACGACGATTAACACTTTTCATCACTCAATCAGGCAGACTGTCAGCTTGCTTTTCCTTATTACATTAAAAAATACGTACAGCTAGTTTCATAAAATATTCGTAAGAACGTCTACCAGTACTAAACAATATTTTCGACATAATTTTGTTTTACAATTAATTTAATATTATTATTTAATAATAAGAGTCACATCAATTTGAAAGTTTAAATGATTGCCAAAATATATTATTGTCAAAAAATTATGGTTTGAAAAAAAACTTACAGCATTCCTCTAATCAGAGAATAAAAAATAAAAAAAGTGTTTGAATACATAACTACTTTACAAAAATTTGATTCAAATTTTTGTATAGTACGGGTTTTTTTTTAATGTATGATAATGGAATGGTAGGTACCAGTGAAGGATGATAGGTGAGGAGATGAAGTAGGTCAGTTAGCCCATCGTGACGAATTCAACAAGAATTGTTCACGATGGTTTCCAGGGGGAACCACGTGGAGGTCGACCTAATAAGGCATATTGCTAGCAATGGGGCTGTCAAACTCCATTACTAACAATCCATTTCCCCCCGTATAGTACGGGTTAGATAGAAAATTTATTATAGGTACTATGATTCTGATTCCAGTAAAGACCTAGATAGTTAGTTTCTTATGGGATAATTGTAAATAATATGATTTATCTGATACGACTACTTTAACCACAAGTGTCCAAAATTTAATGTCTCACAAAAAAAATTGTCTCAATTTAACAATAATTAAAATGGACCAACATAAAAGTAAATTGCAATATATAAAGTTATATATACCAGTTGAATATCTGACCTTTCATTAGATCAACATGCAATATCTACATTCTATACATTCACATGCATTTCTTTATTTTCTTTATTATATTTTTTGAGTAGTTTACTTTTATCTATGGCCAAAATGGATCAAGCCACATATTTGTCATTATGACATTGACAATAACATTAAAATAAAAGTCAAAACCAGATGATCCATTACAATATTTATTCATAAAATTTGTTCATTATTTTTAAACTTTTGATTAAACAACAAATTAAATAAAATGGGTAAAAACGTACCCATTCGTGATATTTCACCGGTCCTGCAAATATTTAGAGATTTCCTATTGGGAGTAAGTTGAATGTTTATTTAGATCATTATGTAACCTAAATTATTATTATTTATACGCTTATTGTAAATTTATTTAAAATATTTTTATTTTTTTATTAGAGAAAACATACTCTGGCGATACGTTTTGAACAATTTGTCGCGGCGCGGACACAACCACCACCACAAATTCCCGATGGCCCTACACATAAGTAAGGAGATTATTTACATTAGCCAATATTATAATAATTTTATCATTATAATGTTGAAACATTAATTTATTACTATTACTAAACCAACTTATAAACACCTTAGGATATTAATTATCTGATGAAAATTTGGCTAAATCACAACCCATACAAAACATTGAATGTATTGATTTGTAATTTATTAATTATTTATTGTTTAGACATGCTCATAATTACTACTACACAAGGGATGCTCGCAGAGAAGTAGCGCCACCAATTGATGTTACTAAACAGTTCCTGGAGGCTAGCTCTGACAAAGGGTATGTAGTCTTTGAATATTTCTCATGTAAAATTAAATGCTTTTTGATATTGCAGATTTACATTATACAGTATCATCACATAACAGCTTCAGTTATACTTGTCCTTGTTTGTTTGCATTCCCGGAGTAAATCTATTTCTTATAGAACAAATATAATTTTATGTACTTTGAGGCCCGTCTGTTGGGAAGTGGTAACCATAGCATATAAACATGAACAACTTAGAATACATTGTGATGCCCACAACACCCTTTAGGTGCTGCCAATTTTAAGAACCATGTTGTTATGCTCTCATACACTGTAAATTCTCTACTAATCTCAATCTTCAGTGCTGTATCTGATAGTCTACAGACCCTGTGGTATGGCAACCCTAACATTTTAGGAGCATTAAACATTTAGCATGCATTCATTGACATTTTTGTAAGGAAATGAGGGACCCTCTTAATGCTCAGTTATACAATTCACACACAATTTGCACAAATATATAAAATTCCTCCAATATTTATAATCCATTAGGATTTTAAAATAAATTTATAGAAAATAGATGTAAACAAAATAAAAATGTATGGCTTAGTGTGATGCCTACAGCACCCAGTTTCTTATAGGTGTATACTGTAAATACTCTTCTACTTTTTTGCTTTCTCTATTTACGATTAAAATCTGTAATCTGAAGATTATAGTCATGTGCATATTTGCTTTATTAAAACATATTTTAATTTTTCAGTGCACCCAAAGCTGCCGCAAATATAAGACCAACACCTGGCAATGTCTACCCTTGGGATAAACATTATTGATGAAAAAATGATGCAATCAAATAAATGTAATTCCCTTTTGCAAAACACTGTTTAGATTTAAGTTCTAGTAAGTTGAAAATTATGATTACATTGCAATTATATGCTTATATTTGCTTGTTTAATCATAAATAATGTTTTTATTTGCCTAGTAAAGAGTAATATAAATAAAAGAAAACAAGTAATTTCATTTGTATATTTAAAAAAAAAAAAGCATGTAGCAAACACTAACATAAATGTAAAACAACAACAATTTAGGACTGAAATAACTAAGTATGGTTACATTATCATATGATTATAGAGATACCCTTAATATTTAAAGTAATTCAGATATATTATTATAACTTGTCCCATAATTAAATGATGTTGAATGACAATCTATATAAAGCTAATTCACACGATTATTCTTATTTGTTTAATGTAAATCTACTAATAATGTCAAAGATCATGAAAGACATCTATGGTATCTACATATCTTTGATGGGACACAAATTGGTTTTCACAAAACATAGCTTATGCGATCTCCTTTTAAACATTTCCTCTTATAACCATTTCCCTAAATTACCACATATCATTTTCAATTGAGTATAGAATTCTTAATATATGTATTTTACACATCTATGTGATAGAATACTGTAATAAAACTAGCTGGAATCCATATTACTTTTCCACATATTGTGTATTTTTATCATCTATAAAAGATTATTAACAATTTTGTAAGTATTAACATTAAGATTTTCCATAGCTCAATTTGTAATACACTGGAAACCAAGAAATAAGTCTGGATTAGATCTGGCGGAAATTGGATGTATGTACCTTAGTATGAACCTAAAGCTGTGAACATATGGTACTTTTATTTTCTCTATTTTCAATAGCAATCGGTTGTTCTTTTTACGACCATTTCTGTCAGCGTCTATGAAATGCTAGCAATTTGACACGGCAGCTTATGGAAAGTGGTGGTAATCAAACCACAGACTGTGTTGCATATGACATTCCATGCACTGCAGTTCGTGAGATTTAAACAAAAACGCACGCATTGCTGCATCAATAACAAAAATAGTTAAAACATGATATAAAACTTTATTGCTAAATTTTATTGTTAAATATTTATGGAATTTGAGATTAGATTTTACTAACAGATTCTAAAAATATCGACTACAAGGCATGGTATGTGAGAATGCCATGTACAAATTTTTTATATACACTGGCCGATAATTTTAATATGACTTTTGATGTTACATTAATCATATAAAACATATAATAGATGCACATTATAAAAATAACTAAACATACAAAAAAAGAACATCAAAAATCCAAATTTGGAATTTATATTTTTATATTAAAACATAGTTATAACAAAAACAATTATTACTATGTTAAATATAAAATACCAGTGATGTAATTATAGAGATTTCTTTATGCATTCTTTTTATCACTATACCTAATACATTGAATGAATTCTACTAGTATTATATTAATATGAAAAAGAGTTTATTTGTTTGTTACCTAATAATGCTTTAACGGCTATAAAATCTGGTATACACATACTGTATGGGATGGAGAAGGATATATGCTACTTTTTATCCAGGTCATGCGAACGAAGTCGCGGGTAAAAGTTAGTAATCATATATAATGACCATGTTACAACTCCTATGCTAGGACACCCCAGTTTTATTAATTTTGAAGAATATCCAATATTATTTCATAAATTTTTTATTACAATATTACTTATATATTCTAAACAATTCTATAACATTAATTCTGTTGAAACTAATGTCGTCTTTATCTAATTAGAAAGGAGTGAAAAAGAACAACTATGTTTTGGTACTAATAATTATTATTTTTGTATGTTCACTACTACTACTCATGTATAAAAACAGGGTATAGGTAAGCATTATTGCAAACCTTATTTACACTTAATGAAAAATTCCGATGCAGATCAATACGAGATTCCAAAATCTCTTTTTAGAACTCTTTAAGTTTAAAGAAAGACTGATTTCGAACATGGTAAGATAAACATACGTAATAATTTTGCAGTGTAGGATTTACAAATCAAATTCACTTTCAACAGTGGTAAAGGTTAACCATAATGGCATATATTTTATGATCTGTTAACATAAATTAATATAAATGCAAGTTAAGATTATTTTCCAGTTTGGACTTAAAAAAAAGGCGCACATGTAATTCTAATAATAATAATTCATGAAACTCAGACTTGTCTTTGTGAAGCTTGGCTTGATTCGTGGATTCGTTCTAATCACCAGACGATTATGGGATGCGAAGGCCCTTTCCCTTCCCCATTCTACGCCTATGAATGCGAGGCCTTATGTATATTTAATCACTAGAATCAGTTGTATCCTCAGGTGTCCTTATGTGCATCAGAGAGAAGCTACCAAACGTGAACGTTCTGTTCCTGGGCGGCCTCCGAGATCTATATCTGAACCTTTGTCATTTGTCATCTCCGTCAACTTGTTTTCTGAACTGCATCGCGTCACCGTACGCTTTCTTCACTGCCTTTCTATCGGTAGGTTTGCGAGATTCCACCAATTTCGCCTGATCCACGCTTTTATCTATTCCTAATGGCTCTAATTTAGCGGGCGGAAGCCATTGCCACGTTCGTTTTACGTCGAAAAACAGTACCAGGTAAAGCACTGGCTCGTGCGAGTGATTTTTCTTTAGGTTGAGCACATCTTGTGGTGGCACGGGTAGTGGAACGCCGTTGTAAATGAATCCTCTTGGAATCTTCGGGTCGATTATGAGCGCCGGGTACCAAGGATAACCTCTGTATAATAAAGAATTAAACAAATTTACAATAATACATTATTATAGAAAATCTTACTCTTAAGCATTATTTAGTTTTATACACTACTATTCTGACAAAAAGATGGCCAAGGTAAAAATACAAATTATACATATTTATTTATTTATTCATTAGTACAAATATGTGTACATGGCGGTCTTAATGCTAAAAGCATTCTCTCCCAGTCAACCATAGGGAAGTGTCAGAATACTCGAATGCGGTACTACTAATTATTGATATACATACATACTAAAATTACATATATAAACGAATAAATATATATAAATAACAAATATACTTACACATATATGATATATACTATATTATACACGAATTTGGGAATATAATAAAGCACTTATTGCTCGGATAAAGATAAAAAGTGAGCGTGAACGCTTTTTTTGAAAGACGGTTTTAGTTACTGTTATTTATAAATAATGTTATTTATACTGAATTTACTCGTATCGACTAGATGCCATTAATACTAACCTGCATTTTGCCCAGACTAACTGTAGTGGCTCGAGCTGCATATCTGGCTGAGAGCTCTTTACCGGAGTTTTGGAAGTGGAAGACCTAGTGCCACGCCCCTGTCGTGTATATAATATAAAGTATAGAGAATTTGTAATATACTATATATAAAGTTATTTTACTAAATTACCAAAGGAGGAGGATATATTTTCGAATATATATTGGGCATGGTGGGTATTTTAAACTTTTAAAAAAGTTAGCTGCTAGTAAAACTCCATTTATGTAGTAAATATTATTAAAAAGTCTATGCTAAACGCAGTTCACAATATATAAACAAAAAAATAGAGTTATATTGCGAACTATTAAAGTATATCTTAAGGTATAAGAAGCCCGTGTCACTATGTTCGTTTACATTAATCTGTGAAACCAATCAACAGATTTAGATGAAATTTTCTATATGTGATTTTTTTGCTAAATAGTAAATAATTATAATAACGTTTATTGAACAAAATAGTAGGCAAATAGTTATCTCTATACATCATACAGATATTCGACAAATGCAACCTATTGTTTAAAAAGGTCCCCGTTCAGCATTGTGCGGCAGTTAATAGGTTACAGCACTTATTTTCATCGGGGGCCTTCGAGTACATTCATAAATCGAACCACTACGTGAAAAATTAGTACTACGGACTACACTAATAATATACTAGTAATGCGGACTACCACTCTCATTGCTAGCAATATACTGTGTCAGATCGACCTCCACGTGGTCCCCCCTGGAATCTATAGTGCTGAATTCCTGGTGTATTCACCACGATGAGCTAACTGACCTTTTCATCTCACCTATTATCCCTCCCTGGTGCCCTACCAGCGTATACCGTTATCATTTCATTGTCATCCATGAAAAATAAACTTGAAAGGTAGCATATTAATCCGGTAAGAAAAAAAATGGGCCAAGCAGAGAGTAAAACAATGTCTGTCTAGTTTGAATATAATAGTTATTCGGTTATCTATGGCATACCTTGACAGGAGTGGTGGGTTCGGTGTCCGAATGGTCGGTGTGTACGCCGCGCCGTGACCGCCGCCGCCGCTCCGGCCCGCTGCCCTCCACGTTCGAATCTAATGTTTCGTTGTAACTTGACCTGTTGTGAACAACGCCATATTGATTATATATATATAGCTGTGCAGGTTTTATTGGATCAGTTAATGTCAATTATTACAGCCTGACCCCTGTCTCCGGGGGGAAGGGGATCGTTAGTAATGGAGACTGAGAATCCCATTGCTAACAATATACCCAACCAGGTCGACCTCCTCGCTGTTCCCTGTGGAAACTATCATGGTTAATTCCTGATGAATTCATCATGATGGGCTAACTGGCCTGTTTTCATTCTCATCTATCACCCTTCACTGGTGCTCCGCCAGCGTATACCGATAGTGCGAGTGGGGTCATCATTACATTACCACCCACTAAAAAAAAGACCCCTGTCTTCGAACTCGAAACACGTCAATATTCACCCGCTACTTCCATTGTGTAAATTGCACAGTCGAATCAACTTTGACTTGATTTCCATGAAATATCTTTGAAGAAGTAGGCTACCCCCCCCCCCTACCCTCACACCTATCCATTCTAAATAATAGCTAACAATAAAATAAATTTATTCAAGTCTCATAAACATTCTACCCCTATTTTATTGATCCTATCGGGCAATTCTCAATACAATTTCAGCTTACAAAAATGGACAAAAAAACTAGCTATAGCTTTTTTTTAATTCTTAAGTTTTATAAGTTACATATAAATATTTAATACGTATGTACACTGACCCGTCGGTAGTGGTGAGCGAGCAGGAATGGTCGGAGCCATTATCGTCGTAGTGCGTGCACGACGAGCACGACTGCGACCACGTCGAGCTACTGGACGACGATCTGAGAAAGTGGTCGAAAGCAAATAATATCTAGCTAATCATACCTAACTAAAGAGAACTTCTACTATGGGTACTAGAAAACTGATACAGATACTAAAATACTTTTCCTCATAAATATATACATATTATATATAAAAATGCATAATATTATATTGCATACAGTTTGCTACTCTCAGTAACACTGGAAAGGTTGCAGTGTCACAGGTTTTTCTGCTTGAAAAAGCCCGTCTTTCAATAATAATAAATTCCCCTAAGGCGTTAGACCGCTGGTTATTGTTACGCTGTGATAAATTAATGTTACCTGGAGAGCGCTAGGTCGCTGTCGGAGCCCACCTCGCCGGGCGGCCCGCGGTACTGCAGGAACGACGCCGCCACCGGCGCCGCGCCCGCTCCCCTGCAACATACCATACTGTCACCACCACTCTTAAAAACGTAAATAGCTCATCGAATTTTATACTAGGTGAAATCAAAATCATTGGCAACCTCTTAAGTGTTTTTTTTTTTAATATTAAATCACGGAGGCTCAGTGTACTCCGCCATCCCTCCTAAATCCGGTACTGAAAATGAGCTGTAAAACGGCAAATCATTTAGAACATTATAAAATTGTTTAACAATATTTAATTGTTCAATTCTTTACCTAACTACATTATAATAACTTGATACAATATAATATTAGAATTTTTGCAATTTAAGCAAAAGAAAAAACAAATATACAAACATTAAAAACTCTTTCGAATAAATCCGACACGGATGTTATTAAATATGACAAACCTTTAATAATAAGCCGTCAGCTTGTTTGCCATTCTGAGCTGCATAAAAAAACTTTTGCCAAGGAAATCTTTTATATCATAAAAATTGTGTTTCTTGAGCCAAATATATAATCTATTTCTAAATAAATTGTTATTCAAATCTTTAAATATTATGAATATTAAATTAATCTTTAAATATTATTATTTTTATATCTTTATTGGATAAACCTGAGTAAAACAGTTAAAAAGTTGAGCATTTGTTGACACTTAATATATATACAAACCTAAAAAGGTCGGGTGAGGAGGCGGACTTCTCTTTAGGTTTCCTGGGTCGGCCCCGGCCTTTTTTCTTCGGCGACGGTTCCAGCCCGGGGCGAGACAGGCTTGCTGATAGCGTAGGTAATGACGCTTTGGAAAATTATACAAGTTGTTAATTGTTGGAAATAGCAACAACTTTATGTACATATTTATCCTCTTTCAGTTTCTAATTTTTATTACAAGTGCGTCTATATGAAAAATCTTTACTAATATTATAAACGTGCAAGTGAGTTTATTTGTTATATTTATTATACATTATAGCACCTGTACGGCTTAACCTTTAAATTAAGTTTAATAAAAAAATATTTATCATTATTATTAAGCAGTTACTATGAAATTTGGTATACACACATATATGGAATAGAGAAGGCTATAGGTTGCTTTTTATCCCGGTCACAGGTAAAAAGCTAGTAAAAACAAAACTGTGGTTCATACAATGGGCTCAAGATTCCTTTAATGAATCACTTTAATAATATAATAAATTTCGAGTTGCAAATTAAAAGTTTTAAGTCAGTAGTACACGTACTTTTATTTTCTGTTCATTAAAATACTAATTCAAGATTCTCTGATCTGATCTGATTTTATAACATTTTTGTTAAGAAATATAATGAATATTTAATAAATTACCATCAGAGCCGAAACTCTTGGGCGGCGTTGTGATTGTCGGAGGAGACACTAGTAGCGTTGGTTTTCTTAGTCCACCCATCAGACCTAGACCTGGAACTATTATTTTGTTATTTTGATAACATAATACAAATATTATGAGTGTGAAACTTTGAAAAGATATTTAGATGTTTGTTAAGCAATCACTTTTAAAAAACTAAACATATCTACATTAAAATTTCGTGAACAAAGAGATAAATCATATCTAAGATAGTTTTTATCATATTTTAAGCGATTTTGGGTGAAACAGTGAGATGCAACCAGTGATACATAAAATAGATGAACTGTAGAAAAGATCGCAATTTCAATAAAAAAAAAATCTAAATGTGTAATTTAATATCTTTGATGGCTTGCAAAAAAAAAAACAACTACTTACAATATAAGTAGTTTTTTTTTTTTGACAAAATTAATATTGAACCAATGTGAAAATAAACCAAATAATATCTCAATTACAAAGGAAATCTATGATGGAAGCTTATGTCTTGTAGTGGACAGTTTAAAGCTGATATGATCAAATTGAAAATAAACTATACCAATTGTAAAAAAAAAAAAAAACTGAATATGAAATAACAAAGATAAATAGATAAAAATCCTCCTTTTTGAAGTCCAAATAAAGAAAATGAACGTAACTCACCAGCGGCCGTGTCTGTGAGCTTCGTGGGAGAATGTTCCGGCGTGGCCAGTCTGTGTGTTCGCTCTATACTCTTCCGCTTTATGTCTGTACTACGCTGACGGTCCACCACAGCTTCTGTGCCCGTTGTTTCGGAGCCTGATGTCGCACTTTCTGTTAACAAAGTTTTAGACATATTTTGAATATATCTGTGCCTTATTTTATTTCAAGAGATTTTTATTAACATTTCGATGAAAAGAACACAAGAACATAATAACGTAAGGCTAGCGTTACATGAAGCCAATATTCGGCGACGAAATGTTAATACTTGTAATAACATACTAATTGCTACTCTCGGTTATATTAGATGGAAGATCCGGCACTAGGCCGACGCAAAGCCGCCGAGGTGTGGCAGTATTGGAATTAAATTGGTTTTCAAAAACAATCAAAGAATCTTCAATATTTGTTTGAACATTTGGAAATGATCAAATAGCGAACTAAAATATTAATGATGCTTTATGTTCCTTAAAAGCGATCATACCTTTAGCTAACCGAAATGTTCTAACACTTCGGTTACAATTATATGTCAATTTTCAAAAATAATTAAACATCTCTCAATATTTTTGATTGGTTACTTAAAAACTGCAAGATTAGCAAACTTAAAAGTTATCTATAAAGTGTGTTATATATATATTTATCGCTTTACACTAAATTTATATTTTGCTTCAGAATTTCCAAATACTTTTGTGCCATTAAAACCGAAATTTTTAGTGACATGAAAATCATCATCGTCCTATCTTATCCCAATTATTATTTGGGATCGGCGTAATATGGTTTTATCCATATTACAAAAAGATGCATTTGTTGGTGGTTTCCGCCACCTGCGGTATGGAGGAAAGGATTGAGGAAAACAGGAAGGGAACATTGGAAATGTGTAAAGGAAATTGGTAAATGAGGGACTATGTGGGAAACGAAAGCCCCCCTTTCTTGGGGGACACTGCAGCGGCTCGGGAGGCCGGGGTTGCATACCTGTACGCTCTTATTCTAGAATCGGACAGATTTCTAGAGAAGAACACCCCTGACATGAAAATATAATAAATAATTTAGTAATACTAATTGTTTTTGAAAAATTACAAATAATTGCGACATTATCACCCCTTAGTAAGCTAAAGTGTGAGTGTAAGTGTGTGAGTGTGAGTGTGTGTGTGTGAGTGAGTGTGTGTGAGTGAGTGAGTGTGAGTGTGTGTGTGTGTGTGAGTGTGTGAGAGTGAGAGTGTGTGTGTGTGAGTGTGTGTGTGTGTGTGTGAGTGTGAGTGTGTGTGTGTGTGTGTGAGTGTGTGAGTGTGTGTGTGTGTGAGTGTGTGTGAGTGTAAGTGTGCGAGTGTGAGTGTGAGTGTGTAAACACAAAGTTTGTCACCATTGCCGCGGGGCGGCGTGCGCGCGGCGGCGTGCGGTGCGCGTGCGCCACGTGCGCCGCCGCGCGCGCCGCGCCGCCCGCGCCCGCGCCGCCCCCGGCCCCGCCCACGCCACCAATTACAGTTCACGTTGCCCTTCGTAGTCTTCTTCACGACAGGGGAATTGTCGCGCTACAACATCAACACAAAAAAGTAGTGATTCCACTTCGAATCGAGTATGTAAACATTACTGTTAATTTAAAACACTACTTATACATACATATACATATAAATACTGTTACATTAAAACTGCTCGATCGAGCCGCTTAGTGCCACATATTATTTTTTTAACTTTTCATTTAAAAATTTTGAATTCATGACAGTCAATTCATTGCTATTTGTTTTTCTGTGCTATAAAAAATGTGTATAATTGGCGAACTTTTAACTAAATCAGCAGAACAAACAGACGGAAACTCCTCCAAATATTATTAAAATATAATATACTCTATATTATTAACAAATTGTTATTGTTACAATAATATAATGATTTTCCACATCGAGTATAAAACATAATTTTAAATCGGGTAAATTGTAGAGAAACATTAAAAAATTGTTTTATATACATATATATATATATAAACAACGTCTATAATGGTAACGTAAATGAGGCTATTAATTTATATATATTTTATAACGTAGTAAGAATGCAGTATTATACATCATTTTAAAGGAATCTTAACTTAGAAGGCAGTATGAGAAAGTACCGTATCGTTATCAGCATCGGAAGGGCTGCCCACGCTCGAACGCCTGCGTTCGCTGCGCGCCGTTGAATCATCACGAGTGTCTGCACACGCAACAAGAAATAAACACATTTACTTCTCCGCTCGCACGTCGCAATTTTTTTCTTCATAATTTTATTACAGAGTTAAGCTCGTCTGTTGTACATTTTTTTTTATACAACTTAGAATGGCAAACAAGCTGACGGTCCACCTGATGGAAAGGGGTAATCGTCGCCTATAGACATGAGCAGGACCATGGACATAACAGAGTATACTGTTTCACCCATGATACCCCCCGAACGTTGCCATTCCTGAGGACTCAGGTGTTATTCCTCTGTATCCAGTAAATTCACACCATATCCCACCCTTCAAACCGAAACACAGCCATGCAAACACAACTGCTTCACGGTTGAAACACGAATGGGACAGAGGTACCCAAGCAATCGACTTTTGTACAAAGTCTTCCTCTGGTAAAATTTATATTTTAAATAAATTATTACAATGTTATTTTTGTGTATCGTCATCATCATATCAGCCTTTAAATGTCCACTGCTGAACATAAGCATCCCACCCCCCAAGCTTACGACATTTATTTGTATAATAAAGTAAAAATAAACAAATATTTTTACATTACTTTTATATCAAATGTGTAATTTAATTATTGAATTATATAAAAAGGTGCCATGCAATTCCAAAAATTAAATAAATATTAAATTCTTAACAAAAATAAGAAAATAATCTTATATACATCAACTAATGTTTGTGCTCATGTAAAGTAATTTGTTTCCTTAGTTTTCTACATTCCAGTAACGAAAAACAACTGTAATCAATATCTATATATATATATATATATATATATATATATATATATATATATATATATATATATATATATATATATATATATATATATATATATATATATATATATATATATATATATATATATATATATATATATATATATATAATGGTGATAATGGAATGGTAACCCCACCCGCGCTATCGGTATACACCGGCGGGGCACCAGTGAAGGATGATAGGTGAGGATGAAGCAGGTCAGTTAGTCCATCGTGACGAATTCAACAAGAATTAACCACGATGGTTTCCAGGGGGAACCACGTGGAGGTTGACCTGATAGAGCATATTGCTAGCAATGGGGCTGTTAAACTTTATTGCTAACAATCCCTTTCCCTCCTATATAGATATATTAGATAGATAGTTATAGTATACAGTCACTAATTATAATAAAACAAAGTTGATATCCACATCTAATAAATTACAGGATTTAGCATTAATAATTTTTCAAAGATAAATCAGTCCACTGACCTGCAGTTCCTTCGCTGTCGGTGCTGGTGCGGCGGCTGACGCGGCTGACACGACTGGCAGCGCGACTGGTACGCCCACTATGGTTACGACTTCGGCTACGGTTGCGGCTAGGGCTCCGTTTACGGCTAGGGCTCCGTTTGCGACTGGGACTGCGTTTGCGACTATAGCTCCGTTTTCTGCTGGGGCTCCGCTTGCGACTGCGGCTGCGATTACGACTCCAGCTGCGGCTGCGGCTGTGACTGCGGCTACGGCTGCGACTGCGGCTGCGGCTGGGGCTACGCTCGGGGCTGCAGTCCGCGTCGCCGAGGCCCGCTAACGCGTCCATGCCCGCCTCGCGGACGTCGCGCCGTGCTTGTCGGAATATAGGCAGACATTGCTCCCGCATTTTTACTCCAGCTCTGTTAGAAATTTATATAGTATTTTATACTGTACATGTATATAGGCAAAGGTTACCATTAAGTGGGCCGTCTGCTTGTTCGCCATTCTAAGTTGCATAAAAAAATACAAGTATTATACAATACATTTTTATTTTTGCTAAATTTTCTAGTGTACTCTCTTTTGGGAGCAAAACCAAAGAGTTAAATACTTTTTGCTTTTGCTATGAACTTTACATTTAAATTCTCATAATTTAATTAATATTACAACCTGTAATATACACAGGACTATTTAAAGCAACGAGAAATGTTATATTATTGTATAAAAATGCAAAATTATATATATACAAAATAATAATGTTAAACACAAACTAATATTAGAGCATCACTCATTATTTACAACCGAACATAGAGAAACATAAACTGTTTTAACTATTTAACATAAATTGTTTCAAGTAAAATATTATAAGTATACTCACTTGTAAAACACAGTATCCTTATTATTATATGTAAGACAGTTGTCGATCATCAGCTGGAAGTCGGCTTCTACGTCATCAATAGTTTTGTACAACCCTCGGTCTAACTTCTTACTCATCGTGCTTAGATCCATGGGGTGTTTCACTATTGTGCTATAGTCTGGTACCTGAAAAAATTATAATAAAAATTTGTAAATTTTTATTGTAATTTTTTCACAAAATAGCAAGTAAATTAATTCACAGAATAGCAAGTAAATTAATGACTTACCAGATTTTTAAAAGCAAACTATTATGAATTTCATAATTGCTACACTGAGAATTAAGAAGATACCTAATGGTTTTTTTTTTATACAACTTAGAATGTAACTTTAAACAGGCTGACGGTCCACTTGATGGAAAGTGGTAACCGTCGCCTATAGCATAACAGAGTATACTGTTTTTCTATAGTTGAAATAGATAAATGCTGGTATCTCCTCAGACGAGATTATTTTTGATAGCTAAAAAAATTAAAAGAAATTATTAAATTAATTTAGATGAATGGAACCAGCAACGGCCTCAAATCTGCCTTCAGCGGAGGAAAAGGGATTGTTAGTTATAGGGATTTTATAGCTCCATTGCTAGTAATATACCTTATCAAGGCACCACCCCGCAGTTCCCCTGGATAACATTTTGCTTATATTTTTTTGGAATTTATTACAATGGACTTACTGATCTGCTTCCATCCTCATTTATCATCCACCACTGGTGCCCTATCAGCGTTTACCTAAAGCACAGACGAGGTTACCACTCCATTATCACAGAAAACAAAACGCATAGACGACTTCCCACGGTGTCATTAGTGTCTATGAGCTGTGGTTATCACTTATCATCAGGTGAGTCGTAAACTCGATTGTCACCCTTCCACATGAAAAAAATCGAGATCAGTTAAGAAGGCGCGCGCGGCAAACAACAACAGGGGCTTCTCTTTGCCCGCCAGATGATGTGTGGGCGGGCGAGGTAGGGGCCTCGGGGCGTACCCCATTACCCCGGCTTCTACTCCGGAGGCGACAACCTCGGGGTCGCTGGATTAGCAGCCGGCATACACTGTTGGTCTGTGTATGCCGGCGTGGTGTCTTCTTTCTTCAGGCATCAGTAGTTCACTGTTGCAAAGTGCATGGTTCTTGTTAACGCGCGCATACCTCGTGCAGGTCGACGGGCTCGGTGAAGATGTCGCTGGCGTCGCGCTGACGCAGCAGGCGCAGCAGCTTGTGCAGCGCGGCGCGCTCGGGCCGCAGCGACTGCAGCACGCAGCGCTCCCACACGCGCGTGTACTCCGCTTTCAGCCGCTCGCGCTTCCGCACCAGCTCGCACAGCAGTCTGCTCGCAAACCATACGCCCGTCGCACCTTATAATACGAGTACTCAAAGCTTCCAGTGTCAAAAACAGATCAACATTTAGCTAACTCAATTTTGACACATTTGTTTAAATTAAAACAAAATGCGTTATTTTTTAAGTCATCATCATAATCATTATACCAGCATTTAACTGTCTACTGTTAAACATAAGCTTTCCCTTGGGGTTTTACCAATAATTGTAACGCTTGGCAGTAATATATATTAATATACATATATAAATTAAAATTGCGGCCATTTTAAATTATTTAAAAAAGGAAATATATTATCTATATAAATATTATAAAAAAACAAAATAAGATTGTTTCTTTACAATGAATAACCTCAAAAATTACTCAAGTAATTTTAAAAATCTTTCGAAAATGATCAACAAGTAATATATATTTATTTTAGAAAATTTTAGAAAACTTTAATAAAATAAAATAAAAAAAAAACACTTAATAAAATGCCTAGCACTGACCTGGCCCTTTCTAAATCTTGACGAATTCTCTGCCAATACTTAAGCTGATTGCATAGTTCTCGAACATTCACTGTACCATCTTGTATACCTCTGCTACCTGAAAGAGTATATAATGAAACGGTGATAAGTATGTGAAATAGAATATCAAAAGAAAAATCAATAAATCAAAACAAGAGGAAAGGACATCAAGTTCTCATAAATGAAGAAGAGTTTCACGGTGCTTATAGCGGTATTTCATACAAATTGTCCTGTGATGCAGAACTCATCACTTCACCAGTGTCAGGTCAAGTGTCAGGTAGCAGCGTCCAGTAGGCAGCGGGCGGCGGGCGGCGGGCGGCGGGCGGCGGGCGGCGCTAGTGCTGGTGCGGTGGTGCGGGCGTACCGTGGTGCGTGGTGAGGCTCTGCAGGCGGCGCAGCAGCGGCACGCCGTTGCGCGCGTGCCGCTTGAGCGTCCAGTAGGGCAGCAGGCGCTTGACGAGGTGCGCGCGCGCGGCGGCCGGGCCGGGCGCCAGCGCCGCCACGTCGCCCACGCGCTCGGCCGCCAGCGTCGGCACCAGCACCACCGGCGCCCACGACCGCGCGCGCGCCAGCACGCGCCGCGCCTGCTCTCAGGTACAGGTATTACACATTTAAGCTACCACCACATTATTAATACTGCTGACCGGTTGCACTAGCGTGTAGGTATGTCCTCCTACCACGACAGGCAAGACCGTTTGGATTATAAAGCGTTAATGACCAAAAAATTACTTATCTTTGTATTTAAGTTTTTATCACAATTTTAGTTTTATTCCAAAGATTTTAACCATGACCGAAGTTCCCGTCAGCATAGTGTTAATACCTTTGCATCTTCAGTGATCAGAGATTTGAGGACCAAACACAGTCTTGTTCAACGACATCTTTGGTCGCATGAATAGCTGTCAAGTTAAACTTTAGGTCGAGTATGGCGCACCACATAAAAATATATGCAATTTAATGTTGCAGATTTTCTGTCTACTAAATTACTGATCTTCAGGCGCAGTATGACTGAAATTAGCCAACTGTATACAATTTGATATATTGGCTTTTCATTACCACAGATACACAACCGAAAATCGCCCTAACGTAGTGCTAAGCTTCCTATTATAATAATACACAATTTTAAATAAGAACACAAATTCATTGACTCTTAAAATCTTAAATAAATTTATATCATATTTAAATGAAGTAAAAGAAAAAAACATAATATGTATGTTAGAGTGAGATAGATAAACAACTCACACACCTACATGATAATACTCTAATTTGGCGGTAATTATTAAATCTAGATTCAATAACCCTTTAAAAGAATTAAACTCATTCCAATACTGTTACCTGTATGATCTTCTCTCTTCCCTTTTGCCGTATGGCTTGCAAATTTGGTGATTTTGTATCCCCTTCTGATTCCTGGGCTCTCCTTTCCTTAAAACAATATGTTATTTTAAAACATTACATTAAAAATGTAACAATATATGTATTAGGATAGTCCAATATATTATTTTTTTTTATTTGATAAATAATCTTCACATGTCTGTTTAAAGAACAAAAATAGGTAGAAATAAATAAACAAAAAGGTAATAATCTTTTGTTTAAATAATTTTAAATTCATTTTACTGAACTGAATGTTATTTTGTGATAATCCATATAATCTTCAAATGTTCGCAGTTGCACATATAATGGTAGCGAAATTAAACAAAATAATCCTAATCGACTAACCAATCTTTGTAGTAATTTCCTTTATTCGGAAAGAAATCACAAAGCATACAAATGATATAATTACAGAATTATATTGTAATAATTCTACATACTTGTAAAACATGGGCCGGCGTGTGGGAATCACAGTATGCCATCTTAGCAACCTGCACCGGCTGGCTGGGATCGCGGCCTGCGCCTGCTGCTTCCATTTTCATATAGAGCCTGCACATATTATAAAAAAAATAAAATTAATTGAGTAACCTACTCTTAGATTCTTAAGAAATATATGAAATATTGTTCTTCATAATTATTTTCCATTGGAAATCAATATGCTTAAATACTTCTGTTAGCAAATTACAATTTAAAATAATTTTCTTTTAGTGAGTTACTAGTCACAAGTGTGCCTGTTTTCTTCCACTTCCTTAGTTATTGTAAGAAATAATTTCTTGTTAAATACCTATATCATAAAATAACCTATTTACAAAATTTCATTCTAAACATTGTGTTGCCAGTTGTTAAATGAGTTAGGACAATCTTTACTTAAAGGTCTTATAAATTGCAATGTACTTAAAAAATATATTGCAGGAGTATGTAGATCAAAGATCTCACCCAGCCTGCTGCGCGCACGTAACGTGGAAGGCGGAGTAGCAATTGCTTTTATGGCACTGAATGCAGGCACCGGCGCCGCGCTGCTTGCACACCATACACTGCAGCTTCCATCTCGCCGGCGGAATCATTTCTATCGAATCTGAGGACATTGAAATATTAAATGATAAATTCTGTGCTAATACAAACATACTTTGTTAAATAAATAAATAAATATCAAATGTCAAATATCAAAATATGTAAAATAATTCTAATATTTTCTAGTGATTGCAAACATTTATAAAGGATAGACATCTCATCGTATCACATTGAACTCACATCGACATATGAAATAGAAATCATATGACTATGTGAACAAACCATTGTTCATGCTCAAGCACTAGCCTAAATGTAAAAAATACTTTTGTATGCGAAATTTAGGTTATCTTTTTCCAAATAGGAATAATCATCAATTAATAATTATCCTTACACTCATTAATTGCTGTGCACATTCCATCAAATGGGGGAACACTATACTGTATTTTGAATAATATACACAGTGTTAATAAAACATGATAGAAATTTGTACACTGCTCATTCGACACACTTACATATAAAATATAATTATACATACATATGTGTCGTTATAACAATATATGAGTGAAATGTGGCCGTGAAATAATGTAGAAACTTATTTACCTATTGGTTCCAAAAATACAGTGTTAGCAAATCGCACTTCTGGAATCCAAAGCGCACACACCACGTGAGCCCATGTTCCTTGATCTGTCTGCTTAAATGCACCTAAAAAAATGAGATTAGTAAGTAGGATAAAAGATAAAGTAAAATATATATTTATTTCTCTCACAAAAGTAACAACATAATAAAATTTACAGCTTTTTAGGTTACAATTTAAATGTATCATAATAGATTAATTTGATAAAATTCAATACTGTTGATAATTATACATTTATGAATAATATCCTTAATGATATAAGTTGGGTTACCTCCTGTATTCGGACAAAGCACACAGTTGACAGGACGTGATGGTGATTGAAGACAACGCCGGCACAACCACTGGCCTTCTGGGATATAGGGCACCTAAAAGATAAGAATTATTATATACACAAAAATTTTTGTGCATTATATACAAAAATACAACAGGTATCTGCCTACTGGATGAATACAAAATTGGACAAATAGAATATTATTATTATAGAGTAACCAATATTTAATCAGATAAACATCCGTGAAATTAGAGATTAATTAATTAATAATTATCTTTAAATTGTGAACTGTATAATAATGTTTTTTTATGCAAGTTGTTTGCCATTCTATGGCAAACAAGCTGACAACCTACCTGATGGAAAGTGGTAACCGTCGCCTATAAACATGAGCAGTACTATGGACATAACAGTATACTGTTTCGCCCATGATACTCCCCATGCATTGCCATTCCTGGGAACTCAGGTGTTAATCCTCTGTACCCTGTAAATTCACTGCCATATTCCACCCTTCAAACCGAAACAAAGCCATAACTACTTCATGGTAGAAACACGAATGGGACAGAGGTACCCAAGCAAACGACTTTTGTACTAAGTCTCATAATATTAATGAGTTGTTACTAACTCCATAGCAATCCTGATGCACAGCAAGGTTGCACATGTCACAGAACAATATAACATTGGTGTTTTGGCACTCCCCATCCATACATATACAGCATACAGCATCTTCATCTACAGTGGCGGCTGTTTGTTGTCCACTCTGTGTTGCCTGCAAAATAAAAAAGGAACAAAAAATAATGTACCCAATTTTAAAAAATAATTTAAAAGAAATTTAAATTTCACTCACTGCAATTCACATGTTCACTTTCAATTTACAAAGATTACACTATTTGCAAACAATTTTGAATAAAGATTATTTTTAAGTTATCAAACATAAAAAATTACAAAATAAATTACAGTAGAACACAAATAATGTAATCCATTTTAGATACTGAAGTTTTTTTTTTTCAAGAAATTATAACATTGAACTTCAAATAGTATCTTTTGCAATTTCAATTACAAAATTTTAAATGTGACTACTCTGTCACACATATTAGAAAAAAAAAATTGTCTACATATAAGTTGGCTAAACTTCTTTCTTGCTGTATAGAAAAATCCACCTTTTGGATTTTTCTTTATTTGAGTATGAATAATTATAGCATCAATCAATTTAATATTAACAAATGTTTAAAAATATTTTAATTTCTATTCATTTACAGATTCTAAAAAAGCAGTTTACATACTTGAAAATAAGATTCCTTCTCCAATCTATCCATAAGTAACTCCAATGTGTCCACAGAAACAGGTGGCAAACCCTGCTTGACCCGAGTCTTGTTGATGATTGCCAGCCATGCTGTGTCCTCTTCGTCCACATCATATTCCACCTCACCATCAAGCTCTTCAGCTGATTTCTCAATGAAGCGAATGTAAGCATTAGGACGAGGTGGTGCATCACATACTCTCTCATTGTAGTCTGGTATCAGCTGATAAAGATTTTATATACTATTAAAAATAAAGTTTTATGCTCATTATATTATATATGCTTTTTTTATGCAACTTAGAAAGGCAACGCAGCAGGCAAAACAGCTGAATCATCACCAGCATTAACTTTTGATCATAGTAGAGTAAGATTGTCTTTCATACACTTTTGGTCAACACTTTCACTTCACATTAATTCTATTTCAGTTTTACGTTAAATAAATAATAATTCCTAAATTAAAAAAATAACATTTATTGCAAATATTAAACAGCTCTTACACCTCTCAAAAGGCATCATAAAATTTTATATTGTGTTGGAAACTGTTTTTCACAATTGGCTTTTTTGTACCCCTCATGATCCACTTAGAGCCACTTTTCTCCACCACTTCTCTCACTCTACCTCAGGATCGGAACTAAGTTGAACAAATTTGAAAATAATGTAGTAATCAAATAGAGCAATATGCCCATTTATTAATATCTACTTTTTCTACTTTGATTTCGTTGAAGAAAATTAGTAATATTACATATTACTATAAAATGATTGTCAACAGAGTATTTTTTACTTATTTATTTATAAATAAATATAATGACAAATAAATACTTAATGAAAAAATAATAAACTACCTTAAAACTGGCTTCAGGTAATTTCACATGAGGCTCTGCTGGTGGTTCAACAAATGGAATTGGTTTCTCTAATTCAGCATTTTTTTTCTCCCACTCTTCTAGAGACATAATCGGTAAAGGCTGATCTATGGGTATCCTACTGATTTTGCCATCTATTTCAAACTGCACTACTTTCTGCGCTTCCGCAAAAGTTAAAGCCTCTTTAGGAGGGCTCTGTAGGGCTATGTCGCCAGTTGACACCGGTGCTCTGGTCCTCCCGCCCTTCTTCCGGCTACTAGCAACGGCAGGCGTCGCCGGTGATGGATTGTCATGATCATAGTTTACTAAATGATATTGAAGCCCGCACAAACTCTTGTATACTTTATCGCACTTCTCCAATGGACATTTGTACGGTGGGGGTCTATGTTGACGAAGTTTTTTACAAAATTCTAAAACATCGAAGTCTAAACCCATTTTGACAGACAACGAAATTTTATAACGAGAAAAAACATATCATTACCATTGTAACTGAATAAAAGAGTTTTTGATTACATAATCTGACAAAAAGATTAATAAAATAGACGTAAAAGTTATTAAATGTGAAAGTTAAAAATAGTATAAATAATGGAAAAACAAGCGATACCGCAATGAAAATATCATGAAAATACCACGGACATTTAAGATGACAGCGGTACAAACATAGAATAATAAACGACACAGACTATTTAAAGTGGGCAATACTAGAACTGTTCTTAATCTATGCCAAGAATAAATTAAATTGTTATGATAAACTGTCATTCATAATTACTGTCTTGATTGACGTATTTGTTTTGTCATCAGTCGTTATTTCTTCTATAAGTTATAGATACTTCATTAGAAAATATTTTATTTGTTATTGTTTCTTAGTCAAATTAATTTAATGTAAATAATGGCAGAGCAAAATGAACCTCAAAGACCTGGAGAAGCTGCATTGCAAAATATGAAATTACTGAAGGCAGAAAGCACAGTGTTCAAAATTCCAAAAGTTCCCAAAAAGAAAAACACGAAAAAGACTCATGTTTTGGATGAAGATCTTTACGTGGAGGTAATATATCTTCTTTTTCTACATATCACATAATTGTCGAGTTAATTTTAATGTTGTCTTGAAGATAATAATTACTTAACTCGCGTAATGTTTTATAAGAGATGGAAATTAACGCGATCATTTAAGTAAACGATGGTAATTCAGGTACATTATTATAGTTTGCCTAGATCGTGTTTTTTTTTAATGGGTGAAAATGAAATGGTAACCCCGCTCGCGCTATTTGTATACACTGACGAGGCACCAATGGAAGATGATAGGTGAGAATGAATGCAGATCAGTTGGCCCACCAAGATGAATTCGACAAGAATTAAACATGATGGTTTGTAGGGGGAACCGCGTGGAGGACGACCTGAGAAGGTATATTGCTAGTAATGGGGCTATTAGAGCCCATTACTAACAATCATTTTTACCCACCTAGATCGCATTAATTTCTGTCTCTGGCCGTTCTAACACTCAAACTAACAATCACAGAAATTATTCAAATGCAATATTTATATATGCTATAGGATAAGAATAATTTAATAAAATTATTTTATTTCAGAGAATGTCAAAGATTATACAAAGAGATTTCTTCCCTGACTTAGAAAAGTTAAAAGCACAAAATGAATTTTTAGAAGCTACAGAAAATAAAGATTATGCAAGATTACGAGAAATAACTAGAAAATATAGTGGTAATAGACTTCCTACAGAACCTTGTGAGTATAAAAACTAAATTTTAGTCACACTATATTTGTTTCAATGTAATTAATAATTTTTCAACAAATTTTTTTAGTGAAATTTTGCACATTTTATAGTAAATGCTTCTTATTACTCTTTACACAGTATTTGAATCAAACACTAGTGTATTTAGTTTGTATGTTTCTGTAATTTATTCTATGAATTTTTAAATATGTTATAAATCCCAAATTGATCCTGTTTGTTTGTTGTTCTTAGAAACAGGTTTAGTATAAAATAGGGTCATACCTATAATGTATCATAGGCTAACCTTTTTTAATTAAATAAAATTTTGATTATTATTCTAACAAATAAATAAACATTTCATGGTAAGAAAGAAAATATTCTTATAACAATATAGATCATATGAGAAGCAGCACAAATTAATTATGACTTTTTTAAATGTGAACCAAGTATTGCAAGAGACAATGGACTATATATTAGTACTGTACATAATAATAGCTTTTCCATAAAAAGTTGTATAAGTGAGGGTGGTTCTAGAAACACATTGGCACAGAATTATTGATATACAACAAACCTAAATATATATATATATATATATATTGGTTTTGTTGTGACATTGCATTGCATTGCACTGAATTGCACTGGTATTCCACTCCCTTTACCCACGAATCTTCATGAATTGATATAACATATTAGCTGTATTAAGATAAGTATTAACTCAAATGATTGAAAGATTAATTAAATATCAATAAATTTTATTTTTGTAGATAATTCTCCAGCTACATTTGATACACCTGGCTTGGATCGACCATACTCACCATCAACAGCAACAGTACGAGAAAATAGCACAGCATCTGAGCAGGAATCTAATAATAAAGAAAAAGTAAAGGATATTACGGACAACCATACATTAGGTATGTAATTGTAATTGTAATTTAATATAAATTAAAATAGATGTGACAATTGCTTTTGCTTAATATTCATCTTAAATTATGTTAAATTATACTGTATAACAATTTACTTTGTTATTTTTAAAACTTATGTTCATTTTATTCATTTAGTTATATTTCAATATAGTCAAACTTTAAAATAATAATTTCAAAATAGTCTGGTGCGTGTAAGGAGGTATGCTTTACTTAATTAAAAATCTAACTTACAGATTCCTTTTTATCATCATACACAAGTGAAGACAATGTGAGCTATGAGCGTGTGATAGCATTAGAAAATAAAAAGAAAGCTAAGAAATTAGCATCTCAGTTTGAATCTGAAGAGACATCAGCTGCACTTGCAGACGCCGCACTAGCGCTACCCTCAATAGAACAACAGGCGGATCAGACAAACAGACCTAAAGAGGTTGGTACATACATTTTATTTTAGTTTATTTTATTTTTTACCAGAAATCCGAATTATCTTATGGCATAATTTTATGCATAGATTACTGTCAATACTTCTGTCATATATGGAGAAATATTTTTCTTGCAAATTAGAATACAAAACAAGTAGAAGGCAACCATATGGTACCTCTCAGGTTTTGCCATTCCTGAAGACTATTATAATATGCCTCCATACTCTGTAATGTATTCAACCCTTCAAACTGAAACACTAAGTTTTGTGTAGCCTCAGTCAATGCACAACTGAGGGCTGTACACGTTTTAAACTATTTTATTAATTCATGTTTTCATTAATATATTTAAAAATATATATGATGAGTATTACTTGTTGGTATAATGCTTATTTTCGAGTTGTTGCATTACATGGGATTGTTCTTGGGAAATACATACCTACTCATATTGCTTAATACATCTTGAGGTCTTTTTTTGAAGAACATTACAAACACATATAGTAAATATTAATGATATTCGATAGTTGGACACATGGCGTTACAAGGCGAAGAATTACATAATGTATGTGCCAGACGGTGCTGAAGGGCAGCAGCCTCCCGCCAAACCTGAGCTGATACATCAGAACACGAGGCTCCGCGCTGAACCCTTCGACCACGCCAAGAACAAGGAGGCTATCACTGCTATTGCCAAGAGCCAGGTATGGATGTGGTACACTAACATACATATTATCACAGTGTGCCAAAATACACTTAATGAAATATTTTGGAATTCTTATTATATTTTGGAAACAATTTTAATATGTATTTTATTATGATACTAGGCATACATATCTATGTTACACCAATACATAATAACATTCTTTGAATCAAAATTCTCTTTAAGCAAAATTTCGTATTTTTTTGATATTTTTTTTACATGGTGGTTAAGAAGTATGCGAAGGAAAAAAAGAAGTATAAGGGAGGGCGAGGGATGAGCAGCAGCATCTCTCTTAAAATATGTCCAAAGCCTAACTGCGATTGCCAATCTGCCTGTCAAACATGGCAACTACTGGCAAAACCCCTCTAGGGGTTAGCTTATGTTCGGCAGTGGATAGTTGAACGCTGATATGATGATGAAAGAAGTATGTGGCCCACCCAAAGGTAATTGGTACACATATTGTAAATGGGAAATTTTTCAGTTACATTTCCACAGCCAAAGCACGAAGCAAAAAAAATAACCCAAAACGTTATATGTACAATATGTTACATTATATATATATTTTTTTTTTATCACAGGGTACAATAGTGACGGGCAAGATAGGCGTAGACGGAGTGAGTATATCATCGGAAAAGTCAAGTGGGGAGTACTCGTACGTGGCGACGCCATCTCCGCGGCCGGGCGAGGGGCCTGACCAGTCGCCACTCATGACCTGGGGAGAGATAGAGGGTACGCCCTTCAGACTTGACGGCGGAGACACGCCGTTACCTGCGTAAGTCATTTATTTCCTTAGTTTGCCATCATTTACATTATTTCAAGCTGTTTATTATATAAATAAAAAAATAAGATTTCAATTCTGAATGTATATATAAGAAAAAAGTCCAGAAATCTCAATCATGTATCAAAACTTATGAAAATGTATTAAAGCATGCTACCCTAAAGCACATCTTTTTGGCTAACCATTATTCGTCATAATGAACTTGTCTTGACGCTGGATCCACTCTCTCTCGACATTTCAACATATTTAAGAATAGAAAATAAGTAAGCGAGCTGAAAAAGAAATTAAAACTTACATTCTCCCACCAGGTAATGAGAAGGTGTTATGTATTTAGCTCGTATTTTGGGTAGTTTTTATTTGAAAAAAATTATTCCCATTTTCGCGATAAAATAGATTTCATTTACAGGCAGGACAATCGCTCTGGATTTTTTTTTTATGCAATTTAGAACGACAAACAAGCTGACGGTCCACATGATGAAAAGTGGTAACCGTCGCTTATAGACATGAACAAGTACCATGGACAGAACAGAGTGTACTGTTTTATCCATGATACCCCCCACGCGTTGCCATTCCTGAGAACTCGGGTGTTATTCCTTTGTACCCTGTAAATTCACTGCCATATCCCAAGTGATAATATATATAAATAGAAATATATTTCTTTTTCCCATATAAACTATTTTTAGCTGTCAATTTTAACAGAACGACGTCTGTCGAGTGAGCTAACATAGTTCCGTTCCTAGGTTTAATTGCGTAATGGTTGTTTGCAGCGTGGGCGCAGGCGCAGCGTACCGCATGCTGGAGGGCGGGTCGCGCGAGCGGCTGGCGCTGCAGCTGGCCGAGCAGGCGGCGCGCCGCCGCCGCCCCGCCACGCCGCGCGTGCGCACGCCCGCGCCGCACACGCCCAGGTACGTACCGCGGCCGTGCTCCATTTACTCACAAATATGTTACACCCACATGGATAAGAAGCTCATTCATTTACACAATATAAACTCGAAAAGAATTTGGCGGAATATGAACTAAACAAATTCTGGATTATTTTTACATTTAAGTAAAGGTTAGAGTTAAGTGTGCACACGCCCTAGTGATACTATTTTCTGGTCTCATTTTTATAATTACATTTCCAATCTATCAGTACGCGATTATGTTATAGGAAACGATAGAATAAATGTCATTGCCATCCACATTAGATTCTCATTGTTATCTAATCAGTACATTATTTAAAGAGACAACACTGCTCTTATATTGAAGAAACTGGGAAATAAATTTATGCAACCGTTTAGAGTATATAAAATATTCATATATTAATAAATGTCTGTCTAAAATATCGATAAATAAAAAGCCTGAGTAAAAATCTTCAAATACAATGAATGAAAATTAATTTGTATGAAACAAATGGTTTTTGTTCAAAGTGAGATAACATGAGCCTGGTTCTCATCATATATTATCATAGTGTTAGTACTCATATTAAAAAGTTACACACTTCCTGGTTATTATTCATTATGATAGTAATGTTTCGCGTAAAACTGTAACCATTCTAGAATATTCATATTCTTCTCCTAAACAATTTATTAAGTATACAAAATGCAATCAATCTGAAATAGATGGAGGTGGTTCAACTGTAGTTGTTTGTGTGTAAATTACATGATATCTTCAAAACTGATGAACTATTATTGGAGACATTTTTAATCAAGCAGTGCTTCTGTATCTTTTGATTCAAGTATATGTTACGTCTGTTGTTGAGTACTAGTTCCTTACTAATTTTGTTAAAGTACCTTGGTTGTATTAATAAATATTATGAAGTGGGCATGTATGTATATAACATTTAACTTAGAATATTTTTTTACAGTTTCAGAACAAATACTGAACGTTTTGCTAGTATGTCGCCGGCTGCCAGAAAACTAGCAGCAAAACATCTTTTGTCCCCTCGACTAAAGTTGACACCACACGACATGGGCATCTCCCACGCGACACCTAAACTCGCACGGACACCTCGCAGCCTCCTAGTGGCAACCCCGAAAAATAAGAAGACTCCACAGCGACCACCCGTTTCCGAGGGCCAAGAGAACACGAATACCATAGAGAACAACTTGACAGATAACCTATTACAAATAAATGTTGCGAAGCGAACCAGATTAAAAGCTCAAGATTTTTTTCAATAAAATTATTTGAAATAAATTTAATTAATATAAAATGTGTACTTTTCTATTTTTAAAACCCACTAGCTGTTTTCTGCGACTATGCACACGTGAGCCAGTATATAAAGTCCTAAGTGTAAAGTTAGGCTTTATAACCTATCCGTGTACCATACCATCATTTAAGTGTGATTAAGTAACAAACATCCAAAATCTTTACAAACTTTCACATTTATAGTATTAATAATTTATTGATTCAATTAGTAACCGAAGGATATGTCACTTCTCTGTAAGAAATATTAGGCTATCCTGGTCAAGGGTTTTCGTTTCGGAATTTATTCTGAGTTCTTTATTCCTCTAGTCGCAGCATACTGAGTTGACACACATTGTATTTGCATGGTTATATGGAGATATTTATGTATTTGTAAGGGAAGGAAAACCAAGACTTATTAACATAATAAATATTTAACACTATGTCGACTTACTTTTAAATAATTTCAAAATCGATTTAATACATGTTTGCAAAAAGGTAAGGCAAGGTGTTTAAAACATACGTTTGGTATTTTGTTACCATGTAGAGATATTTAACCACTAAACAAACAAAGGCCGGCAGCACACCTGCAATGCCGTTGGTGTTGTGGGTGATCATGGGCGGCGAGTCACTTGCCATTAGAAGAGTAGCATGCTCGTTTGCCCCCTGTGTTGTAAAAAAAAACATCGGGTGCTAGCATCCCGCATAATACATTATTATGATATATTGTATGCAACTTAGTGTACTAGCGTGCCGCTGCGTATTTTCGGCGACCGAAGATACGGGTAATGTGATGTGACGCTAACCTTAGTCTGTTTATATCAACTTATTTTTAAATCATATTTACCAGAGGGAGACTTTGTACAAAAGTCGATTGCTTGGGTACCTCTGCCCCATTCGTGTTTCAACCGTGAAGCAGTTGTGTTTGCATGACTGTGTTTCGGTTTGAAGGGTGGGATATGGCGTGAATTTACTGGGTACAGAGGAATAACACCTGAGTCCTCAGGAATGGTAACGCATAGGGGTCATGGGCGAAACAGTATATTCTGTTATGTCCATGGTACTGCTCATGTCTATAGGCGACGGTTACCACTTTCCATCAGGTGGGCCGTTAGCTTGTTTGACATTCTAAGTTGCATAAAAAAAAATTCAAAACCACATGGAGATATTCAATATATGGACAATGTTAATTTAATTTTGGAATCATATTGCAACACGTGCTGTTACAACTACTTTCTCGTTTTTAACATAAAATTGTATTATATTGATGCTTACCTTTTATGTTGTATAAAAAGAGGTATTCATTAAATAGGGTCTCAGATTTTTCTTTTTTTTCTAGAAGAAATAGTATTAACGAATGGATTTCATTAATTAACATAGTGTATAAAAACTATAGATCTATTATAAAAAGTAAAATTTATTGTCCTCATTCATCATAATTATAATATACAATATAAATTTATTAAAATAAATAAAAAATAGACTGTTACGACAAAACTTAATTAAAATGTAAACAAAGCCATAATTGATCTGGCCATAAAACAGCCGTTTGTCCAATAGTTGTACAAATAAAAAAAATTATGATTTCAACCTCAATAAAATTTATGTTACAATTTTATTGTTCTATTGAAACAAACATTATATATATACTTACGCCACCAAAGTGGCTTTACTCAAATACGTCCATCAATGTTACATTGATTTTATATTTAATCTACACTTAGTAACTAAATAAAATTTTATCACCCCATACATTGCAGTATCAAAGGTTGTCAAATTGCTACAAAACTTAAATACAAATAAATTTGCAATTATAAACCTTCCTAAATCAAAAGTGTTATACAAAGTTGTAATAACCACAGACTAAATACCTAATAGAGATTTCGTTAACATTATATTATTTTTGAGCTCGACATGTTATTTAGTTCTAGTGTTATTAGTTTATTTAACGACATGTTATGGATAATTAACTTATTATTCATTATATAAATAATTAATTCAAAATTATTATCGTTTCATGTTTAAATTATAGTTATATTAGCTAACAGCTACATATTTTTATTATCTAAATTTGTCGAAAGATCATAAACAAGTACTTAAAAAGAGTAGAGATTACATATTCTTTTTTTATTTATTTCTTTTCTTTGCGCCAAAAGTATAACGGATTATTTAAATTTTATAACAATTCTTAGTATTTATGAAACTGTACACTTAACTGTGTAAGGCACGTGGATCAATCAATATATGAAAATACATATATTTTTTAACATTTCTTTGAATATAAATTCAGTTCTTCCAAGGAAAGCTGAATTTATCCGTTACAAATATAATTATGATATGTCAATAATTAATGTAAATTTTATGTACATTAATTGAACTGTCAACTTAATACTAATAAAATAACAACATTTAAAAAAATTAACGTTACCACAATAAAGATAACCAATCTCTATACCACGGTAGAGGGTCCCGTGGTTTATTATATTCCGCATTAGGCTTCGGCTCAGTATCATCAATGGGATCCTCTTCAAAAATATTAACTATCGACTTTTTGATGCCAAACCGAAAGAATGCAATGTAAGGAAAATATTTCATGAGATACAAACTGAACCAATGATTCCAGTTGAAATAAGCTCGGCCTATGAACGTACTGTAGAAATTATTACCGATGTAGCCGAGAGCTAGCTTGAACTTGCCTTTAAGGCTCAGTGTTCTGTAGGCGGGGACCTGGTCTAATGTGTCATAATCGTGAAGATACAGCAGACGCGGTGGTCGATCTGGGAGGTCGTCCAGAAGTGGCTTTTCAATTAGAAGTCTCGAATCGACACCTAAAAGGTATTTTATAGTTTATTCGGCGCTATTTTACTCATTTCAATATACCTACATATTTTAAAATGAGTAAAATAGCGTCGATGGAATACAACGATGGGTGCAGATCTAACTTTGTTTATCACACAGATTGATTTGCGCTTGGACTTAACTAACGTGGTAGAAAATGACGTAAAGACCTAAGATGAAACTTGAATATATTTCAATTCTACTACCACGCGGTTCCCCCTGGAAAACGTCGTGGTTAATTCATATGGAATTCGTCACGATAGGCCAATTGACCTGCGTTCATTCTCACCTATCATCCTTCACTGGTGCCTCGCCAGCGTACATCGAAAACGCAAGTGGGGTTATCATTTTATTACTATCTATTCCAAAAAAAAAACCTGTCGTCCCTCACTGCAACCTCGCTAGCGTATAACGATAGCGCAGGCGGAGTTACCATTACATTACAATACATGAAAAACACTCTGTAGCAGTTCACACCAAGAATAGGTAGTAACGCTCACCGCTTCGTGCAAATATGTGAAATGTGAAGAAAGCTTTTATTTTACCGATATATTGTGGAATTTCCTTATTAGTGAAATTGAAATCATTTATTTGCTGGATAAGGTACATTTTTATAGGTGTTACTTTGCAAGAAAAATAGTTCAATCTTATTCTGTCATACTGTAGGCGTGCAAATATTGAAACTTATTAAACAAAACATTAAAATAATTTCATCATAATAACATATACATTTGCAATAAAATTTTGTCACTTTTTGTATCTACTCATGTCAATTCGTTGTAATATAAATTCATTAAAAATATACACAACACAAAGTGTTTATAAAAAGAATAAAAATAAATACCTGTATCAGGATTCTTGCCCTTTAAATGTTTCCGTAATTTCTCTTGTATCTTGACACGTTCCTCCTCAGTGTATACATAGCCAGGTACATTGGACAAACGTCGACACCAGAACAGGGTGGCGTCTATTTCCACGGTCGGGTTGACGCTCGACAGCCCGTCCAGAAGTACCCGGGCTGCGTGTTCGAAGTGCTCCGGCACGTTCTCCATGGATGGAGTGTATACTCTATCCAATAATATTTGGCATATTTGGCGAGTTTCTTCTGGTGTTTTACGGCATATATTGTATCTGAAATACCGAATAAATGATGTTTTTGTATCCTAACGCGATATAACCATCGATTCTATTTTAAATCCACCACCATAAATGAATTCAACTAAATTTCAGGTTGATTTATATTTGATACCTATGTACTGCAAATGATATTATATAATATTGTCATTTGCGAATTTTTCTTTTTTCATTATAATTGTTACACTAATTATATTCAATCTATACTATATTACTATAGAATACTCTATATCACCAGAATCAGAACGCCCATTTACGTATAGCTACTACATCGCCACAAAATTATAATAATCGTATTTACTGATCTTCAAATTGACTAATCTGTTATCAAATCTCCAAATTTTTAACTTACATATGACGCCTAACCCTGCTTCTGCCAGATCGACTTCCACGTGGTCCCCCTTAGGAACCATTGCGCTAAATTCCTAGTGTATTCATCACGAGGGGCTAACTGAACTGCGTTTTCATTCTCACCTATCATCCCTCACTGGTGCTTCGCCAGCGTATACAGTTAGCGCAGGCAAGGTTACCACTCCATTGTCATCCATTAAAAAATACCCTCCTTCCGCACCTAAACCTATTTTTAATAAACAGGTATTTCAACAAAAAAAAGTAAAGTGAAAAAATCTGTTGATTTTGGTATTAAAGCACAACATACTTGCCTATCTTCTAGGCCAATCATATGACCTATAACGCTCCACAGATGATTATACGATTCCCAATCATCAGGCCGTAACTGCATCACGCCAAATTTTTCTGGCATCAATATAGAGTAGCCTATAAATCCGAACAACGTTAAGGCCATATCTCTTTGGGACACTACGCCGAGGCCTTTCGTTTTGGATGCAAGACCTGCGTTAAAATGACGCTTTCTAACCGCATGTAGAGACTTCCATGAACTAGAAACAGGAAACATAATTAGTCGCTTTTTGTAGCGTGAACAGTGTTTACTCTTTACTTATAACTAGTAGGCCAATTCGATTTTTTTTTTAATATTCGTTGAAATCTAAGATTTTTTTTGACAGTTTTGGTATTTGTAAACCATTCATTTGTATATAAATACAATAACATATATCATTGAAGGTAACAAAACAGAGGATTGGATAAAAGAAAAAGAGAAGTGAAACACGTAGGAATGTACGAAAGGGTTTTTTTCGTTTCGTTCGCTTTGGAAAAATTTATAATACTTAAAATCGATACAAGTTTGCGATTAAGTAAATGTGAAAAAAATTTTATACAATTGAATGAAAAAAGGTTTGACATTTGCGTAGAAATCAAAAACCATATCTGGCAACCCTGATTAAAAAAAATATGTGACTTAACTTACATACTGCCAGGTTTTAGCTCATTTTCAAACCAACTTGTAACGTGCAGTAGTGTGGATAAATACCGCCGGTATGCGGTAAACACAGAATTGGAACGGCGTGTGCTGACCAGAATTTTCAGTATAGACGGCACCGAGATCACAGCGATCAGACCAAACATCATCGAAGTAGCCAGACTGAAGCTGAAGTCCCAAAAGAAACGGCGTCCCCTAATCAGAAAATAAAAAATGTAGTCATCTACACCTTTATTTACATACTAGCGTTTATTTATTTATTTAACTCTTTATTGCACCAGAAACATAAAAATAAACAATGACATATAAACAAATTAAATGAAATACAGTAGTATTAAGTACAGATTAAAATATACACTTTTGTAACCTTTATATATATAAAGGTACAGAAGGTTATATATATAAAGGTAAAGATGGTCTTATCGCTAGGGTAATCTCTTACAGACTATCTTGGTTAAAAGAGAAAAGATAGAAGTGGATAGGTGGCGCAAGAGAGAATTAATAATTTTACGTGCATAAAATAAATACAAATACCTATAATGCACAAAAACGTCAAATACATATTATTTATTAAACTACATATTATAACAAATAATACCGCGATTTCGTTTCCGCGACCAGGATAGGTTTATAATTTTAGGTTTTTCTATCGGTAATCGCTAGCGGAGCACCAGTGAAGAATGTTCGGTGAGTATCAAAGTAGGTCAGTTTGCCCATCATCGTGACGAATTCATCAAGAAATAACCACTATAGTTTCCAAGGAGTTTTTATGAATTCGTCACAGTAATAAAAAGAGAGGTTTCAGTGGACGAGTATTTCAGATCACAGCAGTGACACAAGTGAAAGTAAAAACAAAAGGTAAATATTATTCGATTTTAAAAAAGGTCGTACATCATCATATCAGCCTTTAACTGTCCACTGCTGAACATAAGCCTCCCTTCTCCATTAGGGACTTTTGCCAGGAGTTGCCACGCTTGGCAGGCGGATTGGCAACCGCAGTCCGGCTTTAGAGGTGTTTTAAGAGGGACGCTGCTGCATATCTCTCACCAAAGGTATATATGAATATAAAAAAAAACTACCAAATATACTCATTTAAAGTCTAACAGTCACTTTAGGCCAAGTGGCTTGTTTCATCCTCATAAATCATCTCTCACTGTGCCTCGTCAGTCCTCGTCAATATACCGATAAGTGCTGACGAGGTTATCATTCTATTATCATCCATTAAAAGAAAATATCCTGACCTATAGAAAAACAATTGATAAATAACCGTGAATACCTAAATAATTGTGTAATTTTATTGCTAAGTAGTTATTAAAATGCTAATTATAATTTATATCTGTTACAACCTCATCGCGTACTTGTTTTAAAAACATATTAACCTCTGACACTCTCATGTCTTACACTTATATACACAAATATATATGGTCATGTGAAATTGCATTTTATTTAAATATCTACTAGTGAAAGTGAGTCTGTTTGTTTGTTCGTTAAAGTTGTTTCTACCGTTATGAAATTTGATATTTTGATATTTTTTATTCCGGTCAGTGAACATAACGTTGTCGAGTTTGATATATATATATATATATATATATATATATATATTTTTTATATATATATTTTTTTTTTTTTTTTTTTAATGGATGATAATGGAATGGTAAGCCCGCCTGTGCTAACGGTATACGCTGGTGGGGCACCAGTAATAGACGATAGGTGAGGATGAAAAGGCAGGTCAGTTAGCCCATCGTGATGAATACACTTGGAATTCAGCATGATGGTTTCCAGGGGAGACCACGGGGAGGTCGACCTGTTAGGGTATATTATTAGCAATGGAACTGATAATCCGCGTTACTAACAATCACTTCTCCCCCTATTTCCTCCATATATATAATGCAAATAAAGTATACTCATTCATTCATTCATAACCTGGACACGCGGGCAAATTCGCGGCTTTAAACTAGGATAAAAATATAAGACTCCAGGTTTCATGAAACACTATATATAAGTACTCACTTATTGAATTTCTTCTCGTCGAACCATTTAGGTAGCTCCATATCTTGTTCTTCAAGCTTCCTCCTGTCTGAAGGCTGCTCCATGGATTCTTTTTGGAATAAGCCCGATATCACATCGTCCACTGAAAAAGTAGCATAATCATCCATCAATATATGTATATAAGTAGTAATAATAATATATAAGAGAATATCAACAACGAGTTACTAACTATAAAAACATGTCATTTAATATTCACGATGTACTCTTAATCCCCAATAATTATCATAATTTGATCTTTACAAAATAATATTGATTGTCTACTCCACTCAACATTTGTGATGTAAAACAAACGATAAAAACTAGTCAAGCTGTATAAAAATAGTACCTACTGGTTCTTTTTTGTCGTGGAAATACTGTTGTTGTTTTACTTATCATAGGAGTATTTCTTGTGTATATTTATTTTTATTTACTTTTTGTTACAGCATTTAGAGAATAATAAACACATGAAGTACAAAATGCGATCTTATCCCTAAAGTAATCTATATAGGGTATAAAAGAAAAAGACAGTAGCTATTTGGCGCATTGTCTAATAAAAACGCTCGTGTTAAATATATATAGTTTTTAAGAAAATTAAATAGATATTTCTAATAATAGCAATTACACATCGTGACGAATTTAATAATTATTGTTTCCAGGGCTGTGTGGCGGTCGATTTGTTAGTTATATTGGTAGCAATAGGGGCCTTAGAACCCCATTACTAACAATCTCTTTTCCTTCAGTACTAATACCTAATTATTTAATAAAACCTGGGATAAAACTACTGATTAACTAATAGACAACACACAGGCTTAAACGTTTTATTACGAATTTTTGCACAATAGTTCTCTACAACTAGTACTCTACTACTACTCTAACGTAGCTGAGCATTAAGAAAGGACTTCCTTAAATTTTTACGAGATCGAAATATAACGGGCGCAAGCAATGCCTTGCGGCTAACACAATAAGATTTTGTTCCACAAATAAAATCGACTTCAATTTCTACTGAACCGATTTAGTAAAATTTTGATGGGGCCAATCTATAAGGATGTATATTATATTATTTTAGATAAAAATATAATTTTCCAACTCGGTTTATAACTGACGGAATTATGAGATAACAAACAAAAAAAAAATCAACCGAATCAAGAACCTTCTTTATGAAGTCAGGTAAAAATACATATTAATATTATATATATCGATAGATCACTGTCTTACTAATTACGTTCCTAATCCTCACAAGTAATGTAGTGAATTTATTACTATTTATTTTATTAATCATTTGTATGTGTATTTTTGATACATTATATATTTTCCCCTATCGCTGTCTTCGTTTCTATAAAGTAAAGCTCTCAAAAGTATGTTTATACCTAGCTAACTAGCTGTAACCCGCGTCTTCATCGATGGTCATGAGTTATTGAATGAAAAAAGAATGTTTAAAATCCGACTAACAGTTCCAGAATAGTGCTATAAAATAAACTAAATCGTTCACTTTATTAAATATAATAATAATTATAGAAACCTTAGAAGTGGTCATGTATGAAGCGTGTCATGGATATCATAGAATCCATGGTATTGTTCGTGGTTACCACTTCCTATTAAGCCCAACGTAACCTATTTGCCATTCCTATAGAAATATAAAAAAATAAAAGAATTAGATTTTTTTCAATCATGGAACAATACCGAAATAAAAGGCTACGCTATGTCTGACTTCATTAATCTTACTATATTTGTAAACATTTTGGAAGCCTTGCTGGTAATTTCTGTTCTAAGTAGGTAGTACTATACTGAGAAAGTGACAAACTGCGATACGACGTCAATATATTTAAAAAATGTTTTCTACAAACATTTATATAATTTTGTTATCAACTCACAGCGTCATTTGCGACTAGGTGAGATGATGTTTTTCTCGCTTTTTTTTGTATGAATGAGATTAAAAGATGGTATTATTTGTTTGTTAAAGTTGTTACTGATTATAGTATATAACGATTTTATAAGAGGTTATTAATCTATTTAATACATAATCTAATTTTTAAGGTCTCCGAATGGATGTCTCATGTTCAAGAACAATTGTAAGTATCTTATGAAATGGTTTTTTAAATTTTAGATCTATAGCACTGACACTAAAAGTTTCTGAAAATATCTGGCAACCCTAGGTTGCGGCTAACTGAGAGTAAGCAATCCGAGTGCATTATATTATATTTTCGCTAATCTTTCATTTTAACCAATTTTTATTAAAAAGTCTTAAAAATCAGCGGCGGGCTGTTTGTTTTCTAAGACTAAAGTTCGTGTTTACGTATTTATGTTTCTGATTTTACAAGCTTCGAAACATCGTCCAGAAGACGTCCAGAAGTCATAAAAATCTTTTAATAATACTGAATCAACTGTATTTCTATAATAAGAATAAGATGAAGTGAAAGTGTCACTTCATTTGTTACAACAAATGTATTTTAAATTAACAATTTTAACTATTATGTTCGCAGGCAAAGGTACATGGTGTAGTAATTTTTATTCATATTTTTTTTTTACTTTAGCAATGACAACCCGGCAGGAAAAAATAATGAATTTGATCTAGAAGTTCTGAACAATGAGAATTTACGAATGATACCGGTTCAAGATTTCACAGAGCAATATTTAAACCAAATTATGAAAAACGACATTCTGTACAGATCAAAAAGCCAAATTAGCACGACCTATTTAAAAATGAAATTAGAAGACACATTACAAAACGCTAAAATTTTAGCTGATACATTAAAATTACAAATTAATGCATTAACGGCTAGAGAAAAAGTGCTCAAGGAGGCTATCGTTAACGGCAGGTAGGTTAAAAGCTTTATTATATACAATCTTCGCAAAGACTAGAACACATTTTACTGAACCAGGTGTTGTCTTGCGGAAGTCCACATTATTGATTGTTATTTGATTAGAATTATTTTGTTTAATTCCGTTATCATTAGTATTTGTGTGACTGTCAAGCCAACACTCGAAGAATGACCACCGTTATTACTACTACAAGTTCCACAACCTTCCATATTAGCCATCATTTTCCGACTGCCATTTTGTTCTTGCAAGTTTTGCGACATGTGGTTTCACCTCTAAACAAGACATCTTCAGGCAAATTATTAGATCGCTGCTCGAAGCCTAGTATTAACCGATCGATGCCCAAACTGCAAATTAGAAAAACCAGTAGGAGGCTATATATAAAAGTAGTCTGCTTGTGCGTAAGTATAGTATACGTAGTGAGTGCATACGTAATAAGTCAGCTCGTCAATCTGCCATGAAACTTACATAGTTATGTTTCGGTTCAAACAGTGGTATATAGCAGTGAAATTACAAGAAATGGATGACATAACATGAGGATTATGCTCAGGAATGGTAACGTATGAGGGATACCATGCACATCACAGCGTTTTCTGTAAAGTCTATGATACTATTTGTGTATAGACGACGGTTGCCATATTCTTTCAAATGAAATGTCTGCTTATTTGCCATTCTAAGTAACATCAAAAGACCTTCTAACTTATAGCTTGTAGTCAAAAGTCATTTGTTCATGACAGCGACAGAATAAATACAAGTATGTAACGGTGCCGGTCTCACACCGCGTTCTCATTAAACTATCGTATATATATGTGTATACATGTTATAAATTTTGAGAGCGGTTGACTTTTTCGTTTGAAAACCGATTTCACCAATATTTATGGTGGTAACGGGAATCGACAGTACCATGCCATAGAACAAACCTAATGAGTAAATTTGAAAGGAATTAAGTAAATGCAATGCATATACAGTGCGATATGAGTAGGTATGAGATTTTATTGTCTTTTAGAGTTCCATAAATATTAAGCAGGTATTTTAAACATATTGACATTATTATAAAACAATTTATATTCATCCACAAATTGTTATTACTATTAGTACGTGACCGGTTTCGCTGTTCAAGGCATTTTAAAATGTTCATTTACATTTGTTTTCTTTTATCTAATACTTTATTTGACAACTTTTGATAAACAAGTATATTATCTATAATAATAATATTTCAGGTCAGGAGTCACATCAGTAACAGTGTCCACATTAGGCCGAGTATTTCGTACATACATCATTAGAGATGGTTATTGGGCACTTTGTAATGGTATTATTCAACCCCCTGTCAATCCAGAATCTACAAATACAAATACTTTCAATGAGATTTATTCTGCCCCGAGATGCATTGGACAAGAAGTGAGTCACATTTTACTATATACTTAGATATGCAGTGTAAAATGTTATCAGTATTGTGGTAGCACACATCTTAAATTCAATTAAGTATACCCGTTTTAGGGTGCAATGACCGATGCAAGATTGGACAATTTGTCGCCTGATGGACTTAGAAATCATTACATTAAACGGAATGATGCACTCGATTTATAAGATATATTTTTATATCACAAAGTTTTCTGGTAAATTTCCACAGAGCAGACATCTCTCTTAGCATTTCAATCCCTAGAAATACCTCGCAATTCGCAATATGAGTAAAAACGAATAATTTGACATAATAAAATAATTTAAGTTATTAATTATTTTGTATACCAGTTTTCTTTCATTAGTACAAACGTAGGTACAGTTGCCGACCGTGACCTCCGAGACTCAGTAACTCAGGCGACCTGATTCACGCGGGGACCTATTTGTTACACTTCCGCATATAAACTGTTACCTAGGTACCAACGAGGCCAGATCCGTGCGTGTTCCATTCTATCATTAAATACGAAACTGTTCCCCAACGCCGAAGACTGGAATATTATGAAGAAGACTATTTATGTCTTAAGCCAAGTTTTAATAACACTATGGAGCGATACCTTAGTGTACCGAAACAGATTGTAAACGCCACTTGTAGAAACGGTAAGGCCACTTATATATTTTTTATATCTTACTTGCTGTTTCGGGCGGCTTTGTCCGCGTTCTTCAATATATATATATATACAAAGTATCCTATGTGTTAAGTTAGGATGTAACCTATGTCCCTATTGCTGGCAGCTTGGCCAGTCAGCCTTTTTTATATACTTATTTATGTTTTTATATTATTCTTTTTCATATAAAAAAAAAAATGTTTACTACTTTTGTAGCCACATAACCAAAACGGAATCTTATAATTTTGATATCTACATATATGTTTATAATTTATATTACAATAGGTATCACATATTACGAGGATATAGGACCTATTTATTTTCATAACTTTACAGACACAAATTTCGCCATGATACCAACATTTATACGAAAAAATATAGGATCCATAAAATGAATAAAATAAATTATCTAGAGACAATGAAATCTCGCGATAAAATATCATTTTTTTTTAATATTTAATACATTTTTAATTTCTGTGTGTTGATAAATGAATGAATAAACATTTAATATGATTCACTTGATGATCAACGTATGGAAATAGATATATCTATGTTTTATCACAAAGACAAATTACCCGTTTCCTCTGAAAACACATAGCATATTATTTATTCACGTCATAACAATAAACGATATCTACAGACCCTATTAATAAATAAAAATTTATTTTACAAGTTAGATATTGCTATTTTATGCCATGTGTCTTTTTTTTATGCAACTTAGAGTGGCAAACAAACTGACGATCCACCTAATGGAAAGTGGTAACCGTCGCCTATAGACATGAGCAGTACCATGGGCATAACGGAGTATACTGTTTCAGCCATGATACCCCTCATTCCTGAGGACTCAAGTGTTATTTCTCTGTACCCTGTAAATTCACTGCCATATCCCACTCTTCAAACCGAAACACAGCCATGCAAACACAAGTGCTTCACGGTAGAAACAGGAATGGGACAGAGGTACCCAAGCAAACGACTTTTGTACAAACTCTCCCTCTGGTATATGTAGGTATAATGATCCCCGAATATAAAATCTCACTAAAATCATAAATGCGCAAGTTCATGAGGATGGATGGATATATGTTACTCTTTCATTGAAAAATACTAAATAGATTCGATTTACATCTGGTTCACGAATAGATTTATTCATATTCAGTAGGCCTACCATGAAATGATTTCCGAAATTTCGGGGACGAACGAAATAGAAATTTGATGTTAAAATTACATAATAACATGCCGTTTTAAATTATTAAAAATGTTAAAATATCGTTCCTCTCGACTATTAGGATAGGATTTATGATGAATGAAATGTTAAGCTCCATTTACTGGCTCGATTTCGGTACGAACAAAAACACGAAATTGAGCCCGAAAATCCGGAATTTCATTTCATGGTAGACCACCAGATTCTTTTATTTGCATTAAACATGTTTATATCAGATATTCAGTTATGTATATATTATATTCCTAAATTAGAACACAAGACACTGTACATATATACCGATTTATATTTACAAAGTTGCAAAATACAGCTAGTAAAAAATATGTATATTTATTCTGTGTTCCGTGAAATTTTCGTATCTGTTTGAAAAAACAAAAGTAAAATACGTAGCTTAAGATATTGTGAGTGAATAATTTATAACGTTTGACATTATCAGCTGTTTCAGAATTACTAATATTATTGATTTTATTTACTTGATTTGTCTATGCTTATACACGTTGCCAACTCACCTGGAGTTGGCAATGGCAGTTAAGCTTTGGTGATGTTTTATGAAGGACGCTACTGCCCATTTCTCGGTAATTAAGTTCCCTTAGTCGCCTCTAACGATACCCACGGGAAAGGAACCACACGGCAATTTAGATGCTCATTGATTACAAATTAAGGATTTTAATAAAAAAATTAAACAAAGTTTATATCATTTTAAAAGGGCGCCATTTTGAAAAGTAGACTATCTAATCAGTCCTAATGTACGTTCTAAATACATAACATGTCGTTCCGACAAACGTTAATTATATTTTTTAAAATCAAAATTATAAGTAACAAGCTTTTACCCGTGGTTTTAGCCTCGCGATCGAGATATGTTGCTTAATCAGTATAAATAGTAACTTATGTCACTTTTCATCCAGAATATTACGTGAATACAAAATTTCATAATACTTGGTTATGACGCCAAGAAGTAACAAACCAACGAACACTCACTTTTTCATTTACAACTACTTTTTACATTGCATCACTGTATTTAGGTAATGTTTTTTTTTTTACATATTATAATAAATTGCAGCATGTTACTTCACTTTTACAATATTATTGCAAATATTACGTAATATATCTGATATAAACATAATTATTTAGAAAAAAGTTAGTAAATTTGCATTATTTTGTTTAATTACGTTATCATTAGTATGCGAACATTTGAGGATTGATTATTATTATTATTTATAGAAGTTCTACTACCTTTCATATTAATCATCAATCACTAACCGTTATTTAGTCTACGCATATAACGAAACACGTGTCACAACAAGTATTGTATTTTTATTGTATTAAAAACGGTTCCATTCTTTCTAACCTCAAGGCGAAGATCAAAATGACAAGTTACAGGGTGCAGAGGAATAACACCTTAATCCTCAGGAAGGGCAACGTATTAGGGTATTATGGGCGACACAGTATGTACTCTGTTATGTCTATAGGCGGCGGTTACTACTTTTCATCAGGTGGCCTTATTTGCCATTTTTAGTTGCATAAAGAAAGTGATACGAATGCATACCAAAATATGTATGAGAATCCACGTTTATGAACAATTGTTAGTAATGCGGACTACCAGTTCCATTCTTAGCAATATACACTGTCAGATTGACCTCCACGTAAACAATCGTGTTGAAATCCAGGTATATTCATCACAATGGGCTAACTACTGACTTTGCCTTTTCAATCTCACTTATCATCCTTCACTGGTGTCCCGCTAATGTATACGCGCTAGCGCAGGCGGGGTTACCATTCGAATACCATCATTAAATGAATATCATTATCTTAATGTACAACAGAGTTTTACTGAGATATGTACTGAGTAAACTCGATCTGTCTGCTAATGATTGCGAAATATTTAATGTGTAATGTAATTGCTCTTCGCCTTGTTGATAAAAACGTTATTTAAACAAATTTTATTTAAAAAAACCTATTTAGTTTTTTTTTTTTTTTTTATTTTAACTAAATAGATAACGAAAAAATAAATAAATATTTATTTTATTTATCTACTACTTTATGTTCATATACGTAATTTCGTTCGCATAAATTTTGACAAAAAGCAAAGATATTCTCATCGTCATAACTTTTAAACTATTTATTTTATTTTGGTACAAACAGTCATTAAAATTTACTCAAATTACTTAATATAAAAGACAAAGATTATTTACTTTACATAACAAAAGCGATAAAAGTACTTATTTGGATAAAGATTAATTTATAATACCTACCATTAATATGTCTCGTAAATACAGTATTCAAATTTTAATGTCACAATTTTAATTATATTTATTGGCTTCCATAAAAAATAGAAGATATATGCAATCACAGACTTTTTTAGAACTTTGTGTAAGACAAACGATTCCACCAAACATTATTTTCGTGTAACTCTGACGGTTTATGCAACGCACGCCAATATCGCTATTAAATATATTTTTATTTATTAATATTTTTTTAATTTTAATAAGTACATTGATGACGATGAATTTCCTAATAAATTGAAATTTATTTAAATTATACCGCTTTTTAAAGATGGGATTATTTATATAACATTGATGCTACTTTACTCAACTAGATATTATTTTGCAAAAGTTCATAACACTGGTTAGTAGATTAATTTCGCTACAATTAGTAGCATGCGATTGCCAACATTTAAAGATTGACTAATATTATTATTAGCAGAAGTTCTACGATCTCCCATACTAGTCATCAATCTCCGACCGTTATTCCGTCCACGCACATGTTGCAATGGATGTTTCACCTCTAAACGAGGCATCTTTAGGCATATCAATAGATTGTTGCTCGATGCTTATATTATGAGGAACCAAAAAACGAACAAATTACCGTGTAGTACCGACATAGAATGGGCCACCGCTTCTTTTCTCTGGAATATCGGAAGTGGCGACTAAGAGAACTTAATGGTCGAAGGATGAACAGCAGCGTTCTTCTTAAAACATTGTCAAAAACTAAACAGCGCTTACCAACCCACCTGCCAAGTATGGCAACTACTGGCAAAATCTTCCCAATGATAAACCGCCCCCATCCTTATGACGGTCTATGGGGGAGGCCTATGTTCAACAAAGAACAAATAACAGCTGACATGATGATAATGATAGAGTAACGAACGTTTGGGAGTACCTTCCACTCGGAACACTCGGGTTTGAGCCAATTTTGGATCTAAATTGGATCTCATTTATGCAAAACAACGTGCCCGTTATTTCACTCTCGTAACTGCGATAAAAAATAACTTATGTCCTTTTCCATCCCAAAATAAATTATTCAGGATAACTTTCATAATAATTAGTTATTTAGACATTAAGGCACCACAAGACAACAAACATATTGACTTCCGCTTTATAATATTAGCATAGGAATATGTATAAGTATTCAAAATACGCCATACCTCTATATAATATATTTATTTTTACCAGGAATTATAAGATCGCTTGCAGACAACACAAAAGAATGCGGTTTACGTGTTATGGCGGAGTACACTTATTACCCCCAGAGAAGTTACTATACGGAATCTCTACTACCATTGGAATATTGTACTGAGAAAAATCTATCCTGTGTATTGATAACAGCATGGCACGTCTCTAATTCGACGATAGAGAATTTCGAATTCTTAAAAAATGACCAAAACTTTAAAAGGTATTTCATAAAATCTGGAAGTTACATAGATCAAGTTATATAAGAAAGGAGCATACTCAATATGAGCTCACAGCTGTTACATTTACTAAAAATAAAAATTATAATAAAACTACGTCGATTATTTTTTTATTCTTTATCAAAATTAAGGCTTAGATAAAATTTTTAGTTTGTAGCTTAAAACAATTTGTTTACGCTGTCTAATTGAGCCGTCCCCTAATGTCCGAGAAAAGGGATTGTTAAATCCCATTTATTTATTTTAATACATTAGTAATGTATTAAAATAATGTGTTCTTAGACTCCATTACTAACGTAATGGAGTCTAAGAACACATTATTAGCAATGATGATCTTAAATTATATAGATCCCTATCAGTACCAAAGGACTCTGTTCTTTTACAGCAAGATCTTCAATCAAACTGTCGTAGGTACAACAGGTTTCCCTACATATTGTTGGTATATATTATATAAAAAATAAATGGCTGAAGCAGTTGTATTTGCATGGCTGTGTTTGAGGGGCAGGATATGATAGTGAATTTACAGGGTACAGAGGTATAATACCCTAGTCCTCAGGAATAGCAACGCATAGGGAGGTTACTACTTTCCATCATGTGGGCCGTCAGCTTGCTTGCCATTCTAAGTTGCATAAAAAAATCCTATTAAAACGAACTCCGCGCGTTCCTTCTGAAAGCTATAGTGGTTTCCATTTTTGTCGAATTCGTCACGGTATGCCAACTGTACTGTTTTCATCCTCACCGTGCATCCTTACCATATAGTCTTTCACTAATGCTATGCCAGCGTATACTGAGAGAGCAGGCGGGATTTTTTATCCATGAAAATGGAATGGATAATCCCGCCTGCGCTATCGGTATATATTAGCGTGGTGAGTCCTATAGTAAAGATGAAAATAGATCAATTAGCCCCTCGTGACTTATTTTAACTGGAATTAAACACAATGGTTTCCAGGGAGGTCCGTCTAAAAGTCTACCTGAAAAATTCCGTCCCCCTCGTACAACGGTGGAATACCATTCCTTTTTACCCATTGAAAAAAAGTCCTGCCAGGTCAACCCCTATGCGGTCTCTATTATAAGATGAAGGTCCCAGGTTGGTGATTATCATATATACCTACATACATAATGATGATTATATAGTCTTTCGATGGACATGTGTAGTCATCATTTCTACTGGTAGTAGGTATCTTACAATATAATTGTCTATACGAGGTCGCCACTTATGAAACTCTTTCTGCTTTTTCAATATGATAACGGATCATTTTTGATAAAATAAAAAATATGACAACCCTATTTGAGGATAACTACAAACATCCCCAGGGTGAGGGGAGTTAATGTTAGTAATGGAATTTAATAGCCCTATTACTAGCAATATATACTGTCAGATCGACTTCTACGCGTTTCGATACTATCGTGGTTAATTTTTGATGAATTTGTCCCAAAATGGGCCAACAATACTACCTTTCATCCTCATCTATCATCATTTACTAGTGTTCCGTTAGCAAACATCGATAACGCAGGCAAGATCACCACTCCTTTATCACAGCGGCGGCCTTAGGGGATGGCGAACAGCAATGCTATTCACTAAAAATCTACCGCAACGCTGCGCCCGCCGACGAGCTCTAGGCTGATCAGCCTTGCGAACGACCGTGGCTACAGCGCTGCGGTAATTGGTATTCACTAACGTGTCAAACCTCATCGACGAACTGTAGGCTGTGATAACTCGAGGCTGTGCGCACGGACGAGATAGGGCTTGCAACAAAAACCGTAAAATGAAACCGATAACTGTAGAAATATAATATTTTATTGACAAATGGAATGTTTTATTCAGTTTAGAATGTTATTTAAATAAATATTATATAAAATAAACATAAATTTATACATCAAACATTTGATTTTGTTTTTTAAAGTTAAGATTTGTTTGAATACCCTTGCTTCCATTGCCGTAAAATAAACAAATAACACTTATACGTAGGTACGTAGAGAGTATTATATTCCTTGTACTTAACATTCCAGAGGCGCACTTTTTGTATTTGTTTATTCTCTTTTAAAAATAATTAATAAAATTAACGTAACTTTACCAACGTTTTATAAGTTTGGATGTATCTATCAAATACGTAAGTAAAATGTGCTTTTTATTTACTTGTATTGTTTTTAAGGTTATATTTTTAGTAACTAAAATAAATGCATATCTCGTAACATGCCATGAAATGAGGTCCCTTCGCAAAGTAGTCGGAGATGCTGATGGATTATATAAAGAATCAGACATGGCTTGTGACAGGACATACACGAACAGAAAAAAGGATTAATTATATTTTTGTGGAGTATCTTAAATAAATAACTAATTTATAATTTTAGAATTATGTGTCTAATTGGTCTTATTGTTATTTTTAGGTCCACGCCGTCATTTGACTGACAGTATCCCGATGACACTTATCTCCTTCACAATAGCAGCCTCAACTAGAAAGAGAGTAGTCTCACAAAGATTTGTTGCCACTGAAGAGCACCGAGTAGAGACAGAACAAATTTTGATAGAGAATCAGACAACATTAGTTCATATCTTATAGCTAATGAATGAGATATGACTAAATTAAATTTAAAATATTATAAATGGTAATTCTTTATGATTCTACCATCCATTGTGAAGAAGGGGAGAAACCTCAATTTTGGTTTTTAAAATACTAATAGATTTTACAATAATACATTTCTAAAAATATACACTGCCAAACATAACAAGAGTTATTGGAATTATTAGTTAAATCAAGTTCATTATTGAAAATATAAGATTAAATTATGTCATTTAATAGTCATTAGTAATTTTGAAATATAAGTTTCATCTTATATAATTTTCAAATAAAAACACAATTACAATAAAATTTTATAATTATAAACTTGTTTCAATTTCAAATAAATAATTTTTAATGAATATTTTTTTTAATTTCTTACTCCATACTAGTTATAATATGAATTAATTATAATAATTTTAAATTAAAATATACATTTACAACATAATATAATATTAATTTTAATTCACAGGTAGACAAAAATGTAACAATAAAACAGTATTTGAAAATAGTTTTAAGATATAAGTACAAAAAGTATAGCTAGCTTATTTTCAGACTACAAAATTTTCTTTTGTGCTTCTTCATTTTGTATAGATGATGTAACTGCATCATATTATCAGCATATCACAAACAATACAGCAATACACTACTATTATTGTGGCTGTCCAAGGGTTTGTGTCATGCTACTAAATGAGTTTCAAAATCACCTGAAAAAAAACAAGTAATGTTAATTATTTTTAATTAGCCACATAGGCAATCCTGAATTTATGTGTGTCATGTTTTTTAAAACTATGATTTTGAAACAATTTTTTATAATAGTTTCAACCTGAATGCTAAATTTAGTGGTCTAATTTAACAAAAATTAATTGACATGAATTAATAATTTACTACATGTTTAACTAAGTTGGTTTCTTTCTAACATATTAGACATAGTTATTTTTATACAAAACCAGAGGCCACTAAGCTTATGGATCACCTAATGGGAAACGGTTACCATGATCCATGAATATTTGTAACACCAGAAGTATTATTATGCATACTAGATTACTTGTTACACACCATTATTAACTAGCTAGTTGTTCCCTACACAAACATCTGCTGACACAATTAAGCTTGTCTCAATAAAATAAACAAGCGCACACAATCACTGCAAAGTATTCTTTTTCCTGCTTTAAATTTATTTATGTACCTAATACCATCAATTAATAAAATTTAAGTTACAAACCTTTAGCTTTAACAACTCTCTGGAACAGGCATACATGGTGACAATTCTTTTTCTAACATATTGATTAATTCTTCAGAAAGTCGGTAATGATGAATATAATCCACATCACATAAAGTTGTTGATTGTCGGCATTTCTTACAATCATTTTCTATTTTAGCTTCTTTCAACAAATGGGTCATTACACATAAACGGGCAGCAATCGTTTTTAAACACAAATTGATAATTTCAATACAATTAATAATCACAGAATTCAAGAAACAAATAAATATATTAGATGAATACTATGCAAACAGCGTAGAAAACAAAGCTTTTGAGTTTGACATAAGAAATCGAGGCTGTAGGCTAGGCTGTCGGCGAAGGCGAGGCTGATTTTTGTTAGTGAATACCAAATACTATGGCAAAATGTCAAATCGCACAGCCTTGAGTAGTTCCCGTTTATGCCGCTCGTCTTTGAGCTCGTCTTTGGGCGCTAGTGTCGCGTCTTAAGAATTAGTGAATACCATTTCAATATTTCATCGCTGCGTCAAGGCTGATGTCTAGGCTGTTTGCTTAGAGAATAGCACTACAGGGCAATCGCCCGGGGCCTCGCTCTTGCAGGGGCCTCGCGTAACAACCCAAGCAAAATTTTAAACAATCAGTGAATGGCATTTTGTACAAACTTTCCGATTTAGACATTTTAATCGCGAATGAACAAATTTAAACACTAATGTATAGATATAAAAAAATTAAAATAAAAAAGAATGTAAAATAGGACATAGTTGAATATGTGGAAATTTTCCATTAAATTGAAACTAAAATTTTATTCATTTGTATAACTTTAACATTTCTTATCAAATATGATAGATACCTAAATCGATCAACCAGACCTAGTTTTACATCACAGTTTTCACGAAGAACAAAGGGTCTCGCAAAGACCTACCGCCCGGAGTCTTACAATGGGTAAAGCCGCCGCTGCTTTATCACATATAAGAAACATACAAACATGAAATTTCAACATTTTCTACTTGTTGTCTCAGGCGTTAACTATCCACTGCTGAACATGGCCGCCCCCATAACCCTCGGCGGTTTTGCCAGTAATTGCCACGCTTGGCAGACAAGTTGACAACCACAGTTTGGCTTTTGGTGATATTTTAAGGAGCTGTCCATCCGTCCACCATAAGCTCCCTTAGTCGCCTTTTACGACACCCACGAGAAAGCAAGGGTGGCCTTTCTATGCCGAGACCCCTACACAGCTACTTTGTACTTGTAAATAGATAAATATTTAAAACCCACAAGCATACACAAAAATACACACAGAAGTTACTATAGACGTTTGCTTCATCAAATGCTCGCATGAAACTAAAAAACTGAAAATATTTGATTTATTATAGTGATAAATATCTAAGAACACCGAAATCTTTGGTAAATATAGTATCACAGTAATTATTTTATTTAGATTTAATACTATTTATCCTAATATTGCCAGAATAATTACCCAATATCAACACATACGTGACAACAAGGGAAAGTTTGCAGTACATTACAATACTAAAAACTTACCGCTCAAGTCCATTTTATTCAGTTATTCCACTGATAGACGACAAAAAATTAATATCTTAGGCAAATAACAATATTATGTACAATTATATATTTAAAGAGAGATTTTATAATATTTTCAAATTATTAGCAGATATTTTTATAGAACATTTTTACGAAATTTCTCTTGATTATTGTTAAAAATTTATAGAAAGTAAAGACGTCCTATTGAATAACTGTGACTTCACAGAGTACAAAAAGTATACAACGAAGACAGATTGTAGCGATGTGAGACTTTATTAATTCGACTACTAATTATTCGATTGAGCACATTATTTGTATTAATCGAATATTTTTTAAATAATTCGACTACTAATGTTGTTCGATTACTAATTTAATTTCTTAGTAGTTGTTGATGTACGAGTTAGTACGAACACTTTCGATAGTTATTTATTTTATATAATTTTATAATAATGTATATTCATGTAGTAGTTAATAACAAAGGAATATAGTTGACCGCTGTTTATTTTTATTTCATTTTTTTTATTGTTACTCAGGTTATTATCGCCTATTGTTGACCTATTGTTGTAGTAATGGATACAGGGAATGAACTATGGTAGTATGGTATATAAAATAGAACTAATTGTTAATAATTAGTAAAAATCATTCGAATACCAAAAATTTGTATATTACTAATTTAGTAATCAAATTATGAAATAAGTAATTAATAGTTGTGTAATAAAATAAAAAACAACAGATCAAAATTATAATATTTTATGTAAGGCACTAACAGGTTGGTAATGTTGTAATTATAGTTGTTTCTGTTTTATATGATATACTTCTTCATTATGTAATCGATAATACTCATTATAATTAATTAATCGATGACAAAGATACTATTAATGATAGGTATGTAACGATTTTATTTGAAAAAGATACACTTAGTTAATCGGCTTTAATTGATAGAAACAAACCACTTCTTTGTGAATGAATATGAAATGGTGCACCTGCTTATGCTAATGGTATAAAATGATAAAGCACCAATAGAAGATGAAACTACAATGATGAAATTAGGCCCGTTTAACTATAGTAAGAAATTTGTTACAAACTAACCATATGGGGTTCTAATCGACTATGCTTTATTAAGGTGAGTACGATTAATAGAAAATCAGTTAATCATCCTAGTTAGTCACTACCCTATTGTTAGATTTGATATGTCAGACGTCAATATCAGCAGTCTACACTGTCATTCATTGTAATGAAAAAAAATAACAATAACAAAATATATTTTTTTATTCACGGTTATACTTAACTCGCGTGTGTGAAATTATTAACATTTTAATGTGTGAGAAACATTATGGAAACTTAATATTATTAAAAGAATATTGTTATTAATTCATAATGAAATGCTATGTTCCAGGATCCAATGTAAAAGGTAATTATTTTTGTTTTGGTAATTTTATGCACCGTTGATCCGATCAACTTTACGACCCTCTTATTGTTGTAGTTAAAATAATTCATTATTTTAGATCAATGACTTGATTTTATCCTGATCTGTCATTTTTCATTGATACTAACAAAGTATTACTAGGATTTACCAATAGCGATGGCGGTTCATCTTACAAAAATTTACAACCTGCTTAATAATATTTTACAGTTTTAGGGAGGACTGTACATGCTTTGGCGCGATTTGGAGATGAATTGTATCTAGAGTCTTTACCGGAATGTATGCTTTTAAGAACTCTGAATGCTGCTGAATCAGCCTATGCAATGGTTAAATTCAATAAGAACTTCTTTTCATATTTCAATTATAATTACTACTCAACCGAGGATAATGAAGGGTTAAAATGCAAAATCTCTATGAAGTCTGCACTTAACACATTTAAATCACCAACTCATATGGATAAACAAGTGGAAAATTTGGAAATAAAACTTGACCCAGAAGCATGCAAGTTGATCTTTCAATTGAAATGTAAACATGGAATAGTAAAAACCCACTATGTCTCTATACTGGACTGTAAGGCTATGCAGGCAGTTTACACTAAAGATTCAGTTCCTAACAGGTCAGTGTACTGTCTGTTACATTATTATAGTAAATTTTGGAATCAGTGCAGATGAACAAATTCACATTATAATGTTTGTTTAAACTAAAATACCCAAATTGCATTGCAAAATATGTATTTATCTGTAGCTGTAGCAATACCCTAAATATGATAAATTTTGTCCTCTGTAGATTTTGAATAAAAATATCCTTGTATATCAACTTGTAGGACCAACATGCTAAGATAATAATTGTAAAGATAGTATATTTGTTCATTTGTAAAGTTTACAGTCAATAATGAAGTAAATGTAATTTTGCAAAAGAATTTTCAATTTAAGTATTTATTTATTTTTAATTTAGAATATTTGGATTATGGTGCTTAAAAAATTGTATATCTCTTGTTATGTATGTCATAATAAATTTTACAAGTTTTTGTGTAATAAAATTATTAGCTACTTTTGAATTGAATACATTCTTATTCTGCATGAATATTTCAGTTTTATATTTTTTAATGCCTTTTATAATTTTATTTATCTAGGATAACATCATCACAAAGGTTACTGTCAGAAGCACTGACTAATTTTCAAAGTTCAGATGATCAAGTTACATTAGAGGCATCAACACAATCATTTATACTTCGAAACTACACTGAATGTAGTGCAGATTCACTGAAAGTCATCAGGACTCAAATTAATTTGAAGCCCCTAGAATTTACCAGTTACACAATAGGAACTGAAACCACTATAACTTTCACATTAAAAGAATTTAGAGCACTTTTATCCTTTGCTGAAGCTTTGAGCTTGCCTATACAATTACATTTTGAGACAACGGGCCGGCCAGCAGTATTTATTGTACACAATGGGTCGACATTTGAAGCACATTTTGTCTTGGCGACGTCAAAAGCTGATAATGCGACACAAGCAACTGCCACGCAAAACACTACTATAGATAGGAAAAGAAAAGAATCCAGTTTTCAAGATTCAGCTAGGAAAAAAGTTCACATAGACAATGATATATCAAAATGTTTAGATGAAGATTCTCATTTATTCAACTTTATTGATATACCAGATGAAATACCCCCTCCAAGTGCCTTATTCAATGGTGATGGTGCAATAAATGGAGTAAACGAAGAAACAAATAATGTAAATAGTAGCAAGATAAATAATGATATTGACTCTGATCACATTCCTGCATCACCTACTGCAAAAGCAATGATAAAATCAGTATTTAGAAGATGCTTTGAAAGCACTTTTGATCCAAGGGCCATAAGAGGTGTGATTTTAGCAGAGGACTCTGATAGTGAATAATTAAATTTTGTAACTATATTTATTTAATTCTAATATAATTATTGTTGATGTGTTCAAAATAAATGTCATGAATTTTCCATGATTTTAGTTCATAAAGTAGATAAATAATTTATCTATAAATGATATTGATACTTGTCATGAACTCGTTATTTTTAAATTAAATACCTTTTTTACTAAAATATCAATGCAAAAAATGCAATACCTAACTACAACATAATAGTTTGTTTTTTAAATAAATCGGGTATAAAAAACAGGTATAGTATTCTTGGATACAGGATCCAATCCAAGACATATGAACAATTAAATATTTCTTATAAGGTATTTACTTATATTTGGACTGCATATTGGTTAAGTGTATGGGACAATCTTTAATCCTCTATCAATTACAGAAAACTAGACAACGGGTCATTATATATTTATTTTTACATTTAGTAAACAATCTTGGCACTAATATACCGAAATTATTCATGCAGGTCCGTTATAGAATTTTATACGTCCATTTTAATGTTAGGATAAATATGAGTAGTGACAACCAGCAGAGACTATAAAGTCAGGTATAAATTAACGAATTACTTATACAAGTAGTGAGAACAGATCCACAAGTAGCACAATATTGGTTGAGTCGGCAAATCTTTCAAATATATAGACAGACAAAATTGTTAAACATCAATGCATAATCAATAGCAAAAGCATAATGTTTTTAGATATATATTTACTAATATAGTTATTGCAATAAAAAATATTGTTTACTATTTTAAAATACGTATAATAAATCCTATCATTTATATGAAATCTATTTTGCAAAATATAAATGCATTCATGTTGTATGTATGTTTGGTGAAAATGCATTGAGAGAATAGCCATCTGTGTTTCACTTACTATTTCTATAAACGAAGCTTAGTATTTCAGAAGTGAAATTTGTTGATACTGGGCTTACAATGTGTCCTAATAAGCTAAGGTATAGTTATCTATAGTAATGCTCTAGCTAAATAGCACTTGTACACAAGATCCATTATAATATTAATAATACAAAGACTATATTAAATTGTATTGAATGTTTAATTACTGACCAGTACATTGTTACTATAACACAAGTTCATAGAAGGCTTTATAAGGAATTTAAGGAAACCAAATGAAATAGCAAATCATCACTGCATTATAATTTTATAGCAAAAAATATACATACATTGTTAAAAAATATTATACACGTCACAATATCAGTGTTCGATGATGTATGTATGAGTGTGGGGTTTAACATTCATTACTAAATTACGCTGGACTTGTAACAATAATTTAGGTCGCGTTGATAGTAAAATAATACTTCAAAATAAAACAGAATTGCAATCAAAACAGTAGTATTCATATTTTATGCTATAATCAAAAATATTCAATTACAATTAAATTCAAAATATTTAAATGAGCAAAAATAACATAATAAATTGTTATTCATTTCTTGTTCGATTCTATAAACAATTATGATACATTTTTAATACAAATACTATATGGGCATAATTATATTACCCATCTTGTTAATTTCACTTTGCGTAACGTATGGCGGTCCGGTCTAGATGTGGTAACATTTTTCTAATAAAACTGGTATTTTTTTAGTTATATTTATTTAAACAAATTACCAGATTCATACTAAATTTGCAGGATAGGTGGAGTCAATACAATCTTACCTTTACAAAATTGGTTTTATTCAGTAAAAATTATAATTATGTAATAAATTTACTACTAAAATTAGCACTAGAATTAAAACTGTGGCATGAAGAAGCAACCAATGTGTATTCATCGCTCGTTTCGGTAACTAACAATTTACATGCAAGTACATTTCAAATGCCTTTTACAATTTTTATATAGTTAAAGTGATTGTGAATTGCATGTAATAATACATTTTTAATATAAATGAGACAATAATAAATATTATAATAATTGCTTTTAAATTATTTCAGGTTTGGTTTTATATCATACAGAGATCAAATATTAATAATAATAAGAGAAAGTAAAGAGAAAAAAAAAATGCAGATTTGTTTTTCTATAAAAAATTACCATACACATTTTATTATTATAACAATAGCTAGCTAACGTGTCTTAAAAAAGATGAAAAAGACCTTGAATTCTATTTTTATTATTTATAAAATACGGCAGCGATACCATTTAATTACAATAAGTATTTATTTTAAATCAATTTCAATATTGTCTCTGGGCCAGGTGGTGTAGCCCGCACTAGGAATCACGCTGGGGCCTGCTCTCAACAACGTTTTAACTGAATCACAAAAACACTCACTATCCAATTAAATCAATGAAAAAGGGCACTATTACTTAGGAACAATCCTCTTGGCTCTTTCTCACACACTGTGCTACTTTCCTTTTAAACTCCGAATATGATTCCCTCCATTCTTTCTGTAAAAAGAAATATAATGAGCACACAACTACAAGTGTCGTATAGCGCCAGGCGGGCGCGGTTCAACTCTGTGGCATAGTGTTTGTTAATGTTGTATCACGCGGCCCTTTTCTGTGATTTTTAAACCCCTTTCACTCCTAAAAGCAATCCTCTTGACTTTTCCTAACACATCTGGCAACTTTCTTTTTGAAATCCGAATATCGCTCTCTCCATTCTTTCTGTGGATGCAAACAACAAAAAATATATATATATATGAGACAATATTTTATGAATGCAATGATTTAAACTTAAATAGTACGTTATACATAGTAAAAGTAATAAGTAAACTACATAAATACATTTAAAATTAACGACGAATTATTATTGTTTTCTTTTTACTACAAATACATAGGCCCAATTGGTCACAGATACTTTTATTTTCTAATAAAATAGAGTATATATTGCATATTTATCTAATGGTCAAAAATTATTTAAGCTGAGATAATTACATGAATATTGTCTAAAATTATACAGATATACAATCTACAAAGGGAAGCTTATAAAATAAGACGCGCTTACAATTTATTATATTAATTTTAAGAAAATGTAAATATTTTCACTTTTACTGAAATTTATCGATCTTTAAATATTTGATCTATGTTAGGGTTCAACTTGTAATCAAATATTTTGACGTTCTAAATATTTTTTAATTGATAAATGATCTGGTTGAGTATTCAATTTTGTTCTAGTGATATTGCTTTTTAAAGATTACTAGTATAGCAATAGCTAATTACTACATTATAATAAGTTACTGAGAAATAATGACAGTTTATATTACCTGCATCTTAGAGCTTAACCTGGCTATATAATAATATGTAAAGTGCCCTACATATTTAATTATGTTATGGTAGATTTCATTCAAATCCATTCAAGTGTTGAGTTACACACTATGATAATTATAGTATCATTGAATTTATTACATTGTAGGAATGTAATGTTTTTTCTGCCTACCAGGCAAGAGACTTAGTGTATAATATAGATAATGGCAACAGTAGATAAAATGAATGTGAGGATGGGCCCATTGCTTAAATCTTGTAATTTTTAATAATTGGTTGTAAATACAATTTTTTACACCCTCAAATGTCTTAAGAAAATGGAATGTAAGAGAAAAAGTATAAAATACATCGATATGACTCACCGCTGCATCTACATTTGCGGGGCTCTCGTCATTGGGGTCTGCAAGCATGGAGATAACACTGATAAGAATTGTCTCCACTGTGTGCACTGGTAACCACCGTTCACAAGCCTTTTCATAACCCCATTTGTCATCTCCAGGTTCATGAAGGATAGATATGCAAACATCACCATTCTTCTCAACTGCAATCATATTTAATTAAAAAGTTAATTATACACTAAATTAAAAAAAATACAACACTATTAACTCTTACTTTCGCACTGCATGTTTTATGGTTTATAAGAGATGGTAATTAACGCGACCATTTAGGTAAACTATGATAACTTATTTGAATTGTCTTGACGTTTTATTTGACCAGGTTACATTGGCTGTGGTCACGAGCAAACTGATGTAACACTGTCTCCACTTCTGAGACAGAAGCTTTTTCTTTATACCCACTCATTGTCCCACATCACAGAAATTGTACCACTATACTTAGGGTTTCTGCACACAACACTGATATTGTCTTTGTTCAATGCATTTATGGACTAGACACTATATATTTATATATATCAGTCTAGCCGTGTCCGCAACCAGTGTAATCTAGTCAAAACGTCACGACAATGCAGTCAAATTATCATAGTTTACATAAATGATCGCTTTAATTCCAGTTTCTCCTAACTATAAGTACAAGTGTCTCAACTTAAAGACAATAAAGATTTTGTGTTCACTCATTTGACCAGTGCTGTCTGCATTTGTCCTGTACTTCTATTTATATTTCCAATTAACATTCTAGCGATGGAAAACACCAATAACAAAGCAAATTTGAGTAACGGTGGTAGGTTGTTTATTGGTAGGTATTCTTAAGTCCTTGGCAAAATGACAGACAAATGTCTCTACCTACCCCATTGTAAATTTTAATCATCAATATTTTTGTTTTTTTAATTATATACATATTTAAATTTATTTTTTATTTAAATTTATTTACATGGGAGATATTTAAGAAAACTTGATATGAGGTGTCAAATTGCAGTTGTCAGTTGTGTCCCTGAAGGTTTCATATTAAAATCTGGTATATATTTTTCTGGTCTGTATTTCTACCTCTAAAATCCACACATGAACTATCAGGTGAAAGCTGTCATAAATAACTGATATAAACAATACATATACTTGTAAAAGTAATAGTTTTAATGTTAAAATAGAAAATTCAAGAGGACCTTGAGGTAAGTGATATAATAATTCATCAGGGCAATTAGTTTTGTTTATGCCCTTTATATTAGTGCCTCCTATTCTTATCCAATTGTTTTGTTTTACAAATTTTTGTTATATTTAGAATAGATAAAATAGTTCAGTAATAATTATAAATTTGTTATTCAATGTAGTATACATTGAATGTGTAGTAAACATGAAATATTAACAGCATTTATAATAAATGATGGCATCTAAATATCTGTCAATTTTGAAAACAACTGAACATTTCTTAATGTTTATAATTATTTAAAAAGAGATCTGCTAATAAACAAACATGAACACTTTATATTTAAAAACCATTTAAATGTAATTAAATACTGCTGTTTTTACATTTGTTCACACAAAGTAAAAACAATGTTCCAGATAAAAAAAAATGTATTGTTTGTGTATTATGGACTAATATTATTTTGTCTTATTTTTAAAGGACTTGTAAGAACAATATATGGCAAAATTGTTTACTTAATATGTGATGAATAAAAAAATATAAATATGGACATGGGTAATTGTAATATGCACAATGCAAACACTATTCCAAGTAAAATCTAATCATATTTATCATATTTATATTAACAACTGAGTACTAAATTTACACTTTACTTACTGTTTGGGTGCCATATTTCAGTGACAAATTTCATCCGTGGTGGCCTCAAAGGGTACTCTTTTGGAAAATGTAAGTGAGCTTTGAAAAATCCACCTTCACTGTAAAGTAATAAGCATTTAATTTAAGATAAACATTATAACAGAATTTTAACATATATTACCACAATATAAGAAAGTTATTACAAAGTAAATTAACACAAGTTAGTGTAAGATAGTTGCATTCATAAATTAAGCTTTTTTATTAAACAAACTAGGAGTTAAAAGAAAATCATAGTATAAGTTTGAAAATAAAAACACTAAATATAGACACAATAGACCAATCCAATGCAGGTATTATAATGAAATTAACCACATATTTATCAGATGGATAATCAACTTTGACTTGCAGATTTGTAGTGCTACAAAAGATCAAGTGTCAAGAGGATAGAGATTGTAATCATGTATTATTTATTTCATAATTTAGAATCCATTGTGAACAATACTTGTTACTCACTATAATGTGTCTGGAGGTCCGATAATGAGAACTTCCCATCTGTAAATATCATTGTCGTCAATTAATCCAGCAGAAAATCCTTCCACTGGATTCTTGTTTAATTCTGTAAACAATACATCATAACTTGGTAATAAGCTGAAGCTGAAAACCGGAACGACAACAAAACACCTGCTTCCTAGCCACTTTTACACATATAAAAAAAGTATCGTGAATCATTGCCAACTAAGAACCGTAAATATACATCGAATAATTTACTCTTTGACTTTGGCTCAGAATATATCTGTCACTGCGACAACTATCGATTTTATTTTTTAGGGAGCGTTTAACGCGGTATCTATCTAAATATATGTACAAGCCATAGAAATTATGACTTTGTAATATAAAATTTAATTAAAAATCACAAAGATTCCTTTATTTCGACCTGCTGAGGTCAATGATACCACGACAAGTCATTTGACGCTAAGAGTGACTCGCACAAATGATTTTTATAGCAAAGGTACACTTACCTGCTAGTTGCTTTTTTAATAAAAGCGAAGACTGTGGCTCTGACATTAATTACAATTGTGAAATTTACCCTGACGACACGAAGAAAATAATTTTTCACAAAAGATGGCTGGATGAGTTTTGAGAAGGTTGTGAAACATATGAGTTACTGCTTCTTATTTCCGGCGAGTAGTGTTGCCAATACTTACTAATAAAGATGAAAACACATCGATTTTCGTTTATTAATATTTTTTTTTTTATTTAACAATAAATTTTAAGCAAAGCTGAAAGCTTTGTAATTTTTTAAAAGAGCTTTGGATGTTTTGTATTGAGTAATATTAATTAATAAGTATATTTAAAGTAAGAACTAAACTCAACAGTGGCATTTTTTTTAATTAAAAGGAATCAACGATCGACGAGTTGCCATTAAAAAAAAAACAACAATAATACACTCAACACGATACAAACGATTACTATCGAATTGAATTTTTGAGTATATTTGATTTTTTTTAATACTTAAATAATTAAAAATAAAAGATTATTGAAGGAACTATAGTGCTGCCTCTGTGAAGCAATTAAAAACTAAAATAAATTTCTATTACTTTAGTTACTGAAGAGCAAATGGTCCTATTTGTCGTAGAAATGAACATTTATTTAACGATTAGAAAGCAATTGCGCTACCTCATAATTTTTTTTTAGTAAACAGCAATCATCTGTTCATTATCGCATACTCCCCCGAATCCCAACCCCAGTTCTATAGTTTATAAGTTGAGAAAAGTTATTTATCCAATCTCTATTTTTGCGTAGCTCTCAATTAATATTCTTACTACCTATTCACACACCGGTGTTCGCGTATTTTCTATTAAAAATACCGTTTTAATTCAGCATTTGCTCCATTTGTGTACTAAATCTCATTCAAATCCGTTCAGTCGTTAAAGAGTAACAAACATGCAAACAATAAAAAAAACTGACCCTATCAGGTGGAGCGCCACACGCTTCCACCTGAAAATTATTGTGATCTCACTGATATTTCGCTAGTGAGTAACGACAGCGCAAGCAAATTTGTCATTTCGTGTCCACCCATAAATTGTTCCAAAAAAATTTTTTTTCATTTAAAAACTATTAAATCGATTTTGATAAAATTTCTATGTAAGCACATCCTTTCAAATAAAGAATTTTTCAAATCAGTTTAGGTAACACACACTTAAAAAAAATATATAACCAAACCAAATTGAGAACCTCCTTTTTGAAACCGGTTGTAGAAAAGTGGTAATCAACTTTTCGTTTCGATTTTAAAATCGACCAAAGCTTAATTATGACAAAGACAACAAATAAAATGATGCTTAGACAAAGATTTTAGGTAAGAAGTATATATTTTTTACTTTTTCTTAGCATAAATTTAATTAACAAAGGAATTAAAAATCAAAACAATGATACTATTTATATGAATAAAGTTTATGTTTAGGCAAAATACAGTCTAGCTAACTTTTTCTTATTTTTTTAATCTGAGGTTCATTGTAACCATTAATTTGTCCAGGTTTGCGTTTCTTCTTATTTTTCTTTGTCTTATGAACATCTTTCTTTTGTTCAACTTGTGATTCTTGTACTTGCATTTTGTCTACATTTTTAATAGATGCTTTACATAACGTTACAATATCTAACAATGATTTTAAATCTATAGTGGATTTAATATGACAACTTTCATGGAACATTTTCATTGTATTTATTAACTTTCTTAATATTACAAAGAAATTACCCTTAACTTGGAATTCTGTTTCTTCCTGCAGAGTGGTTTTTAATCTGTTCTCAAATTTTGTCTCCAAGATAGTCAGCATACTTAACGTATTATCTGATGCTGGTTTATTTCTTTTTAAAGTGCGATAAAAGCCTGCAATTAGCTCTAATCCTTCGTTCCGACGAAATTGCCTCACATTACAGTTAAAGACATTGTCTATTATTGTGCTGACAAGTTCATAATTACCATCCCACTCTGACTGAAGAATATTGTGAAAGAAAATTATAGGTAATAAACAGTTTCTATTCTGGAAATAATTTTGAAGAGCTTCTGTAAGTATTTCTATAAGAGGTGAAGTAGAACCCTTTGTTTTTTTCATTAATTTTGATTTTTCAAAGTTAATCTTCTGGGAGCAATGAATTATGAATGTTGAGAAATAGGTAATAACATCACCAACAGCTTGGAATAGAAAATGAGATCTATCACCTTTGTCAATTGTACTTTTAAGATAATCACATAGAACATCAAGTGTAACATCATCTGTTGATGCGAATTTTTTAATTTTTGTTAGTATTCTTATAGTTTTTCTTACCCTGTTTTCAAGTTCACTAAATTGATTATCTTGTATACAAAATTCTAGACATCGCATTAATGGACCGATCATACCTAGACAGATATCCATTGCTGGATCTTTTTCCAAGTAAATATCTATAAGATCAAGAACTCTAATCCGGAAGTCAGAAAGTGCCTTCTTATCTTTTCGATCTTTTTTAGTTTTTCTACCTTTACCATGTTGAAATTGTCTAAAAGCTTCTGCGAGTGCTTCATCAAGTTTCCTGCCATCTTCCTCATTAATCATATCGGCATCTATACTTTCTGCATCACTTTCTGCTGCAACAGTGCCTAATGCTTTTTGTACAGCCAATCTCAATTGCTCAGGAGTTTTCATTTCCTCTTCTTCTTCTTCTTCTTCTAAATCACTCTCATCACTTTCTTTGCCGTTCTCTTTAGGGTTATCATCACTGTTATCATTTTGATCTTCATTTGAATCATTATCTGATTCATTATCTTCAGAATCACTATCTTGTGTTAATAGATCAGTCTCACTTTCTGGGTCTAATACAGAAACTATTTGGCCAATTGCTGAAGGAGTTAAAAACTCCCATAGAAGTCTAAATACACATTGTACTACAGACCTTAAGACACTAGAATCAACTGACAAGATAGAAAGCAATACTTCTACCAAGACTTCTATCCATTCTGGTTCATCTGACAGATCTCCTTCTTTTAAAGTTTTAGGTTTCTTTTTTTTACCTTTTCTGTAATGCTCATAACAGCTTTTCAGTTCTTTTATGGAACTTCTGGCCACTTTAACATGGGTTGGTTCAGAAAATAGGAATAAACCAAGTTGGTAAAACAAAATAAGAAACACTTTATCAACTTTTAAGCTGGAACCATTTTGTTCAATACTTTGACATACCCCTATAAGCATTTCCCAGCACTCCATACTCTCTGATGGAAACTGTTTCTCAAGTTTAGTACGGATTTGCTCTTTCTTCAAAATACTGCATACGAAATTTGAGAGAGCTGATAAAACGACGACCAAAGTATCAACATTTGAAAAGCGCGATGTGAAACATCGGTAAAAGCATGTTTTAATGGATCCTGTAAAAAATAATACAATATTAAATTCAATACCACTCAATGCTAATAATATAACAATACACTATATCAATTTTACCATTCCTGTTTTATAATGATTTATTTTAAGGTCAAAATTACAAAAATATTAATCAGATAAATTTATTATTAAATTTCAGAAATATATTCTAAATATCTGTTATCCTTACCTGATAATTCAGTTCCAACTGCCACATTTTCATCACCTCCAATTCTGAAAAATCCGAAACACATTAGAAGTTTCATGTATGTCAATTTAAATTCTGTGTCTTCTTTTACCGCTTCCTGAGTAACCAAGAAGGATAACAATTCTGCTGCTTTTACTCTCTCATAGTTATACCAGTTTCTCTCAATATCTTCTTTCACAAATTTCTTTGATGTATTTAATAACACTCCTTTTAACATTTTTGCCATTTTCTTTACACTGTCCTTGTCTAAATCTGCTATTATTGATTTTACCACAGTTGTTCCAGTTATTTCTGTGAAATTAATCTCTCCAGGACTGAATAGCAATTTCTTTAAAGTTTCAAGCCTTATATTATTTGTAACTTTATCAGATTTTAATGATTTGGCTAGAGTGTTCAGTAGTTCTTTCTGCTTTTTTATCATAATTTTGTGATCATCTTCATCATCTCTCTTGCTTCTTATTTTACTTGCTGTTTGCAGACCTTTGAACCAATCCATAAATAATTTGAAAAAGTTTTTACTGATTAGTTCTGGTATTGCATCGACATTGTCATCTATATTGTCAAGAATGGTAACTAGTATATTGAGTGCAGCTAATTCCCTGTTCCGATTATGCTTCACCAACTGACTGTCTATGCCTGAGGACCAGAAAACTTGAAGATGTGGCGACTTTGCAATGTGCAAACCGATTTCCTTATAAATCGGATGACTTACTGAGTTGAAGTCAAGTCCAGACTGTAAAAAATATATATTTTTAACTGTATATATATATAAAGAATATTATTAAAAAGTAGATAATTTAAATTTATTTCTTAATTTGAAGTACAATAATAATCATAATTGGAGGCAGTGTGAGAGGTCTACAGTATGTAATCAATTTACAGTTTTATTATTTAGAAATAAAGCAAGGGATTTTCTTTAGAAAATGTTTGCTAACTAAAATTACAAAAATCAAATAAGAAAAAATACAGGAACTTACCATGAGCTTCTCACATATAACATGAATGTTCTCTTCACAGAGAAGTTCTGACACTCCAAGCAGTTTCTTCATTTTTACTTTATTTGGAAACCTATTATTTACTACCATTAAGAAATACAGTGAGTCAAGGCTATGTTCCTGCAGACCTTTTTTAAATTCTTGCTTGATGTTAGTCCAAGTAATTAATGAGAACTGCTCTTCATTTAACTTAAACAAATAAAATTATTATATTAATAAACCCTCTTTCTCTTTAAAAACAGTTATCTCTACTATGAAAATAGTTATTGGTTGAACCTATTAAAATACTTATAATAATAATATTTGTAGTACTAAGCAGTACGATAAAAACACATAGATTTTTTACAACATGGGGCAAACCCGCATGCGGCTCACCTAATAGTAAGTGACTACCACCGCCCTGTCAGCCTTTTAAGGAATGCACTCTTCTCTTGAAGGTTATTAGATTATGTTGCAACATTGTTTATTCCATTATAGTATGTACCAATAAATTAGATAAACTCATGACTATTATATCACATAAGGATTTGACACAAAAGAGCCCTGGCATCAAATTATAACAGAGAAATATTTCTTTACGTTTATCATTATTATTGTCAAAGTACACCATGTGGTCCTAGCATAGAATAGACCACCCCTTCCTTTCCTGTAGGAGTTGTAAAATGCGACAAATATAACTTAATGGTAAAGGAATGGGCAGCAGCATCTTTTTTTAAACGTCAATAAAACCTAACTGTGGTCTCTAAACTACCTGCCAAGTGAAGTAACTACTGCAAAAACCCCCCTTACAGGGAGGACTATGTTCAGCAATAAACAGTTAAGGGCTGGTTTAATCTATGTAGATTAAACCAATAATAAGTTTGATTAATGATTGTTTGTTATCATAAATCAATAGAAAAAGAAATATATAATAGTTTTGTAAATTTAAAATATTGTTCTTACCCCATTCACAAAATCAAGGAGGATAAAATAAGCTACAGTGCTAAGATAGGATTTCTTCTTGCTGGCACCCAAGAGTAACTGTAACACTTCTTTCTGTTCTTCATCAGAAGATTTGAGCATCAGACCAGAGCGGAATACTGTTCCACATAATAGGATTTGTCCAAGAGCTACATTGCCAACTTCCTGTAAATATATCAAGAATGATAATATCAACACATAGGAACTACTTTAAGTCTTAAGCTTAATATATTTAAAAAATTGAAAAGCTAATTTTCTGTGGCTCCCATATAAGTGCTGTACCTAGATATAGTACCATAGGTTAAAAAGAGACTAAGCTAACATTTTCAAATAATAATAAAACCAAGTGCTCAACTAAAGCTCATACATGGAATTGTTGTACATAAATATAAGGTAAAATGACCTTTATTGCATTTTTCATACAAAACAGGCCTATTTATTATTCCTACTACAATTTGAATGTCTTATTTTAAGCTATCACCATCATCATATCAGCGTTCAACTGTCCATTGCTGAACATAAGCCTCCACCTCGTGGGGGTTTTGCCAGTAGTTGCTACACTTGGCAGGCGGATTGACATTTGTAGTCAGGCCATAATTGTGATTAAAAATTTGACAGCATAACTAACTTTGGTTTTAGATGTAATTTAATATTATCTTAAAAACAATGCTAGTTAGAAACATTACTTTACATTTCCTGTAATAATCACATATACCTTTATAAATTGTATTTCAGATAAAAGCAAATAATAATAAAAGATAAATTCTGATTTTTCACTTAACAAACTTCAAAAATAAAGGAGAGAATGGTTTTGTCTCATTTTACATACTAACATATAGTTAACTATTTGAACTAAACTATACTGCATAAAAATAAATAGGTTCTAGATGTACAAATGAAGCCCTGTCATATGATACCCCATTAGGACTAGTAGGTCCATATTTTAAGTGCCATTACAGAATAGGGGCACTTAAAATTTTAAAATTGATTCTAGCACAGGAAAATATTATGTGACTTAGGTCTTTTATAAAATATCTGGACCAAAACCATTTTTAATTTCAAATAATAGCATTGGTAGTTGCCGAGATTTAGCACTGTGACAGATGTACAGATGAACAAAGTCAAACCAAAAGGATTCCTTTATATCTTTTTGATATGGAACTAAAATTTTGCTCATTTGTTGCATAAAATATGTACAAAAACAGTCAAACTGAAGCCTTCAAGTTAATTAAAGATCTCTATATATTGCTGCATTAATCTGGTTAATTAAACTTTTATTATTATAAATAGTTACAGGTACAATAATAATAATCACCCCCCCCCCCCCCCACAGTATTGGTATTTATGAGTATGCCTTATATAGGTTTTTACTACAGACTTAATGTTTGTATTTAAAAAATAAGCATACAAAGTCCTATCTTTGGAAGTAGGTTATACTATACATAATAATATTTAATAAACTTAATTTATTTATGTAACAACACTTATCCAGTTACTTACACTTTTAGATGAACTATTAGCATGAAGTTCCTTCTTTACAAGATCAAGTAGCTGTGATATTGTTATATTATTGAATTGGTTAAGGATTACTGCTAAAGTTGCAAAATGACCAATCCTCATTTCGGCTACATTTGCTCCCAAACTTCTTACCAAACGCTTCATTACATACTGAATATCTTTTTCATTCTGAAATAATAAAATATGTTCATATTTTTTTTATTAGTTACCGTTAAAAAATTTATAACTATACATGTAAATAATTGTAAGTACAAGCTAGCATTCAAAGAGTTATTTAATCATTATTAATTATTAAAAGAAAGTCAACATCTATATTGTTTGATGTAACTGTGTACAACTAGTACACAGTTACATTAAACAATATAGTTCAGAAAAAAAAATAACTTAAAATATTAAGCTTTTTCTAATGAAACTGGGATTAGTCCCAAATGCGAAAAATTAGTGAGTAGCCTTAGAGGCGCTTTTACACTATGTACACTTCTTTTTTTCTTCTAGATAATTATTATATGATATAGCAAGATCTAACCTCACTATTTTGAAGCTGTGATATAATTTTTACACCACCATTCAGCTTTTCTTCATCTTTTGTTGCTTTAAGTAAGTCAAAAGAATCTAAAACAGAAGCGGTAACTTTAAGATCCTTTTGTGGTTTTTGTAATTCCATTTCTCCTACCATTGTAGTTATCTATATAGAAAAATATGTAATAATCCACATGTATGATATTAAACATAACCAAAAAGAACACGCTTTAAACATAGTCTATACGATTTGAAATAGAACTTGGCTTACAAAAATATATCAAAATGTCATTCAAACATTGACTGACATTTATTTGACTTTGACTGATTAAGTTTTTTAAAGTCAGAACAAGAACTACCTATTTCGTTCCTAAGAACATGTAATTCCTTGTTCTTAGTTTCGTTCTAAGATTTCGTTGGTAGTAGATCAAAAAGACTCCACAATAATAATTTGTGACATTGAGAGGTAATTTGGGTTTCTATTTTATTTTAGATGAACTTAATTATGTTATACAGGCACGCAATTATTACAGTTTGTAAAATAGAGAAAACAGATTAGCTCTCGACCCCACATGGAGTATTGCTGTTACTTATGGACGGTAGCACCTAAATACCATTTTGAACCCTTCGACTAGTTGCAACGATGAGCTATGAGAATTTTCGATGATCTCAGGCTCACAAGCGTTATCAAACCTTTAAGTCTTAGGAGAGATTTTGCCTCACTCTGCGTGTTGTACCGCTTGTACAACAGATTGTGCTCAGAGAAATTGTTCAATATGATGCCCACAGCCACTTTCTACCATCGTACGGCTCGCCATCGACAGGGAGTTCATCCTCACGTCCTACAGCCTCAATAGTCGTATACAGCGCGGTTTTAGAAATGTTTCCTCCCACGAACACTCAGGTTATGAAATAAGTTCCATGCCGAGATTTTCCCAAGAGCCTACAGCATGGGATTCTTTAAAAGCGGGTTAAAGAAGTTTCTTCGGGGTCGGCAACGTACGCGTAATACCTCTGATATTGCAGGTATTCATAGGCTACGGTAACCACTTACCATTAGGTGGGCCGTATGCTTGTTTGCCACCTCAGTGGTATAAAAAAAAAGCTCTGTCTTTGTCTTACAAATAGCAATGGATACGTACCAGTCGCTTGATTATTTACGGATTTTATAAAACTAAGAACAAGATTTGTATCTACTACACATATTGTTTTAAAAAAAATCTTTTTTTTTAGTATGTTCCGTTGTGGAACAGGCTAAGGTCGGAGACCATGCTGCCTAGTCTTCAATATGATAATTTATCTGGAATCTAAAAATTTCATTGTAATGTCAAATTTAAAATTTAACTATAGAGATAATATAGTATAAGTTTAGAAAATGGAGGCACAGAATCGACCCATTGTTCTTTTTTAACGGCTGATAATGGAATGGTAACCCTGCCTGCGTTAACAGTAAACGCTGATGGGACACTAGTGAGAGACGATATGTGACAATGAAAAAGCAGGTCAATTAGCTCATCATGATGAATAAACTTGGAATTTAGCACAATGGTTTCCAGGGAGGACTGCGTGGATCTCGATTTAATTGGGTATATTGCGTTTTACGGTATCTTAAGAGTCGACAATGCGCGCGTTATATCCATTCCAGACGACTATAGGCTTCGATGACCCCATTTATCATCAAACAGACCGTATGCTAAAACAAAAATAAAACTTTTTTTATGCCTGATAAAAAAAAATCACAAATATTGTAACATCCAAAGTAATACAATAGCGACATGTTAAAATCAATTGTACCAATTCTTAGGCATCATTTTCCTAATCTATCTCTTAATCTAATATTTTAATTTGATATTTCGTAAAATTACTGTTTTATTTACCATCTACAATAAAGAAATGAAGCTTTGAATCGACAACAATATACTCTTTCTTTTTTCTTAAACAGCAATTGGTCGTTATTTTTACTACTATTTCTGCTACCTTCATGAATAAGGGCCTCGTAGTGGAGATGAATAAATAATTTAAATAACTGGTTTAATTTTAGGATTTTTAGTATAAAAAACATAAGAATGAGTTTTTATATGATGGTATATAATTTAAGAGTATAGTATAACTCTAAGGGCATAATGACCGTGTAAGATCACAGTTTATAGCATTCAATATTCTGCCAATATTGATTTCATTATATTTTCTATGTTGAAAAATGTTTTTTTTTTTGTTTTACTAAATCTAATAAAATATTAGAACAAAGTATGTAATAAAAAAATGTTGTTCCAAAAAATAGAAGATATAGACAATCGATTGATTTTGCAATTTCCAAAAGTATGTTCACGAACGCGTCTGTCGCAGCACTAGTTTCCAAACATGGCAGGTCGTAGTGGCTTTGATGATGGTAATCCCAGGTATTAATTTTGATATATTATTACTAATATACATAGTATGTTTTTTTGAGGTGTTTTAAAAGTTATTGCAACGTAATATTAATGTACATATAAATTTTTACTAATAGTACTAATGAATTACCGTTGTTTTACCTACTTGATAACATTGAACAAAAGTGTGGTTTTTATAAAAGCTTATGAATAATGTACAGTTTGGCGTTAATATTCTTGTATTATGTAATATTTACAAGTAAATGATACATTCATTTACTGTATCATTTGGTGTTTAAATGCATTTTTGTAGGTTGTACATTTTATGGTTATGGTTATGCCCACAGGGATTTTGGTGGCGGTAGAAGGGCACTCGGAGGCCGTCCGCTGCCCACCGAGCCCCCATACAAGGCTTATGTCGGAAACTTACCTCCTGGAGTTATTCAAGGCGACATTAACAGAATTTTCCCCGTAAGTGGACGCTTAAACCCAGGGTAGCTGGTTTTCCTCCTTAATTTTCTCCTTAATTCTTTTTATTTATGTACCCTATAAAAATGTATATATCAATAGACATTTATGGAATATTACATTGTTTTATATATAATGTATATGTAATAATAATTTAAATATTTGTGATTTTATGACTGTTATGTGAGGTATTAACCATTAAATTACAATATGATTATTGCATTATTTAATACTTCTAGTTACAGTAGTAACTGTATGTATAACATGTTGTGCTTTTAACTCCTTAGCTTTTTGTCATGCTCTGTTTGTTTGTAATTGGCACATATGAGTTAACCAAGCCAAAGACGTTTGTGTCAGTTTGGCTCAACTAATAATAATGAAATTGACATTGCACAATGTATGCCAAAGCTCATAGTTATTCATTAAGCCATTATAGTAACAAAAGATAATAAACAAACTTTCTCATTTAATCATAAATATAATCATTAAATGTGTTGCCAAATGCAAACCTCAAGAATAAGTGATGAACAGTGAATACCCTTAGTAGTTTATTTTCTTTTTCAAATATTTAATGAAGTCCTGTTAAGATTTTTATTAGGAGAAAAATAGGAAAAATTGCATGTAAAAATCATTGTTGTTTTCATTTCCGTACATACTGTAATTTTATAATAATATTGTTTGTACTTTTTTAATAATATTGAAATATTATTTTTAAAATAGAATTTATTATGTTTAATATGTTATTTATTATTTTTAATATATTATTATATTTAATATATTATTATATTTAATATATTATTATTTTTAATAATTATGTATGTCGTTGATTGTAATTTGAGTTTGGAATATTTAATTTTCAATTTTGCTTTATGACTATAACACAATGTTAATTTGATTAAATGTAATGATTATAAATTTACACACAGTGTATAACCACGGTATCACTGTTTAATTAAACAAAGTCCATTGATAGCAGTAATGAATATGCCCAATCTTTTATACCAATATTGTAATCTTTGTTCCTTGAGGAAAATTGCTTTTTTAGATTTATAAATTATTTCTAGCTTGGTACATCGACTCTTTTACAAGCTGTATATATGTACATTGTTTCAGGACCTAGCAATAAAAAATGTAAGGTTGGTGATGGATAAAGAAACAGATAAATTTAAAGGTTTCTGTTATGTTGAATTTGAATGCCTTGAGGATTTGATTAAAGCAATTGAAATGAATGGCGCTATTAATGTAGAAGGTAATTTTATAAAAATTGATGTTGCCGAAGAGAAAAGAAGTGACAGGTGAGTGTTTTTAATAAATTTCTTAAACTTCCATCATAATTTTATGTTGACATAATTTTCAAGTGAGACAGTATTGTGATGAACACAAGACTGACATCAAACAAGATAGTAAAGCTTATAATACTAAGTCATTTCAAAAGATGGTAAAGAGCACAAGGTATATTTTTTACCGTCCATTCCATTCATACCATAAATTCCATTTTGTTTGAACAAAAATTTTAACCATATTTTTTGTGCAACCCATTTTTAAAATTCATAACCATTATTATTTTATTTTTTATCCCATTGAGGTGGCAAACAAGCATACACCCCAACTGATGATAAGTGGCTACATAGCCTATGAACGCCTGCAATACCAGGGGTATATAACCCCTTTACCCCCCTTTTGAAGAACCCCATGGTGTAGTCTCTTAGGAAAACCCCGGCAGGGAGCTCATTCAGTAACTTAAGTGTTCGTGGGAGAAAACATCTCTGAAACCACATTGTACTCGACCATTTAGGCTGTAGGGTATGTGGGTGAACTCCCTGTTGATGGTGAGAGTGTCTATGGTAGAATGTGGCCGGGGCATCATATTAAATAATTCCTTTGAGCACAATCCATTGTACAAGCAGTAGAACATGCAGAGTAAGCCAAAATCTCTCCTAAGACTTAAAGGTTCAATACCGCTTGTAAGCCTGGGATCATCGACAATAGAATAAATAGATTATTAATTAGTTGTCATTTTATGTATTGGCACAGTAAATGTTTTCTTACATTGTGTTATGATTGAATGATTTTATTTACATTTTAACAATGTGCTGCATTTCGATCCACACATCAAGAATGTAGCCTTACACATTGGCTACACATATTTTTTTTACTTCAACTTTCAAATATTTCACTGTTAATCACTAGTCTTTATTCATAAAAGAAAGATTCTAGCTTACTATTATCACACTACCTGAATGACTCGCTGTTGACTTATTTTGAATTCCTTCTTTTGTACTATTGTATTCTTTTATTTTGTTACTTGCCTCTTCCGACATCTACAATGTGATAATACATTGAATTTACTTACTCTATGGCTAAATTTTTTTTTATACATCTTTGAATGCAAAAGTACTTGATGACTCATCTGATGGAAAGTGGTAATTATTGTCCATAAATATGATGCACAGCACCATGTATTATTCTCAAAGACTGTTGTTATGTAACTATACTCTGTAATTTCATTTCTGTATCCCACCTTTTGAACTAAAACAACCATGCAAGCACAGCTGCTTAAGTTGTGTGTGAGACATGTGCATGGGACAATGGTATCCAAGCTAATGACTTGTATAAAATTGCATTAATACACAGTAAATTGATATTCTGCAGAGGAGGAGGCTTCGACCGCGGTCGAAGAGATGGCAGAGATGGACGAGACGGACGCGGAGGCGGGTTCCGGCAGGGCGGTGGCGGCGGCCGTGGTATGTACGACCACTTCGACGGACTCGACCGCCGCGCGCCACGCCACCAGGGTGGAGGGTTCACACATGGTAACACGCATCACTAACATTCTTTTAGAGACTTACCGATCCGCTGGACCTATTTGTCTTTTTATTTGTAAATGGCATATGGAGTTATTATACTATATTCTGTTACTCAAATAATTCCAAACACCAAATTTCTCAATTAAGTTTATGTTGAAAATCAAGATGTTTTGGGATATTTAAGGTAAAACATTGGCAGTTAAATAAAATATATATATATATGTATATATATGTGTATGTATATATATGTGTATATATATATATATATATATATATATGTATGTATATATATATATATATATATATATATATATATATATATATATATATATGTGTATATATATATATATATATATGAAATAAGAAAGTTCAGTAAAAAAAGTTATAAGTGCTAAAACTGGTAATTGAAGTGTTTGCATATATTTCAATACATCGGTCAGTCTCTAATAAGCATCATATAATCACTGGTGGCATACATGTGCTTTGACTAATAAATTGCATTGTTTATTGTTCTGCTGGATTTACACACTTGGCAGTTGCCATAATCCCTAAAAGCATATACAAAGTGCTTCAAAAGTAAAACTATATATCTTGAGAATAGTGCTTTGCAGATAGAACTATACACATTGAAATTGTATTGTAGAGAGGCAATAAATTGAATACTGGATACCTTTGTGCTTGTGTGTGCTTGCCGTGGTTTACCAAATGTGTAAATCTCAAATTTTAATGCTCATGTTTTAACATAGTAATTACAACATTTGTGTAAGTAATGACATTGTAGTGAGTGTGGTTAAATGTTTTATGTTGCTAATTCTAAGGTAAGCTTAACTACTACTCTTCTTGAGAGCTTCTGCCTACCCTAATGGGAGACAGGCGTGACAGATATGTATGTATGTTTTTTAGTATTGATTTTTGTTTTTTTTTTTTATCTAGACTGTTTTTTTTTTTCTATTGTTATCTATTTATAATTAATATTAGGAATGTGAAAGTAACTCTTTATATACTGTAAATATTTGATTTTTACATCTAACAAAATGGCTGAATCAATTTTGATGTCAGATTTGGTATAGGGATACCTTAAACCCAGGGAAGGGATCAATTTTTTCTTATAAACTCTTTTAGACATTACTTTTATATAATACTAGCAACCCGTCCTGGCTTTACACGAGTGCAATATTTATTTGTGTAACTTTTAAACTTTTCAACACATTTTTGTTAATAATAATAATAATAATATTTATTTAAGAAAGGCTGGTGTGTATGAAAGTACTGCACTAATACTCTTTAAGATTTTAAAATGAACGACTTATTTAGCAATGTGATGTGCGCGCGTTTATATAATTCCTCTTGCGACTTTCATCTCCGCGCCTTGTCTACTATTCTCCCACGGCCAGCGCCAGCGACGATGCAATAATTTTATTGGCTTATTGTTTTTATTTCGCATTATCTTTTGACCAACTGCAGCTATTAACATGCTGTAAAAAGTAAATATAGCCATGGATTTTTTATTTTGATTTAGCTTTTTTTTTTTTTTTAAAATATTTGTAGAGTATTTATTTGTCTGTATCCAAACTTAATATTGTAAAATTTATTTCACTTAAATCATAAAAACATTTTTTTTTTTTGGCTGAGATATTAAACTTAGACATATGATGTCCCGGACTTTTTTGTAAAGCGTAGTGATGATTATTTTTCCTATATATTTTATTCCATTATTTTTTTTTATGCAATTTAGAATAGCAAACACTGCCGACCAACCTGATGGAAAGTCGTTATATAACCTAACAGTTAACAGTATACATAACAGTATACTATTTCGCCCATGATGTTTGCCATTCCTGAGGACTAGGGTGTTATTCCTCTGTACCCTGTAAATTCACTGCCATATCCCACCCTTCAAACTGGAACACAGCCATGCAAACACAACTGCTTCACGGTAGAAATACGAATGGGACAGAGGTGCCTAAGCAAACGACTTTTTTACAAAGTCTGCCTCTGGTATTTAATTGAGATGTATAACAATATCTTTTTACTTGTCGATAGAATATATAGCAATTAAATTGTGAAGTCTGACTTCCGAGCTTGGTAAAACCTGCATGTAACTAACTTGTTGAGTTGCTACAATAATAGGTACTCTAGCAATTAATTTTTTTTTAACAATTTATATTCTGCTTTTGCTTGCTTTGGTGTTAAACTTAAAATTGTAATTGCTCTAATTTGTCGGCAATTGGAATAACTAACTGTATCACGGCATGAATTTGTGAATTTTTATCGTCATGACTATTTAAGAGATGCATTTAATTTCCGGCGGAGATATCATGAATGCGGTCGAAATTTAAAAGCGTCTACATACTATTTACATACCATTTTGCTTCCTTTTTATATCATAAAGGTCAATTTGTACTGGACTACGGTAAGATAAATTAGACACTTAAACATAATTATCCAAAAAAGAAACCAGTCAGTCGTAGGACTGTAGGCCAGAAGTGAAAATTTTGCTTCTTAAACTTGTAAGGCTACCTTTGGGCAGTTAGAAGTATTTATTGTTTTTATTTGTGTATTTATTGTTAGAAATCGTTTTTATACTCGTTTTCATATCAACGTATTAATATAGTATTTTTTTCTTTTATTGTTCTATTTTATAGGAATAAATAAATATAAATATATATATATATATATATATATATATATATATATATATATATATATATATATATATATATATATATATATATATATATATATATATATATATATATATATATATATATATATATACGAGTCACACGACTTCAGCCCTTTCATCCCAAAATGAGCGTAACACACCTAAAATAGTTTTCATTTTGTTGAAGTTTTCACTTAAAAAAAGAAGCTAGATCAAAATCGCTTTATCCTTTGTTCAGTTTGTATCTGACGATAAAGTCTGTCTGTAATATTATCGTTGTGAATATAAGTAAAGTTATTTGATGTTTACTTCTACTTTATATATGAAGCACGAGAAACGCCTATAAAATCATTTGTTTATATTTGTTATTTATTGTTTACTACCTAATTTATGTACAGAACAAGTTATAAAAGTAACTCCCACTTGACCAATTTTTATAACTACCTGTATCCTGTGGCTTCGCCCGTGGTCATATTGTGATGTTGAATAGCTTATAACCTTCCTAAAAAAATTAGTCATCAACTGCAAAAAGAATTTTTCAAATCTGACTAATAGTTGCAGAGATTAGCGCAAACAAACAAACTTTTTCACTTTATATATTACTATAAATAAGTAACTATAATTTTTAATTGGCTTGGTTTGGTTTAAGAACTTTTTTTATGGATGATACAGAAATGTTATCCACCTGCGTTTTCGGTATACAGTAGCGGGGCACCAGTGAGCAAAGATAGATGTGGATGAAAACTGCGTGGTCGACCTAAACAATGAGGCTGCTAGTCCTCATTAACAATTCCTCTCCTTGTCTAAGCATTTGCAGGGAGATATTACCTATCTAGATCAGGGGTCTCCAAACTACGGCCTGCGAGCCAAATCCGGCCCACCAGTGTCATTAATCCGGTCCGCGATTGTTTAAGACTAGTGTCAACAATCCGGCCCGCGACAGCCAAGAGCAGACAAATTAAAACGGTTGTAGCCCTTGGAACGTATTAGAAAAATCATTATGGCCTCAAGTTTGGAGATCCCTGATCTAGATATGAATAATACACATGATACGTCTATAGATCGCGAGCGAGGAGGCAATGGGCCCGGCGGCGAACGGTGGGGAGACCGAGACAGTGGCCCGCGCGGCGACCGCGACTCGGGGCGTGGCTCTCGCGGGCCATCAGAGGAGCCCCGCGGCGGCGACTGGGGCCGCATGGGCCGCACGGGGCCCGGCGCACCCGCCACGAGGCCGCCCGGCGGGCCCGGAGCCGCCTCCGGCAGGCGTAACTTCGACGACATGCCTCCCTCACGGCCCGGTAACTTACACCTATTTTTTTTCATTTTATGAATAAAATTATAAACCGATTACATAGGGCTCTTCAAAGTGCGTAATAACATTTTTTATAGGTCAGCAATACGAGCATGACATCCCTGGTGTTACAGATGTCCATAGGCTATGGTAATCGTTTGTTATCAGACGGGCTTTATGCTTGTTTGCCACCATAGTAAATTTAATAAATTAGTTTTAACTCTTACTAATGTAAGAAGGGCGAGGGATGGGCAGCAGTGTCCCTTTTAAAACATCTCTAAAGGCCAAACTGCGGTTGCTAATCCGCCGTCAAGCGTGGCAACTACTGACAAAACCCCCCAAGTCCCACTTGGCTTATGTTCAGCAGTGGACAGTTAAAGGCTGTATGATGATGATAATGAATGTATGAAGTTAGAGCTGTGCCTCTGTACTCGGCGGCATAGCATGACTTGACTCCCTGGAAGACTAGTCTGTAAACCACCGCAATGCAAAGAAACGTTATCGGCTTCCGAGTGGTATCGAATTCCGATAGTTATACCAAAACAATCATCGCTCTCTTATACTGCCCTATGACGTCAATATATAAGCGAATGAGAGCCGCCGCTGGCTACTATCACTGCTATGGACTAGTGTTTGATGGGGTTGAAAATATCCATTTTTTTTTTGTACATTTTACTTAATAATTATGTTTTTGAGGCCAGATTCAAAACTTTTTTGTTAATTCTATTTTCACGTTAGATTAAGTATCATATATTGCATATAATAATATGTAAGCTGTGTTAGTTTTATAATAAATTGTATAAACAGTTACGTCTTCCTGTCCAACCCTCATCAGAACACATGGTTCGTAAAGGGGACTTTTATTTATGCTACTCTTATGTGAAAGTGCCAGGTCTTTCCTAATAAACAATTGTAATTCTTTTTTTTTTTACCTTTTTTTAATAGAAAGAATTTATATTTTAAATATTGAATATTTTAAATTAAGGCCACCTTCATTTACTTGTTTGTTCTATACTCATAAAACATGTATTTTTTACAGACACAACGGGTAGACCAAAACTGAAATTAGAGCCGCGGACTGTAAAAGAGCCATTGAATTCACTAGCATCGACCAGTCAGGCGTCGTCAATATTCGGCGGCGCACGGCCGCGGGAAGAGCGGCTGAAAGAGCTCGCGGGCGAGTAGAGCCGCGCCGGCCAGCCCTTAAATACCGCATACTCTCATTTCCCGCGTGTACATGTATCGTCCCGTCACCCAATCGATCCCATCTGTGTGCCCCGATATTTAAAAGTGCAGACTAAAATTGTATATGAACTTGATGGATTTTGTTAGGTTATGAGGTTGTAAATCATTTTTATGGTATATTTTCTTAGCTTTATTATATGTATTGCCGATCGAGCAATTTTTTTAGTAGGCGACCCATTTTCGTCTCGAGTGCGAAAATCGGCCGCTTGGTTGGTAACTGCAGTATTTAAATTGCTAGCATTTGTTTGTCCGTTTTTATAATTATCAGAGCTTGTGTGTATTGTATCGGCTTGCATAATAAAAAAACTTATTCGCAATTTAAATACGGAAATATTTTTTGTTGGTAATAATACTGTTACAACTAATGTAATGCAAACAATTATTATTTTTATTTACTTATGTGCACTCTATTTCGCGATTTTAAGAGCTTCGTAAAGATTCTCTGTTGTATTTGTTTATCATATATTGTTTAGTTTGATAGGTCATGGAAAATAATCACTGAAGGAGTAATTATGAAAGATAATTTAAGAGTTGATAATATAATGATGTTGTTATTACGGCGTCATTAGTAAAATTAACTTCCACGTACTTGGATTTCTACTTTATTATTAGACATTGTGTAATGTAATAAGTTACGTGGCAAAGAAATAAAAAAAAATCGCAAAATTGTAACAGAATATAGAAAAATAAATAAAAAATGAATTCTTTGTAACCGAGGGTTTATCTGATAACTCGTGCCTTTTCCAAATCCTTTCCTGTTCTCTTTGCATTATAAAATACAAAAGTTTTTCTAATTAAACAGTTTCTTCTCCCATGGGAAACTATGTTTTTTTTTTTTCAGAATAAAATTTAATTTATATTTGTTTATGGATTAATTTTAATCCTTGTTTTATTTAATGCAATTATTCAACATTAGGAATCCAGCCCAGGTTCGCATGTATAGACAAACTTTCGAAAATAATATAGCCTATGTTACTAATAATGTACCTCTCTTTAGGTGAAAATTTTTTTAAAATTGATCTAGTAGTTTTTGTGTTTAGCCATTACAGACAAATAATCAAATCTTTTGTCTATATAATATTAGTATAAAATTGTAGTAATTAGTTACAATAATTCACATCTTAACGTCAAAATGCCCACTTCACATCTAGTACAGAAAGTATGAGTGGGTAGGGATTGTTAGTAATGCAGACGACCAGTTCTATCTTTTCTTTTCAATAGATGATAATGGATGAAATCTCACCCATACTATCAATATATACTGACAGGGCACCATTAAGGGATAATTGGTGACGATGAAAAGGCAGATAAGCCCATCGTGACAAATTCATTAATAAATTAGTCATGATGGTTTCCAGAGGGAACTGCGTGGATATCACCCTGACAGAGCATATTGATAGCAATGGGGACTAATATCCCTTTCTACCCCCATTACCAAACCTACACTTATGGTAGATGTTGGCAAGACACCAGTTGGGGATGATGGCAAGTAAGCGTAAAAATCAACTTGATAGAGTACATTCCTAACAATGGTGCTGTTGGTCTCCATTAATAATCCCTTCTCACTTCAGACTTCCAATGTTATGAGTATTCAGAGGCTCTACAGAATAGTAGCTGTTTTCCTCATTGTATGAAACAATTGATTATTAATATAGCAGAAAAATAACAAAAAAGCATGTAAGTAAATTTATTATATATCTAAATCTTCATCTGGATCTTCTTCGTCCCAGTCATCAACAGCATCAGGCTCATAATAGACTTTACTTTCCCCTTCATTTATTTTACTCATATATGGTAACTTTAATTTGTACTTTTCAAGTTTCTCTGTTTGATCTACTTCTATTTTGAATGTAGAAAGATTTCCTGGAGAAGGCTTCTCCGGTTCATCATCAATTATAACTTGTTTCACTATTGGGGTGCACTTCAATGTTCTAGTTTTCGCGTCATAACTTAGTAATTCTTCACTTTTTAGGCATTTACCTCCTTTCTTTATAAGAACTTTAATTTTGTTAACCTCTGTCAAGTCATATGAAACCACTGCACTCGCTATATGATTTAAATGGATCTGTAGTTTCGAAGAAGGCGGAAGACAATCCTTGTGTAATACTAATATAAGTTTGCTAACGTTATTATCATATATTAATCTTTTTATACATTTTAAACATTCATTCCAACCTAAACATAGTGACATTTGTATCACAGAATCTATTATAACGCAGCATTTCGTGTTTATATATTCATTATATTGATGAGTATTTAACTGTTCGTAGAAAATAGTGTGGGTTCGGTCCTTAAAAACGTTTTTCCAATAACAAATTGGCTGTTCATATGCAAAGAATATAAGAGGATTACCATCTTGTTGCACCAAATCCAATAATAATGGTAATATGTTCTTGTTGCTGTCGTCTTCGAGTAATATAGTAGGTGCAGATTTTAACTTAAATAATGACATTTTTTTACAAAATTAAAGAGTTTAAATTACTTTGAAAATGAAATTAATAAAGCAAAATTAATAATATTTTTAGATAAATACTATATAAATACCTAACAAGTAGTGTTGCCAGATAAAATAGATTGGAATTTGCCAAAAATTGGATTCCAAGTATCCTAGTAACCTAATTTTTAATTTAACATAGCTTACAATCGTCAAAATATACCCCTTTTAAAGTTTCGGCTCGTTACGTACCTGTAAATATATTTTAATAAAATTTATAGAGACCAGTCTATAAGTATATTCTTTCATATAAAAATAATTTTCCAAATTCGTTTTTAACTGAAGGAGTTATGAGGTAACAAACTTAAAAAAAAATTGTCGTGTGGTCCAAAATAGGTCACCCAAACCGTCATATAAAAGGGAAAGGGATTATTAGTACTGCAGATTACCAGTCCCATTGCTAGCAATATGGGATATATATATATATATATATATATATATATATATCCTATCAGATCGATATTTTTGTATTAAATCCTAAAAAGTTAAAGGTCCATAACAACACATTCACTCTTGTAAGGTTGAATTTGTTAAAATCAAAGTGATTTTAATAAATTCGAAATTATAAATTCCGAAACATATAATTGCCGCAAGAACGATACCTTATATATGTTATTAATGCTCGCTATAAATTTAATAAGTTTTGATATTAAGTGATAGGAAAGAATAAACGGTACTTGTGTGCCACTAAATATCCAGAGACTAGGGTAAATACATTTTAAAACTTGTTATCTTTTCAAACTCAGTTTCAAATTATATTTATTTAAATATACTTGTATACAAGATCTTATAAATCGTCATTTTTTTAAATCTACTGCAGGGTTTGGAAAATTATTATCTGTTGAGAAGAGCCTACAAGAAACTCAACAGTCTCAGTTTAAATCTATGTTAATATTATGTGTATTTATTGAAATGTACTATATCTAAAATTACATGGTCGTTAATAGCCCATGCATGATCGACTAACACCATGCATATTTATTATTGATGTAATCGTTTAGTGTGTTTTGTTAGTAATAGGCTTCGTTGTTATACTTTGAACAAGTATGTTTAATAACAGTTTTAAACTTATATAGATCTAAAATATTTTTCAGTTTCTTATTATAACATTTTTTTGTCTAATTCCATAAAATTCCTATTATTTTTTTCTAAGTGATACTTCGAAACAATAGGTTTGTACTTGTATCTAAAGTTAATGTTATCTTTTGTTTATTAAAAACAGCGCTGTTTTTAAGAAACAGTTGAAAAGTTCTGTTAAGATTTTATTAAAGTTAGGTAATAATTGTTAAAATTATAAAAATTTTACATTGTGTTATTTATAGGTTAATTTCGCAGAAATTTTCTTCAAGATACCTTAAATGGCGACTAGTCGCCAATTGCAATTTTCGGTCATCCTGACATACTTCGAGATAACCTGACAAGCAAAACCGCCTAATCTGGCATCACTACTTATGAAAATTGACAGCACAGATTTTGACAGCTAAATAAATTTTAAAATCAGCACGATCTAAGAACAAGGAATTACATTTTGTTCATTGGGCGCTGTTAATGTGGATATCTATTTATAATTAAAATAACTAATAATTTTATGATGTTATTATTTTTTTTTTTTTTTTAGTACGTTTGTTCCGTTTGGAACAGGCTAAGGTCGGAGACCATGCTGCCTAGTCTTCAAAAAGATAATTTGTCTGGAATTTTATTTTTCTAATGTCGCTTCAATTATTGTCATAATCTTCAATATTTCATTTGTCAAATCCGGTAAGTACATTTTCATAAATATCTTTTCTTGAGTTTTCTTAAACCAGTGGATTTATCAAATTAAAAATAAATAATTATAAAAAATCATTGTCTTGCAATTCAATAAAAGTATTCTTATAGCTCCTTGAATGTTGTAGTAATATAAGTGAAAATAGCTTTGAAACAAGAAGGAAATCTTAAGAGAAGCGGGATTGAGTGCGGGATATTTTCGGGTTTTTTGAAGATAATCCTAAGTTCGTCAAACATAATGTGTCTTTGAATGACAAATTCAGAGCAATCAAAAAAAAGGTGATGTAGAGATTGGGCTGTATTTGAGTTACACCATGTGCATGATGGGGAAGCGATCATGCCCATTCGGTGCAGGTGTTCGTTGAAATGTCCGTGGCCGATTCGTAATCTACAAATATTGGTGTAAAATTTTCTGTTTGTGTCCTTTCCTTTGCAGAACCACGGTTTTCCAATACGCCAATTAATTTTGCGGTACCATTTGCCTTTAGTCTGTAATATTTGAGTCCAATGCTCCTCCCATTTAGTTGTAACGATTTTATGTATTCCAATACTACAATCTGAGTAACAAAGGGGTAAATCTTGAACACGAGCAGCACTTGAATTAATAATTTTAGCCAAAGTGTCTACTTGTTCATTCCCAAACACTCCAATATGTGAAGGGGTCCAGATGAAGATAATATCTTTTCCATATATAGTACAGAGATGATAATATTTATTACGAATTTCTTGAATTAAGTAGTTTGATGATGAAATGAATGTGTTATTTTTTAATGCCATAAGAACACTCATACTATCTGTAATTATAATCCATTTCGAATATAGTACCTGTTTTTCTATGTATTCTAATGCTAAAAATATAGCTTTTGCTTCTGCTGTGTAAATACTAGCCAAAGTTGAAATTTTATAACCGTGACCAAATCTATTTGACAAATCGTAAAAAGCCACTGAAGTGCTAAGTGCATTTTTGGAACCATCTGTATATATCTGCCTGTAGTCAATAAATTCTGATAAAGTCTCATACATATCGTGCTTTTCTTTTATGTCTTTACGTATAACAATTTTGATTTTACAGAACTTACTCTCATAAAGGCCATTATAACAAGGAAGTATCTTACTACTATAGATGTTATATTCATCTCGTAAATTCAAATCATTGACAATAGTTTTATTCAAAAACATAGAAATGGGGCAATTTAATAATTTGAGTATGAGTGGGTTATTGGAAACTGAAAAAACTTTGAAGAGAAATTTGAGTTTTAGGTATTCGAAACGAAGAAGGATAGGAGGCAAATTACATTCTACTTGCATTGAGATAATTGGAGAAGTATACATAGCACCTAAAATAAGTCTTAAATTCATATTTTGAATTTTTTCGAGTTTTTCTACTAATTTATGTTCTGAGGCATAACAAAAGAAAGCGTAATCAAAATTACTTCTAACAAGAGATTTGTAAAGTAAAAGGATAATTTTAGGATCAGCTCCCCAGTTACGACCAATTACAGATCTTATTATATTAGTGGCTCTTAAAGCACGATCTACTAAGCAATCAACGTATAGATCCCATTTTAAATTTTGATGAAAAATTACCCCCAGAAATTTAACGCTACAGTCTGTTGGAAGAGTTTGATTATTATATATAATATTCATTAATGGAACATATTTATGAACTTGATGAAAAACAACTACTTTACTTTTGGTTAAACTAATATCGAGGGAAAGAAGAGAAAAATATTTCTCAAGTCTTTTTAATGACTCATTTAACACTAATTGCATATCAATAATATTCTTTCCTTTTATATAAATTAATAAATCATCGGCAAATTGCAAGTTGTTCACACTGTTTCCTAAAATTGAATTAAGTTTATAGATATATAAAATATATAGTAGCGGGCTTAGAATACCACCTTGACATACTCCTTTAGAGCTTAACCTAGGTCCTATTAATTTACTATTTACTTTAACATACACTTCTCTATTACTAAGAAAATTATAAATCCATTCGATAAGTTTCATTGGAAGAAATGAGGATAAAATCGAAGATAGAACTGTTAAATTTACATTGTTAAAAGCTCCTACGACATCTAAAAAAACAGATAGAACATATTCATCGTTATTCAAAGCAGTACTAAGGTCGACATAGAAGTTCGCTAAACTTTCGCGCGCTGAATATCCACGGCGAAAACCAAATTGATTCGATGGTAATATACTATTACTTTCAATAAAGAACTCTAAACGCTGTTTAATTAATTGTTCGAATAATTTGCCTGCACAGGACGTCAATGTTATAGGTCTATAGGAGTCGAAATTTGTAGGATCTTTACCGGGTTTAATTACTGGAATCAAACAATCCATTTTCCATTCTGGTGGGATAATACAGTCCTTCCATAAATCGTTAAAAATTTGTAAGAGTTTAGTAAGGTTTATTTTATTCAGCAATCGAAACATATTGTATGTTAAGCGATCAAGGCCACTAGCTGTATCTTTTCTAGATTTTACTGCACTGGATATTTCATCAATTGAGAATGGGTCAGTGAGAAATTTTGGGCATGAATTAACAGAATTAAACTGTTTGTCATCAAAAGGTGAGTGTACAAAATCAGGAGTATATTTGCGTAAAAAATCATTGACCCATGATATATCTTTAAAATGATTTTGACGATGTTTTGAATTTAGTTTTCTCATATTTTGCCAAACAGTGGAAATTGGTGTTAATCTATTAAATTTGGAACAAAATTCCTGCCACCCCTGTTGTCTTACTTGCTTAATTACTAACTTTTTAACAGCTTGAACTCTTTTAAAATTTATGTAATTATCGAGAGTTGGATTTTGTTTAAACCTAAGGTAAGCCGCTTTACTATCATTGACAGCTGTCGCACACCTGTTATTCCACCAAGGTACTGCAATATGTTTGTGCCTCTTTGAAGTATTTGCACCGCTATTTGATAAGTTCCTACGTGGAACGGAACGTTCCACAGCTGTCAAAATAATTTTACAGAACCTATTGTAATTACAGATGGGCAAAGCACCGGGTTTAAACCCGGTGCTTTGGTAAAAACCCAATAAACACCCATAAACTCCCATAATCACCCAAAAAAATAGGTTTTTACGTATTTTTTTGAAAATATGTAAGTAATACCAATAAATTATTTTTATAAATTGTATTGATCAATTCTACAATATTAAATAAAACGTTAACTAATAATATTTCAGGAAATTTTAAAAATCTATATATAATAAAATGAAAGTAATTAATTTTCAGTGTTTTCATGTTGCAGTTGATCAACATGTTGGCCTTTTGCTTCCCGTAGATACTTTAAAATT